AAACAAGTTTGAAAGCCTGAAGGATTGGAATCCCGCGCTGTCGAAAGTCGTGCATTTTTCGGGAGGCCCGAGAACCAAGGAAATGGCCGGGAACCGACCCCGGGCTGAGGACCTATAACAATCGCTAAAGGGAACCCTGCAAACAACACATTTGGGTCTGTCGTTTTTTCTGGAGTTGGTAATTGGGGGGAGTCAACCTGGGAGGGGGGGGGGCAAGTCAAGCGGGGGGGGGGGGCAGTCAACCGATTTTTGTTGGTCATGATGATGGGACGACCATCTCTGTGTGTGTGTTCTGTGATTGCTTAGTAGGTAAAAACTAGACGCAAACACATGATTATAGGAGTTGTTTACCTTGGCAATAGGCCTTTTCTATTATTCAACGCTCAAACCGCGCTTTTTTGTGGCATGTGAAAAAGCTCGCCCCAAAAGTTCCGTTGTCTGGCTTTCAAGTGAGACAAAAGCACACACACACACACACACACACACGTTGTGCACAAGGATACAGTAGAAGCTTACTCTCCCACCAAAGCCTCGAATTGCAAAGCCGGCTTTTGGAAGACTGCAGTCCGGACCGAGAGCTGGCAAAACGGAACCGGCCATGGTGGGGTACAGTTTATCCGACCGGAAAACAGTCGCCCTCCCACCACCGTTCGCCAGTAAGTGGAGACAAACACATGTTCCCAAGAGTTACAGGTAAAAGGTCCAATCAAATCAGGTCAACTGAAAAAAATCGTCCGTAGGAGCGTGCTAATCCGAAAAATCCTCCTCGTCCGAATTGATCCCGGACTAGTTCGGGCCTCCCTTCGATTCATCCGAAGTAATATTGATTTGGGGGCAACAAAAAAATGTGGGAGCTTCTCAAAATGGTGGACCCTGTTGGTTCACAGAGGGGAAGACAAAAGGAACCAACAATTTTAGGAAACCTCCATTTGCTAGAGTCCCCTGGACAAAATAATAATATGTCCACTAGTGATAGATTCCCTTTGAAACTAAGAGAGGGAAATAAAATAGACATTCTTACGCAAATAGAAGGAAATGCACCCCGACTGCGGATGGACGAAATCTGTTCGCACCACTTTAAAACCATAGGAAACCATTTTGTGTTGGTATTTACAAGGGAATCATCATTCCCGGGTTCTGAAAGGCAGTGCGAGAAGCGGATTTCGTCCGTCCACAGTATGGTAGCTTGCCTGGAAGCAAGGGCAACCCCACCCCGCCCCACCTGCCCACCCCAGCCATCCCACCTACCCACCCCAACCCCGGAGGACCAACCCCCTCTATCTTGAGGACCACGTCGCTCATTTTGTCACACCGAAACTTCCCACTCGAGTGGCATCTGGGCACCCGGGCGATCTGGCACCGCCAGCGCCTGCCAAGCCCAGACACCCTCTGGAATATCAATAACTACCCAGCCAAAAAAAGAAGAAGTAATGCACCAGCTTCACACATTTGAGTTGCAATAGTTCCCATTGTTTACTTGGTTTACGAGGGTCTGGGGTAGCCCCAGTTCTAAAAAGAAATCCCGGCAAAACAAAGAGGGGGAAACGATTGGCAGCACCGCTCTGGGAGAAAGGTTTCACTTGTTGCTCCAAAGGCATCGCAAGGGTAGCCCGGTCTAACTTGTTGCTGGGAGAACAGCACGTTGCCCCGGATTGTTGAAGATAGCTCTGACCAAATAGCCACGTTGAAATCCCATAGAAAATCCCATGACGTCAAGAACGGAGAAGATTCGACAAACTGGGGTGAAGTCCCTTGGTGGCAATTCATTGTGCGGGGTTACCAGCAATCGCTTTCTTCATCCTCTCTCTTATGTTCTCCTGACAGCCGCTGACATGTAGGTCAGAGATGAACAACAGGACAGACACGAAAAGAGATGTTGGTGCTTACTCATTCCTCCCCACGCTCCATTCTGAGCCGATTTGAGCCAGAGAAATGACATGCGGCTATTTCTCTAAATAAGTTTCCTCTTAGTGGCTCTTTCATCCCTTTCAAGCCCTTTCAAGTTCAACGTTGTCCTCAAATGGCTCGAAAAAAAGCTGGCATCTTGATAAATGGAACCAAAGACAAAAACCTGCGGTTTGCCCCAGCTCTTGAAAACATTGAGCCACACCCAAGAGTCAAACAATCCCGCAAAGTCTCCTTGGAACCCTACAGCTAGGCAAAGTAAAGTGAGCAACTCCCATGTCCCAACGGTACTCCAAGCCGCCTGAGGCAGGTCTAAGCTGAATGGAAAAAGCCATTTGAGTCATTGTCAAATACCGGTCGGTTCTAAAATCTAGGTCCTCCAGTGAGAGGTTAGAATAAGGGTACCAACTCTTTTTCTGTAGTCTATTTTAGTATGGGGAACCCTCCCCCCAAAAAAGAAACGGCAAGAAGGGCACCAATTGCTGGGGGACCTAGAAATGGTCGATCCAGAACCAGAGCCATGCTTCGAGAAGGGACGAGCCGGCTGCATGCAGCCGGCCGGATGGTTGGGATTCTCCAGCACCTTTCTCAGTCCCCGGGTGTTGAGCACGTGGCTCAGGCAGGCAAGTCTTGTTGGTCAGGTGCCCCGAAAATCGGCCTGGCCTGATTTGGATGTTTGTTCCCATAACAAGGTCAGAACCCCAGAAGGGGCGAAGGCATGGAGGCCCCCTTTCACTCGGCGCCTTTGAGTTGATCGGGGCTCTTGTTTTTCGGTTCGGTCGTGTCCGATATGGACAATTTTGGGAGGGACATCCCAACACTCCATGTTTCTGCGAACCCTAAGACGCCGACATTCAATCGGGAACAACATGCCCCATTCTGCGGCCGCGCTTTGTGAGAAAAGTCGAAGTGTTTTCGAGACCCAGCCCGGAAAAGACAAAAAACACATCCCCGAACTCCATGTTTCGGAGAAGCCCAAGACACCGACCTCTCTGTTTGACCTCAAAAGTTGGAACCGGCTTCGGGGCCCGGCCCCAAAAAACGAAGAAAAAATCCCCCCGCCTTCAGCGGCTGCAGCTTCCGCCGGAGCGGCTTCTCGGCCTCGGATACCCCGGGAGAAGCCATCCATTTCTCGGACGCCGAAAAAAGCCATCAGCTGGCCATCTCGTTGTTGTTTTTTTGTTTTTGTTTTGCCAAAGTTAGTAAACATCACTCGGTTGCTTTCTGCTCCCCTGCGAAGAGTTTAACTTCTAGTGGTTTAATAATAATAATAACAAAAAACAAAAACACAAAAACATTAATTGGCAAAAAGTTAAAGTCCTAGCATCCCTTGGAAACATGCACCAAAGTAGTTGCTTTATTCGGGAATCATTCCAAAGTCCTCCTTGCCTACCGCAGCAAGTTTCGCCTTGGCTTTGCCCACCTCCCACCTTTGCCTCACTTCCCGACATGGGCCAAAAAAGGCCCCCAACTTTCGAAGATGCGAAGGGCCAGATGCCCTGTAAAACGCGGAGCCCGAGGACACCGGGGCCCAGAAAACGGAAAAACAAAGAAAAGAAAACAAAACAAAAGCAAAATAAACACAAAATAAAAATAAACGAGCAGAGGCGGAGAGAGAGCAACACCCTGCCAAAAAGAGTCTGGCAGCAGAAAGAACAAGGAACCACGGTGGAAAAAATCCCACGGCAACGCAAAGACTCGATTGGCACCAGGAGGTGCCAAACCGCGCGCGATGGGTGTCTGGCTCAGGCGCCTCCACGAACAAGGCCAAAGCATTGGATGAACCCAGACAGGAATCGCATAGGAGTTGCTTTTGCTTTTGGAAGTAACGACAAAAAGGAAAGCAACGTGCCCCTTTTGTGTTTTTTTTTTTGGGGAATGAAAGCCGAAAAGGAAACCTGGCATCGTTGTGACTGAGAGGATGTCCAAGCCTCCTGACTCCAGATGCCGAGTAGAACCTCGCCTCCACAAGGGGTCCCGCCTCCCCCCAAACAAACAAACAAACAGACAAACAAACAAACAAACAAACAAACAAGCCAACCCACAAACCAACGAAACACCTGCAAGTGTGTTGGCTAAATCTAGCCGAGCCTCCGTCTCCGGCCAGGAGACGTCATGTGGGCCACGCATCTCGCTGAGATCCCCAGCTGCAGGAGCGGCGCGGAGCGGATCCCGCTTGGGTGTGTGGTTTTTGTTTTGTGTTTTTTTTGTGTGTGTGGTTTTTTTTTTTTTTCCGGGACCCCTCCCCCCGCCAAACAAAAACAAATGCGGTTTTCCCTTGGGTTCCCCCCCCCAAAAAAAAATAAATAAATAAAAATGTGGTGTTCCCTTGCGGGTTTGCCTCAAAGCCCACACATCCCGCCAAAAAACACAAAAAGGTGTTCCTTTGGGTTTTCCTTTGGGCGCATCCTCAGAATTTGCCTCCAAATGACGGGCTTAGAGGGACTACCCCCAAAAGCATATATGTGTGATTGATTTCCAAAGCCAGCTTTCCCGACCATAAACATACGTAGGGTTGTGGATACATGCTTGTTCTATTGGTTTTAGGTTGGCCTTGGAGGGCGTGCCCTTCGATGCTCGGCCAAGTCAGTTGCTCAGGTTGCAACCCTTTTACAGCCAGGTTAGCGGGTACCCCAGGTGAATCGAATCACCCAGCAACTTGCCCAGACGATCGTTTTGTGTTGTCATCGAAGGGTTCGCACCGACAGACCCTGGGGTTCCAGCCACCAGGGTCAAAGAGGGTTCACTCAGTTGCCCAGTTCGGGACCCAGTTGCCTAAAAGGTGATCACCTGAATGGCAAACCTCTAAAAATGGGAACCCAAAATGGGAAAACCAAAAGGTCAAAAGGTCGATTCGCTTTGGACAACTGAGTTCATACAACCACCATTGTTTACCTAAGGATTGTCATCCAAATTGGGACCATTCTCTTAGTGGGGGTTGAACCCTAGGTTAGAGCTTGTTCCCCCATTGCCCCAAAAAGCACACGCCATCCGACTTCCAAACTCGCACGGTTCTAGCAGTACCCTCCCCATTCTCTTCAGGCATCATTCTCTTCAACTGGAAAATGGGTTCAACCCTTCCAACGGTGGGTCACTGGTTCGGCTCGCAGGAGGCATAGACCACAACCGAGCCCCGGTGCGGAGACACCTGACAAGAGAAAGCCTTCGGTGGCTAGGCCTTTTTCGAGTGGTAACTTCCCCCCAGTCTTTTCAGAGATTCTGATTTTCAGGAAACCTGATCCGGTTCTAGGAAAAGCGCGATGGAATCAACCCCCATATGTTTTGTTCATTTGGTGTTTATCGTGTTGGCGATTTGGGGCGTTGTTGTTGGCTTTGTTTATTGGTTTAAGTCTTTCTGTGTTATTGTTTGGATGGCTTTGCCACCTGCAACGAACGCAGCCCCCAGAACGCCCCCGTTCCCGAAACAGGCCCCTTTTCAATAAAACTAATTACACCCCGCAAGGAAACATGTTGTTTAATACCACAAATACATTGATTCTCCCAAAATCGGGGGCCCTACCAGCCCCCAAAGGACCCCGCTTCAAATGAGTTCCTGAGAGATTCAGGGGCCCTGCGAAGCAAATTCGAAAGACCCATAAACCCCCGCAAGGGTAGCCTAGCGGGAAAGCAGAGTTTGATCCTTCGTGTGCATGCAAGCGCAACGCTCACTCCCATGCCGGCACAGCTTTTGCTGGTCTCATCCGCGAAGGAAAAACCAAAGGCACTGAAACAAATGCTCTACCTGTGGCTTTCATCTTTGAGGAACGGCCCGGGGCAACACAAGAAAAATGGAGAACAAGCCCTATTGTTTCCCTTGAAACACGAACCGTAAGGGGTCGGCACCCAGTTGCAACCAGTGACCCTATCAGAGAAAGCCATGGTGTGCCTGGTTGGTTGATTCCGTTTTGGTGGGAAAACGTGAGAAAACAAAGAGATGTAGAGGGCGCCAGCCTTCAAATCACCAGGTGTTTGGAGTATGTTTTGCCAACCACTGCCAAAAATCCGCCCAAGAAGAAATAAATATTTGGCTTGGGAGGTATCAAGGAACACTTGAGGTTCAAGAAGCGGCGCGAAGCCAATGTTGAAAAGCGGTTAATCAGATGAGCCCCAACAAAATGACCTGTTATCCCAAAGGACATGGGTAAAACATGCTCAGTACGGAATGACCTTCCGGGTGTTGGTCTGTGTTGCCCGGATCCCTATGCCACAACTGCGGTGGAGACAGCCTTTGCTCCTAGTCCGCATCAGAGTCGGCAACAAAAAAGCAATCAGCATCCTCCTCAAGATCAGATTATTTGGTCTTCCAAGAGCCTGCAAAATCAGGGTCCTTCTTGATTTTGCTCTTGGTTGAAAAAGGAAAATCAACCAAAGGCCTGCTTTTTCAGGGTTCTGGAAGATCAGGATTCTGAAAAACTCGCCAAACCAAATCTCCGTGCCATGCCGGAGGCCCCGGAGGCCTTGCGTGCGATTGGGTTTTTGCGTGCCGCCAATGAACCGGTCTTGGATTCGGATTCCCGACTCAAGGGGTATAGGGTTAGGGTATAGAGTTTGGGGTTTAGAGTTTGGGGTTTGGGGTTGAGGGTTTAGAGTTTGGGGTTTGGGGTTGAAGGTTTAGAGTTTGGGGTTAGGGTTGAGGGTTCAGAGTTTGGGGTTTAGAGTTGAGGGTTTAGAGTTTGGGGTTTAGGCATGTGTTTTTCTTGGGGTCAGAAACCGTTTCTCAGGGCCGCCAATCGAACCAGCAAGCTCCCCCCTCGAACATGGAAGAAAACTCGGCTTTTTTTTCCCGGTTGTTGAACTAGGTCCCCCAGTAGAGAGGTTAGAGGTTAGGGCACCCACTTTTTTCAGTTTTGTCTATTGTAGTAGGGTCCCGAACCCTCCTAACCAAAAAAGGGGTGTGAGGTCGGGCACCAATTGCCGGGGGACCAAAAGGTGCAAGTTGGCCTCCCGAAACCGACCCGAAACCGCCAAGGACGAAGGACCGGGGGATCGTTTCGGCGAGCTCCATGGGCTACATCCCACAGGACGAGGCAGTGGGCAAGGCCCGATTTCTGATCCCCCGCTAAAAGTTGAACTTGTGGGTGAAATACGGAAACTACCACTAAACACTAAAAAGCTAAAAGGCTAAGGGGAGGGCTGGGAGCCACCAAGCTGTGGATGGTTGCGAAATCCAATGATTCGATCCCCCCTGCAAATACCAACAAGCAATGGTTTCAACCACGGTTTCAAACTGGTGCGAATTGGATTTCGCAACCATTCACAGCATGGGTGTTCAAAAAACAATCTGGGTCTGGTTTGGCTGGGGGACTCTCATAGTTGAGGCTAACTTTTGCACCATTTTTTCAGGTACCCCCCAATTGGTGGTTTGGATTGCTGGGTGGGATTGGCATTTGAACCCTGGCTTTAAGCTCCGAAACCACGCACAGGCAACACCACCAAACCACCAAATCAGACAGGGGAGCTGCATCCCATGCGGATGCCTCGACGATCATCTCCAGCAGCTCGCTCGCCTCCGCCGCCGTGACCTCGTCGGGCCCAGGGGCCCAGGCCGAGGCGGGGGGGGGGAATGGGGGGGGGAATCGGCTTCTGGGCAGAGATCTCGCGTGAAGAAAATATATGCAACTACAGTTGGTCACCGGAGAAAGAAACGAGGACTACCGTAGACTACCCCACATTTTTCAGCCAGGCTGAAAGAAGGGACGCGCCAGGAACAAAGTGTTTCGATTATGACCACCCCACATCGTAAGTGATGTATACTCCCTGGTTAGCGAGTCGCCTCAGTGGGATTTCCCGTTGATATAGCATACAGCCTACTCGGGGGTGCATGAAGTGGGGACCAGGGATATTTAATTATTAGCCACTTTCCAAGCAGTGTGGTCCTCCAAGTGGGACGAGAATCGGCCTAGGTACAGCCATGTGAAAATGAAGGAAATGCACTTTTTTGTTCAGGAACAAACAGTGGATGAAGCCTTTCGATGCTCCTTTCTTGTTTTTGGCTGCGCCCACTTGTCAACAGAACGGCAGCCCACGTGTAGAAGGATCGCCTTACTTGCCCACCAGTTGTTGCCCATGGCGGATAAAAGGACTCATCGTGCTTGATGGCTTGATTTTTTTCCCTTCGCCAAAGGACAGAAAAAGCCGTCAGCCTTTTGGAACCTTCACTATGTATCACTGGGCAGCCAAGGGGTCAAAAGGAAGGTTTTGGGGAAGTGAGCTCTGTGGGAATCAAAGCTGGTGCTGAAAGGAGGCCGCTTCTTTTTGCGCAAGTCGTGTCCCTTCCAACCACTCCAAGTACCGGCTTTTCCTTTCTTGTCAGGGCTTGACATCAAGAAACAGAGGCCAGGACAACCTGGGGCACATTTACATCGGGGGGGGGCCCTATAGACCTTTGCTGGCGGCTGCTTTTTTGGCTTCCCTCCCTTCGCCTCCAAAACTGGGCTGCCCTCAGATCCCCTGCTAAAAGTGACTTTCTTTTAGTGGGCTAAAAACGGAAACTGCCACTCGACACTAAAAGGATCCAAAAAGCTAAGGAACCGGATGGCTGGCTTCGCCACCAAGCAAAGTCGTCTTCCCCAAAGCGGTTTCCCCTTTGGAGCAGATGGGCAGCTTCGGCTCCTGGCAGTTTCCCGGGCCCTTCCTGAACCCCCTCTGAGGAAGGCAGGGGGTCAGGGCAACTAAGGCCAACTCAACCAAGATGCCAAATGGAGCCAAATGGGGAGGTTCTCGAAAAAGGGACCCCTGAATTTGCAATGGTTTCCCTTCAACTACCAAAAGGGGGTCGTAAGCGATTTAAGCTCACAAGAATAAGATGCCTTAAATCAGATACCAAACCATAGGCTGGGAGAGTCTAGGTGGATCCCCAACCTGAAACTTGCGGTGGTTGGGGGGGCTATTCCCAACATAAACCACCCATTAAACCACCCATTTGGGGTGAATTCGGTCGTTTGAGGTCGTCACAATTCACCCCCTCGGTTTCTTTTCCCATCTCCGAGCTGCGAAGAAGCGGTAACGGTCGTATCTCCACGCCTGGAGATCCCTCGACTCGCTCCGGCGACTCTCCGGCGACTCGCTCCGTCTTCCCCTTCTGGCAGGGAAGCCTTCGTTGGTTTAAAAGGGGCCAAAAGGAAAAGCAAAGAGCGCCATTTGCAAAGAAAATGGCACTTGGGTGCCCTAAAAAAAGGCACTTTCCCAAAAAGAAGGGCGTTTCGCATGGCACCTGATAGAAAAAGTCCCTTTGAAGAGGAAGCTGATCTTCCACCCTCAATGACACTTGTGTGTCTTGTAAGAAAAGCATGGCCCCCACAGGCTGTAGCGGGAGGCAGGGTAAAGGATCGCTATCATACGTCGGAACCACAAACTAAGATGATTACAGCACTGACACTGCTACGATTATTAAGTTATACACCTGAACATTGCCTTGTAAACGCTGGCTTCCCTTTATCTTGGTGGAAAAGGCCATGTTTCAAATGGGCAAAATGCATCTTCTAAGGAGCCCTGTTAAGTGTGCAAGAAAACCATATGTTTCAAGGAGTGAGCGCTAAGTCCTTGCTCCTGGCCCCCAAACATTCACTTGGCCCGCACCAAAAAGTGTTGCACTTGCAATCCGAAAACAAGTTGACTTCCTAAAATGTGCCCAGAAATATTCGCATGGGAGAGGGAAAACTCTCACTTATTACAGTAGATCTACGGTAGGACTCAGCACAACGGGGCACACCAACTGACAAAACACGGCTTATTGCTTTAAACGCATTTCGCACCACCGAACTCAGAAACCCTGGAACGATTTGATTCCCCCACTACCGCAACCAACGTTATGGTTTCAACTCCATGGCTTCATAAACCATGGTGCGAGACTCGCGGATTTTTCGCAACTATCCACAGCTGGCCCCAGGACTCGACCAAATGGGCCGGCCCACTCAAGCCGTTTCGAGCCTTCGGCAGCCGGTAGTGAAATGGGGCTGCAAGTTTCGCCAACTGGTTCCCATATTCAATGGGCGGCCATGGTCTGGTTGTTCAATAGAGAAACCCGAGCATTTTGCAGGGTTGATCCCCAAAGTGAGATCTTCAAGAAGAAATTACATCACGACAGTGTGCGTCCTTATTGAATCTGGTTTATCGTTTTTGAATGCTGATGGACAAAATCCAATTCGCACCAGTCGGTAGGTGGTTTATCCCACAGCTTTCACAGGGTTTTATCTATTGCCAGCCTGACGCGTTTCTGAAATGTGGGGGCCGCGTTGGCTCGTGGTCCTTTTGCTTTCCAAGTTGATCCCTGGACATTTAATAGGAATATGGCATGCATCCCTCAAATCCAAGGTCAGTCGTTGTTGCCAAAGGAAATCTGAGGACAAATGGGTGTGGCTCAAAAATAAACAGGAGGGGTTACGCAGATTTTGATCCGTGTTTCCACTAACACAGGTTCCATTTTGGTGCCGGTTTTTTGAGCCACAGCCAAATCAGAAGGCCAAAGCTGTCTGTGGGCTCAGATCAAATCCAAAATGCCATGGGGCGGGGGGGGTAATTATGGGTGGCAAGACCGGTTACAGACGGTTGGGTTTGAAACCGCGGATGTGAAATACAGGGCCTGGTTCCCCTTCTATGTCCTCAAGGGTGGTTGTCAAACGTCAGCGTTTGGGCCAACTCATTAATTTTGAAAGTGGATGTTTGAAGAAATCTAGGGGGAACTGAGCCAGACTTGGACCCAAGTCAACTTTTTGCTGTCATTCGCTTTTGAGGGGGCGAACGTGTAAGGGCCCAAATGGGTGAGTTCAGTGAAAAGAGCCGTGACTCACCCGCCATCTGGGTGATCAAAATCAAAAGGTCCGTGATGCATAGGATGACCACTAGGGAAAACGATATTTCCACCACATGGGAAAAGTTACCCATGGCCAAAACTAGGGGCCGAAGGGAATATTGATCAACTGCCATGTCCGGCCAACAAACCTCTTGGGTATTTCTCAAAATGGCGGGCCCCTAAAATGGTCTGTTTCCTTTCGGGTTCCCTTTAAAAACCATCGATCGATCCACTTCTTGCTTAGAAATCCCCTTTTGACATCCCCTGTTCGGGATTTTTCTTTTGGGCCCGTTGAGGCTGGGTGAACAGACCCTTGCCATCTGCTCAAGCCAACTTCCGACGCGACGCCGAAGCTCCAATCGATCCGCGGGCCTTCACCGCGCCATCCGCCGCCACACCGTTGTGGAGCCACTTGGCATGGCCCTGACTCGAGGCCGAGCTGGCTAAACCACCCGCGCGTCAGGGGCGCACGCGCGTCTTTTTAACCTCGGGCACCCCAGCTCCCAGTGGTTGGTGGACAAAAATCCATCCCCGAACTCTGATGTCCAAAGGGTCCCCGTTTTACAATTGTCATATCCCAGTGGGTGCCCTCCTCGCAGCGACCAAGACCCACCGATGTCTGGCTCTGCTGTGGATGGATGCGAAGTCCATTTTGCACCTTTCAGAAACCCAACGGAATCATCCGATTCCCCAACGTAAATACCAGCAAACGTTACGGTTTCAACCATGGTTCCTTTCGTAATGCAGGACATCTTCCATCCACAGCATGGCAAGGGTGATCCATTCCTCAAAGTTTTCGGGCTTCCAGATTCCGCTTGGATGACCCTTTACGTGGCTCGCGCCCCCACGCAGGAGAAAAACACTTCAGGCGCCTGGCTCCACGCAAGTCCCCATGAGCGGTCAGTCCCCTTATAACCATGGTTATATCCGGACATTGGTTGGGCACCCAAGTCGCCACCATGTCCTTATGGGTGTGTCTGCTTTGAGGGTACCCCACGTTTGTGGCTTCAAAAGGAAAACCGAAGCCATTTTTGGCGGGGGTCCGAATCCTACAACAAGACACACAAGCGCCGTGGTTGCCGGGGGTCGGGGAGCCCGCGCCCGCGCCCGCGCCCGCCGCCTCCGCACGGGCGCACACGGAGAAGCGGCTGGACACCTTCTCTTCCGGGTTCTCCACGCGCACGTAGAGCACCTAGCGACAAACCCGACTGCCCCAAGTTGCGACTTAGGCTGGGGGTCAAAACCACAGCCATTTACCCTCCCAGGCAGCTAATACTGTGGATGGACGAAATCCATTTCGCACCAGAGGGAAACCATGGTTGAAACCATAACGTTCGTTGGTATTTACAGGTGAATCGAATCATTCCAGGGTTTCTGAAAGGTGGTGCAAAATGGATTTCGTCCGTCCACAGTATGGAAGTGCACAGACCCCGGTAGAAAGACGACCTTCCTCTTGGAAAGGGCCTTTTTGCACTTCCAGGTTAGTTGGTTTTTAGGGTACTTGCTGCTGCGAGAAGTAGGAAATGAAGGAATGAACCTAAAACCCCCCTTAAAGGAGACCACAAGGGTGTGGTAAGACCCTGAGAAATGGAATGAACCCAGGTTCATTTCCTCATGAAAACCCCCCTCCAAGCAACCGGTAGAACAGCGAAGTAATGTTGACCCCATATTCGTCAACCCCCTGTGTATTAATATGGGGGTGTTCTCCTCCAAAGTGAAGAATCCCCACTAAAACCAGGGACAGTGCTCAGTAGGGAATGAGAAATGGAATGACCCCGAGATAAACCATCCAACAGGTGATTTGATTTAAGGGGACCAAAGCCTGGGTTCATTCCCTCGTTCCCTACTGAGCACCAGCAAGTAAAACCCCAAGCAATCATAGAAGGGTTTCCTAAGGCTGATATGAGCGGTCCAAATTCGCCTCGGCCCCCACTTTACAAAAATACAGCATCGAGCCCCTGAGCAACCCATAGACTATGGGTTTCTTGGGGCTGGTGCGGCGTCGACATTTTAGACTGGCTGAACATGTTTCACCAACACTGTGGATGAACGAAATCCGCTTCTCGCACCACCTTTCAGAAACCCTGGAATGATTCGATTCCCCCTGCAAATGTCAACAAGCAATGGTTTCAACCATGGTTTCAAAGTGGTGCGAAATGAATTTCGAAACCATCCACATGGTCCTGAAGCCGGCGAAGGTGCTTCTCTATCCAAGACCAAAACCACATTTTCTGCGACACGGAAAAAGACGCCGGAGACGGCGAAATCCATCCTGACGAGGTTCGCTCTTCGGGGGTTCCCAGGAATTTCACAGCGGGCCCTGGAGCCACCAGGCGGAACGCCGAACGCCACGCGAAGCCCACACCCAAGTGTCCGTCAAAGATTGGGCAGAACTCGGCGCGGAATTGCCATCGCAGCCACTCAAAACCAAGCTAGGTCGCAGAGTGGCTGCCTTTCCCAGACCGCTTTTGCCAACAACAAAAAAAACGGTCGCCGTGGAAAAGAGAACCGCAGCTGGATCCGTGGAGTTTTTCTGACGCCGCGCAGTCGCGATCGAGATCCTGGCGGGCTCTGCAGCGTGTACCTCAGAGCGAATTGGTTCGAAACCCAACCCTCGCTTCCGATCGAGTGGATTGGCGGCAAAAAAAAGGTTTCCTCACCCTAACCTTGCCTTTCCCGAAAGTGAAAGTGCCAGAGCTCAGGAAGTCAGTAGGTTAGAACCAACTTGGAACTGGCTAGAACCACCTCAGTTGAGGGAATGATAGTAGTTAAAAATAGCGTAAGTGCTTTCCCGCTTATCAACATCCAGACTAGAGGTGCCCGTGTTGAGTATGTCAACATCCAAGTACTACTTGGATTACAGCTCGAAGTAGATCGTTGATGTCCCCAGTGAATAAGTCATCACGTGGGTGACAGGGTCAACCCCATTTGGACTTATTGACTAGAGATATGGGTATGCGCCTGTCTTTGGGGTAGCGTAGATTTAAAGGACAAAAAGGCACAAAATCCGGGTCCCCGAGTTTGTTCCTTCTCACAGGTTGGCAACCACAAACACGAACAAGCTTCCACGTGAGCCATGGTCAAAACTCCTTTGCTCACCTGCTAGGGAAGCGTTCGTGGTCTGAATCCCCACAAGCAAACAGCCCCATCTCTCAAAATCAACCAGAGGTTCTGCTTTATCCGGGGGTCCCATTGAAACAAGCAGGCGAAAACATATTCTTGAGCAAATGGAAGATAAGGCTTCAGACCACACCAATGTGTGCCACTATAATACAAACCTCCAGTCCAGTTGCTTATCCCCTGGAACAAGATGAACAAAAATCCAGTAGTGAACTCGCTTCCCTTTGTAAAACCAACAGGGGCAAAACAAAACAAATATGAATTTCAGCAAACTTGCTGGTGCTGGGAATGAGGAATGGAATGACCCCTGATAAACCATCCCCTATGGTTTCCTTGTTCAGCAATCCCCAAAACCGGATCATTCCATTTCTCATTCCCCTCAACCCCCTCAACCCCCTCAACCCCCCCTCAACCCCCCCCTCAACCCCACTCCCCACCCCCCCAACCAATCCCACCCAAATCCCATCCCAAAAAACGCCTCGCTCAGCCCGGTGGCGGCCACTTGGAAGGCGTTTGCGGAGGGCTCCAGCAGCACCACCGCCTCCGCGCGCCGTGTGGTCAGCGGCGACTCCGGGAAGTCGGGCCTCGAATCGAAAAGCGCCGCCGGCGGCCGGCGGCCGGCGGCCGCACGGCTCGGGTTCAGGGGAATCGAACCATGGCTTGTGGGTGCAGGGGAAAGTTTTTTTCTCCGAAAGTTGCTGCGAAATGGAGCTCGGCCTTTCTCATTTGGACTACGGGTGGGCCATTGCCCCCATTTTTGGGGGAACCAATTCCTGGTTAAGCTATCTTGGGGTCAAAAAGTGCGAGACAACCAAGACAAACAAGACAAAGGCAAGACAGAAAAGATGCAAACAAAAACAAACAAACAAACAAACAAACAAACAAATAGACAGACATACAGCCAGACAAACAGACTGCCACAGTCACAGACAAGCACAGACAGTTACAGACAGACACAGACAGAGACATACAGTAGACAGACACAGACAGACAGACAGACAGACAGACAGACAGACAGACAGACAGACAGACAGACAGACAGACAGACAGACAGACAGACAGACAGACAGGCAGGCAGGCAGGCAGACAGACAGACAGACAGACAGACAGACAGACACAGACGAGACATAGACAGACACAGCCAGAGAAAGACACAGACAGAGAGAGCATACACTTTTTGGTCCCCACAAAAAGAAGGATCACCCTCCAGCACCTCTGAACGGCAATTTGTTCCATGTCCAAAATTCCAAGTAGAATCCCAAAAGCAGCTGCTGGCATAGGTGTCCTTTTAGGGGAAATAGATGGATATCCCGGGTAGATGATTCAACCACCAGGTAAACCAGGAATCGCCATCTATTGTTCTACCAAAACAACCAAAAAGGACACCTATGGCTGTGGGGTGCTGGCTGCCGCGCGCCAGAAGAAGCCCTCCATGTCATGGCCCCGACTCCCGACTCCCGGCTCGGGTCTCCGCTGGGCGGACACCTGGAATACAGCACCACCGCTGGCACGCGAGACCTGCGACACGAGTCAATTGAGTCCATTGGAGCTACCAGTGTTATGTCAATCCGCCAAATAAAAGAGAAATCCTGATTTTTAGTCAGTATTGCTTTGTTTACCGCTGAAAAAAGGATGGTCTGGAGCCCGGTAGTTTGGCGGCTAAGAGGGGCAAACCCCATTTACCCTCCATAAGAACCACCAAAAATCCAAACCACCAATCAAGGGTTACTTGACATCTGGGATACACAGAAAACATAGTTTCTGACTCTATTCAATATTCAGTCTACCGTAAAAACTAACATAGTTTTCGGAGGAGACTCCAGTTTACCCCGTGCCCACAATATCAACTTTTTAACGGTGCATCTTGAAACGCCTGCTTCTTTAGTCAGCACTAAGAGTGGGATAAGGGGGGGGAACCCACCTCCTTTGGCAAGTGGTTCATGGATGATCAACCGGCAGCTAAGTGGCTGATATCCTCACTTAGTTTGTGCCGGTGCGGAAAAAAAAGTACCCTACATCTACACCATGAGGGCGTGACTTGGGATCATAAGCACCTGCCTGAAGAGGTTGACATAGCTTAAAACGGTAAGCGCAGGAGGTAGCTGTCTGAGAAATTATCCAGCCTGGGTGTAGACATGTCCACAAGTGAACGTTGACCTCTGAAAATGGAACAACCCACCCATCAAAATCCAGCCAAGAGATTATACGTTGCACCCCCGATGAAATGTTTACGTCTGGAGCATGCCCCGTACGTACCTGGCTGTGTGTCGCGGAATGCTTCTCTTTGAACCCGCCTGGGCGAAATCCATTTCGCCACCTAAGAAACCCTGGAATGACTCGATTCCCCTGTACCAACAAACAATGGTTTCAACCATGGTTTCATTCACCGTGGTGCGAGACTCGCGGATTTCGCAACCAGCCACAGCAGACTTGACAACCCCTCAACTGGGTCGCCATACGTTTTTTGTTCCCCCCCCCCACCCCCCCCTCCCCCCTCCACACCCCCCCACACCCCCCCACACCCCCCCACACCCCCCCACACCCCCCCACACCCCCCCACACCCCCCCACACCCCCCCACACCCCCCCACACCCCCCGACCTCCCCATGCCTCCCCACGGACTCTCGCCGCAAAGAATGTTGGGTCGCCGCGCTGAGATCACCACCGCGGTGTCGTTCCGCTTCAGAGAATACTCGAAGACCTGGCGATCAGCTCGTGACCTTCTCACTCAGAAGGGTTTTCAGGGTTTCTCTCTGATTCACTCCAGAAAACGGTCTGGATGCACGTTTTGTGGACTTCACATGTGCTTGCCCTTGGCGATCAGTTCGTGAACTTCCCAAAAGCTCAAGCTGCAGCCGGCTTCAGCCGGTTGCTGGCGAGACCCCTCGGAAAAAAAAAGCTCAAAGCACTTGTTGTGCCTGCTTCCCGGAAGCCATTGAAGAACCACCCGCGCGTTTGGTCATGTTCTGAGGATCGGACCTCATTGAAACCCAAACGTTTCCGGCCACTGCCCGGGCCTGGACAAAAACGGAGTTGTTTGACCTAGACATCCGTTGGACCCCCTACAAAAAGTCGACCAGGGAGGATGAAGGAAAATCAACGCAAATCGGAAATGAAGTAAGCCAATTGGGTCACCCGTTCAATGGGGTTTCAATAAATGGTGTCAATGGATGCAACGGGAATCCGTATATTTGAAAAACACTTTTTTGGGGGAAAGTGTTCTCGTAGTGTCTCACTTGCTGAGTGGATGGCGCAAAAAAAGTTCAAACTTTATATCTACAACTAAAATGGTCTTCCCAAAAAGCTTAAAATTAATGAATTCAGGAAGTGAGATGTTGACCCCGGATTCATAAAAACCCGTCCCATTCTAAGGCAGGGTTCCTCGAAAGGCCAGTGAACCTCCATCTCTCGAAAGGCAGCCCCCCCTCCTCTCAGAATCAACCGGAAGTTTTCTGCTTGGGGTCAACCTTCGTCCCGTTGAGTCCAAAGGACGCCCGTGCAAAGTCCATTTGCTAGAAGCAAATCTGGGGTCTTGAAACCATACCTTTGGATTCAATCCCAGATGACCCCCCCACCCACCCACCCCCAATTCTCAAAATCAACACAAAACAACTTGGGTGGCTCGGCTATTGTTGGTTTTAAAGGGAAACCAATGGATTTTAGGGCCCCCAGCCCTTTTTAGTTGCTATTTTTTCCAGGAAACTAGGGGACACCACCCCCACCCCCCTGGCTGGTTTTAAAGGGAACTAAAGGACCTACCCCTCCTGTTAGTTGCTGTTTTTTAAGGGAAACACCCCCCCTCCCCTCCTGAAAAGGCGATCTTCTGCCGATCTGCAGCCCACCACCTCCATCCCCGGTGCCCCGTTTTCGCCTGGACGCCCTTGGGCGGGAGGCTCTGCTCCACCTCCCTGCCCTCGGCCAGGCGTACGAAGCCTCAGTCAGGATGACCCGTCCACGTCGTTGAAACCACGGTTGTATTTTCATGGGCTGGGGGGGAAGGGGGGGGAGGAGCCCAAATAAGCCTAAATTATGACCCGAGGTCAGGCGTCGGCTACGCCGGATTTTTCCGGGGACGGGGCTTTTTGCTTGAACCCCAGGATCGATCTTCCGGGACCCGGAAACAGCAGGCCTTTGGCTGATGCGCCTCTTAAAACGAAGCGGCGCCCGGTTTTTGCGGGCGGTTGGGCGTGGGACTTTGATCATGGCTCGGGCTCCGCGCACTTCCATGGGTGGGCTCCGTGAGCGGAGTCCCTACTTGGCCCTAGGCCGTAGTAAGCTGCACTAAACCTAGGTGGCCTTTTGGAAAAATCGATGGGTGTCCCTGGTAAATGGAATTGGCATAAACCCCATCTAAACCAGGAATCGCCCTCTATTTTTTAGGCAAACCAACCAAAAAGGACACCTATAGCACTCAAGCCTAGGCCTTGGGAGCCCTCCTCGACGGTCGCTTGACTAAATGGTGCGGATGGACGCGGTTTGGGGCACTACTTCCTGGAACCAACGTTCCCAGAGAAAAATGGGTGATTGTGGATGGTGAGACGTTGGTTTCGTTTCTTTTTTGGACCCAACCAAGATTCCTGAGCTTAAACTTGGGTGAATGATTGCCCTGAAGTTATGAGGGCGATGTCCGCTTTTTGATGGGTAGTTTGAGGGTCCATATTTTTTTGAGAGCGGCTCATGGAACCTCACGCCGGGTAACGGACGGTCCCAACCATAGAATGTCGTTTGGATTCTTGCGGCTTTTAAGCAATGCAGCCATAGATGTCGTTCTGATTGGTGAGTGTGGTTGAAAATCGATGGGTTCCAGTGGTTTGGATTGGGTTTTCTGCCCCGTTTGCCAGAAGAAACCCAATCTATGTCTCCAAAAGGCCACCTGCGAATGCAGCTCCAAAGCGGTTGGTTTTTGACCCTCCCCATTCGGCCTTGTGCTTAAACACAACCAGCGAGTTGGGGCGGGCGCCCGCCTCCAGGCGCCGCGCCTCCTGCTTGAAGGGGCGATCGGGTACTTAGTAAGTGGTTAGTAAGCCAGGTGAGAGAACCCACAGAACGGAGACTTACAACCATGGCTTTTGTGGGTTATAACCTGACTTACTGTGGATGGACGAAATCCTGCACCACTTTGAAACCATGGGAAGCTACTGTTTGTTGGTATTTTACAGGGGAATCATCATTCCAGGGCTTGTTCGGTGGTGCAAGATTTCGTCCATCCACAGTACTAACCACTTACTAAGCACCCGATCGCCCCTTCAAGCAGGCGCCGCGCGGCTCCTGGCGCGGCGCCCGGCCGAGGCGCCCGGCGGGCCTCTCCGAAGGTCCCGGTGGCCAGCACCTCCAAGCCGGCCGCCGCGTCCCCCGCCGCCGCCTAGCCCAGGGCTGGCAACAAAAATGGACGTCAAAACCCGGACGTCAAAACGCCCGTATGCAAAAAATAAAATAAAATAACTAAATAAATAAATAAATAAATAAATATAAGCTCAGCCGGAGCCTATCTGGGCTGAGACCCCAAAAGCTTTCAGCTGTTGGGGAAAAAACGACTTGGACCCTCCAACTTTTCCAAGGAAGAAAAATGTTGGAAGTTGGCCCCAAATCAGTGCAATCCCCTTTTGTGGGTTAGTTTGAGGAGGCGTACCGTTTCTCCAACTGTGTGGGTGCGTCATACTGCGGATGGTTGCGAAATCCATTGTGCACCTTCCAGAAACCCTAGATTCAACATGGTTTCAAGAATCAAATTGCCCAACCTGGTCTCTCCCCCAACAAAAAAAAGATTGTCCACGAACTGCGAAGCGAGTCTACGTTTTGCTCGGGCAACAAGACAAACATGTAATTGAATGCAGCTTGCCAGGGATGTTGTGTGGTGTGCTTGGTTCATTTTCAACATGTTGGGCATCCACCATACCCACAGCCCTGCTGCTAGACTTGTTTCGTTGCAAGCCGTCCAATTTATACATTGCTTTACAAGCGCAAGTCTGACATGCAGGTTGCTGTGTTCTCCTGTCTTTTTCAGGCTACCGCTTTTGGGGTTTCGCTTGAAAGGGTGCAGGGGAACCACTTCTTTGGGGTTCCGTCAAAACAGCTCAAAGCCCCCATATGGGACTTTGCTTCTCACTTCCCGAATCGATGGGCCAAAAAAGTCCAAACTTTCTATTTACCACCAAAGTGGTCTTCCCAAAAATAACTAAACTCCAGGAACTCGTCCCATTTCGTGGTCCCTGTTTCCCCATGTGCCCAAAAAGGCACGAGTGGCATGCCTCAAGCGCCAAAAGTTGGCCGAGCTTCCGGCCGTCGCCGTGGCGGCGAGGTACACGAAGCAGGGCAGACGGCATTCGAGGAGATGCACCTCTGGGGTTGGCCTGGAAAAGTTCTTAACAGATCCACGCCGAAAGAGCTACCTGGAGTCTCCATGACCCTTCAAAAATAAGCCCCGAAACTAAGGGAGTATGACGCCTCTTTCTATTGGTCAAGGCTCTTAACAGATCGCCGAAAGAGCTACCTGGCCCCTCAAGAGGTTTGGGCGTTGCCCGCAGCCTGTTTCACCCAGCTTTGTTTTCTCAGTGGTTTAACCATTTGCGAATACCAGCCACAAATGGCTTTGTTCATCTGTGCTTTGGGCAGTGCAACCTTTTGAACAAGCAAAGCTGGAATTAGCGACGCCATGACCCTTCAAACATGGGCCCGAAATTAAGAGCTCTTTCAATTGGTCATGGAGACTCTAGGTGCCCAGAAACAAGTGGGGGAAATTCACCGGCCCAAAAAACGGAGGGAATAGCTCCCATGTTTAAGCCGGATTTTTGCGAAATCGAGGGTCCAGGTGAAAAAACTTCTTCTGACTCTGCTCCACATGGAATATCTTGGAATATGCATATATGCTTGGACAGCCCCCGCCAAAAATCAGCCTGCCACCGCCTTTGAAGCGTCCCCAAAGAGCAAAAAGTCCCACAGGAAACCCACCAGCAAACCACACATAGATAGGAAACCATGGCCCCCCAGGCATAGATGTCCTTTTGGTTGAAAATAGATGGATTCGCCTGAGTATGGTTAACAACCAGGTGAACCAGCGCCATCTATTTTCCAACAAACCAACCTCATAAGGACACCTACGCCAAACCGGGCATTTAAGAGAGAAGCCATTTGAGTCACTTGCTCAAAACCCGGGTAGTAAAATGGTCGTAATCCCCAGAACCACGTTTCAAGAATCAAGAAGGCGGAAGGCCGATATCCGCAACTATTTCTGACTGGGACTGCCCCATACTAACCTTCATCTACCCGGGTTTTGAGGACGTGGCTCATTTGCGAGAAGCCTAGCTCCGTTTCGCGTTTCGCGATTCGGAAGGCAATGCGCCTCCTGGCTGACTTGCTGGGGGTCGGTAGTGAGGCGGATCACCTCGAACAGGAAGCGACGGGGCAAGACCCGGGTCATTTCCCCGCCCGACTGCTTCCATTTCTCGCTGTCGTAGGCAACTAAGGGAACCCTGTCAAAACCACATGGAGAATATTTGGAGCCTACTAGAAGGGGGCCAAACAGGGGGTGTTTTGACCACACCTCGGGAGTTTCACACAAATCAAGGGAAAAGATGGCGGGCTTCCTTAGTAAGACCTGGGATCCACTGGGCTTTGCGACTCCCTGACCGGGACTCTTTACAGGGGTTGATTTTCTACTTGCGTGCGCCCACCACTGAAAATACTCAGCAAAGTGGAAGAACTTGTTTCTGGTTGCGGGCCCCAGAAAGCTGAAGAAATCCCAAAAGAGATCCCCCCAACTGTTATAGTTCATAAACCTTAGAGCCCTTTTGGGGCGGTTATGACCTGAATGAGGTACAGGTCAGAAACCCGTAGGATGTGGTTCAACAGCGAAACTCTTACGAACCATCCTGAGGGGGTCGTAGTCTAGATCTTGAAATCACCCTTGTGATACCAAAGTAGCCAATCCATCTGACATCTCCGAAGCTCCCTGTTTCACTTTCAAGAGACCAGAACTGCACGGCCCCTCTGTTTCTAGGAAACCCCAAGTTGGTGGCCGTTTTCCTTTAAAACCACCAAACAAGGGTACCCTCAAAAAGGACTTACCCCAAGCACCTTCGTCATCTGTAGGTGAGTTCGCTTTGCCCAGTGGTTTTCCTGTTGGTTTCCCTTTCAGCCAAAAGCGGGGTCCCTCAAACACAGTGGCTCAAAATCCCGTACTCCCAGTGAACATCCCATTCCACTAAAATAGACATGTGGGCGTGGGTCAAAAATAGGTACCTAAAATGGCTTGCCCTGGCAAATGGAAACAAAGACTAAAACCTGCCGTCCATATCCTGGTAGATTAATTTTTGTTTGACCCACACCCATACGGTCTTCCCATCCTAGCGCTCAACGGCTCTCCTCGGCCGCTGGGGTGGCGACCGCGCGGCTGTTGCCGCCATTGTGCTTGGCTGCCTCAGGCGGTTCAGCTGCTAGCTCCTCCAGATTTGAGAGGTTAGAAGTTAGGGTACCAACTTTTTTCTGTAGTCTATTTTAGCAGGGGAACCCTCCCCCAAAAAAGGGTAAAAGGGTACTGGAAACACCTAGTGGAAGAATCTAATCTATTTTAGTAGTTGGGAACCCTCCCAACCCAAAAAGGAACAATTGGCTTTTTTATCCCACTAGATACCTGGCCGCGCCGCAGCCCTCAGATTTCCTGGATTAATCAACCCCAGTCTATTCATAGGGGAAGTGTCCATGGGTTTGGTCAACACCCGGTATCAAACTGGGCCCGATTTCTGATCCCCTGCTAAAAGTGACCTTTCTTTTAGCAGTACTACCATTAAACCCAAGGCTAAAAGGCTAAGGACCCGGATGGCTGGGAGAAGATGCTCAGGAGCTGCTTCTTTTCGTGCCTAGTCAAGGAGAACCAACAGCTCGGCAGCTCAAAAACGTCTCACGCTGTCTTCTTGAGCTCTGGTCGCACCGTGCCACCATCTAGGCCCAAACTTTGTTTAAAGGCCCGGTGATGCGGCTTGTACCACCTGAGCGTCGTCCACCGAACTTGCGCCACGCCGTCCATCTTGATTTGCGACACCCCGCTGGAAGCCTTGCCACACCTCCGCCACATCATTTGGAAGTCGCTGCACAAGGGCTCCCCAGAAGGCCGCGCCGCCTCAAACCAATGTCCCCGCAAGGAAAAAGTCTAGACCAGAAACTCAGGGAGCAAAAAAAGAAGAGAAAAAACGAAGAAAGAGAAAAAAAAAAACAAAAAGGAAAACAAAAAAAACGCAACAACATGTGATACCACCAACCCCTGGTCCGCCTAACGGCTGTGGTCACTTCTCCGGGCACCTGGCCCATCTGTAGCCCAGGAAGTGCTCCCTCCGCGCCGTGTCCGCCACCAGGGACACCTGGTGCTCACAATGCCAACAACATGATGTCCTAAGGTCGTGGGGGCTGGGGGGGGGAGGGGGAGGGGGAGGGAGCCCAAATAAGCCGTAAAATGTGCCGAAACTTAGGGCTTGCGGGCTCCCTCCCCCCTGTCTGCCCCCCTGCTAAAAGCTTAACTTTTAGCGGCTTAACCCAAAACCCATTAGTTGGCAAAAAGTCAAAGTCCTAGCGTCCAAGAAAATGCACCAAAGTTTACCGCAAATGGACATGCCCCCTGGTTGTACATGGGGTATGCAGGGTATATACCCCGAAAAAATCCCCGATCGAAAGCCTATAGGTGCGGTATGTTACAACCTGCTAGGAAACTGGATAACCATTTGCCAACTTGGCCGAAAACCCAAGTTGGTGTCAAAATGCCAACGGTTCAACATCGCCCCAGGTACAGGACACTCGAAAAGAGTGATGTCAGAAAAGGAACACCAAAGGAACACCTGATAATAAGGATAATAATAATAGTAATACTGATAATAACAACATTAATACCCATAATACTAACAATAATAATAGTAATAATAATAATAGTACTAATGTCGATGAGACATTTTAAAAAACAGCAATAGTAATAACTATCAAAACTGAAAAAGTAATAATAATAATAATATTCAAAATGAAAATAATATTGATTTTATTAATAATAGCAATAACAGCAACCATAATAACAATCATAATCATAACAATAATAAGTATCATAAGAGTAATGATGAATACTAATAAGAATGACAATAATGATAATAACAATAATAATAACAGTAGCAGTAATAATAATTGTGTGTCTATATATATACATATATATGGTACCCCCCCCCCCCAAAAAAAAAAAAAGAAGAACGGAAACACTGGTATTTACAGTGCGTTGTCGCCAAAACTTGCATCTGCCAGAACACACACTTTTCAGGCCCACTCTCTGCATCTGTCAAAAGCCTCTCATTTGGCAGCCAATGCTGCAACCAAGCACTATGATTGCGTAAGGGCATCTCTTCAAGGAAGCGTGTTGGAAACTGAAAAAAATGAGAAAAACTGATAACAACTGAAAGAAAAAACTGAAGAACAAAAAACTGAAAAACCCAGAATTCAGGAGGAAATAGGGGCCCCCCAGGCATGTCCCCCTGAATCCTTGGTTTTTCAGTTTGTTCAGTGTTTTTTTCAGTTTTCTCCTAGTATTCGCCTTTATTATTCCCCTAGTATTGCCTGAACAACCAAGCACTATGATTGCGTAAGGGTATCTCTTCAAGGAAGCGCTCTGGAAATTGAAAAACAGAAGAAACAAAAAGTGAAAGAACTGAAAACACTGAAAAAACTGAAAAAAATGAGAAAGCTGAAAAACCAAGAAGTCAGGGGGACATGATGTCCCCCCAAATCCTTGGTTGTTCAGTTTGTGTTCAGTGTTTTTCAGCTTTTTCAGCTTCTTTTTTCAGTTTGTTCAGTGATTTCAGTGTTTTTCAGTTTTCCCCTAGCATTCACCTTTATTACTTGTCTAGTATGTTCTGAGTATTCCCTCAGACAAATTCAGCTCGAGACCTCGTATTCCCTCAGGATTCCCCTAGCATTCTCCTAGTATGCTCCTTTAGTATTCCCCTAGTCTTCCTTGAGTAATTCCCTAGTATTTGCCCGAGTATTCCAATAGTATTCTCTTGGTATGCCCCAAGTATGTCCCAGTAAGGGAAGCTTCAGTATTGCCCTGGTATTCCTTAAAAATTATCTTGGTATACCCCTAGTATTCCCTCAGAATTCCCCTAGTATTCTCTAGTGTTCACCTTTACTATTGCCCTAGTATTCCCTGAGTAGTTCCTTAGTAGTGCCCTATGATTGCCCTAGTATTCCCTATTATTGCCCTAGTATTCAGTTAATTTAGTAGTCTCTTGGTATACCTAGTAAAGGGATGGAATTACTAGGGGAATACCTTTAGTATTGCCCTGGTACTCCTTAAGTATTCTCTTGGTATACCCGTAGTATTATCTAATATTATCCTAGATGTCTTCCAGTATTCACCTTTAGTATTCCCCTAGTCCTTCCCTAGTAGTGCCCCAGTATTGCCCTAGTCAGGCAGCCTGAGAGAAGTCAGACAGATTGAGCTTGAAAGTATACCCCTAGTATTCCCTCAGTATTCCCACGTATTATCCTAGTATTCACCTTTAATATTACCCGAGTATTCCCTGAGTATGTCCCTAGTATTGCCCTAGTATTCCCCTAGTATTGCCCTAGTACTCCTTTAGTATTCTCTTGGTGTACCCCTAGTGTTTCCTCACTACCCCCTAGTGTTCCCCAAATATTTCACTAGTAAAGGAAGGGGAATATTAGGGGAATACCTTCACTATTATCTAACTAACTAGGCAGCTGAATAGATAACTAGCTGATTAGCCAATTAACTAGCGAAAAGGCTTTAGAGCTCATTCAATACAACTATTTAACTGACTGATTAGCTGACTTGCTGACTGTTTGTTTGACTAGCTAATTGAACTTGCCAACATTTACTGCTTGAACTTGAAAAATACGTGTTTCGAAGAGGCGAAAATACACATGTTTCTCAAAAGTAGCATTTTGTGCAGTGATTTTGACAATTGTCCAGGTTCAAAACCTGGGTGGGGGTTATATATACATATATATGAATGTAGATATGAATGCATATATGACAATTAAACTTTTCACAACAAAAGACATATCGTGTTCCTGATGAAAACAGCCTGCTTATGGCAAGGGAATGTCCCTTATGCTTGAACTACTTTGACGACCACCCTATTTAATAAGTCGCTAATGTCTCTGGTTGGTACATCCTCCAAGTCCTGCATGAATACCACCTTGGGGACTTCCGTGAGGATGTTTTTGCCACGTACCAAGCGGGGTCGTGCAAGTAGGTTGGTTTCCCGTTGCTTGTTCCCCTTTGACATCCCCCCAAGGGGGAAGTTGGCAAGGCCCTGCAGGCCCAAGGTGTAGGGAGCTATGCCATGCTCTGCGTGTCAAACAAAAGACACCTTGGATTTCAGGCAGAGATCTCCCTTCATAGGGATCTTCCCCTTCTCTCCCTTCAAAACCTCAGGGGCACAGAGCTTGGTTTCCGGGCTTAACTCCGGTTGAAGGAGCCCACCTAGAACCCCCAAGGCAAAACCTGGCCTTCAGCCTTTGGCTTGTCCAGCAACCTGACCCTGTGTTTGGGAGTTGGGTTCTGTGGATGGTTGCGACATCGAAATCCGATTTCGAGCCTCGCACCACGAGCTGGAACCATGGGAATGAAACCATAACGTTCGTTGGTGTTTACAAGCGAATCGGGGTTTCTGAACTTTGGTGCAGGATTTCGTGATTATTCACAGTCCGCCAACGTGACTGAACACACTCAAAAATGAACATCTTCCCAACGAATGGATCTTGAACCATCGATCCCCCCCCAAAAAAAACGTTCAGAGTCTTTGAGTCCAGGTCCGCGCGTACGGAAGCAGTAGCTTTGGTCAGGCTCCTCTTGGATGTGCTCGGGGAACTTGGACGCAAAGACACGACATGCTGTGCGTTGCTCATGTCTACATCTGCACAATATGAATATCAATAAGACTATTGAAACTTATCATGACAATAACAACAATCAAGTCTCCGAAAAAGACTGGCTATCTCTATCATTCCTCTGCCGGGTGTTTTCACCTCCAACGGCTAGAACTATTTTGCAGTCATTTCTCCTCAAGAATGTGCAAATCTACCTCTGTGCGCTTCCACAAGCAGGCAGCGGGCACGCAAACCGCCCGATTTTCTCGGCCAGGGTACGAAAATCTCCCCGCCCCGCCTCCACCAAAAACAAAGATCCGCGCCTTCCCGGCGGAGCTGGCGGAGAGCGTGACCTCACCCTTTGTTCCGACCAGGAGCCGGAAGTCCCGCCACACGTCCTCGTGACAATGTGTGTTTTTTTGGGTTTATTGTTGTTGTTGTTTTTTTTGTTTTTTTTGGTGTTTTTTTTGCTTTTTTTGTTTTTGTTGTTTTTGGTCGTTGTTGTTTTTTTTCTCGGAAGGTTTTTTCGGCGAAGAACGGATGCGCCCCGAGCTGTGTCCTTTTGGTTGAAAATCGATGGTCCTGGTGGATTATGGTGAACAACCAGGTCAGCCTACAAGACACCTATGGATGCGCCACGAGCCACTTCCTGGATTAGTTAGAAAAAGGTAACCAGACTTGGTCGGAAACAGTAACCAGACTTGGTCAGAAAAAGAAACTAGACTTGTTTACCACCAAAAGGACCTTCCCGAAAGGTTAAACATGATCGCAAATTTAATGTCGATTGGGAAGTGAGCCAGGGCAACATTCAGAACCCCTGGCAATTTACCAGAGCTTTTGCAGTCGAGAAATGGAATTCGAACATACCCAGGCTTGTCAGCCAGGCTTGGGCAAGAAGCCCACGATCTCCTCATTGTTCAAAGGATTCCATCGGGGAAGCAACTGCAGGCATGCACAAACTGGATATCAGGAATGGACCAAGCAAAGGATTTTCTGTGGGTTCTGCCCCGGTCATGTCTGGAAAAAACTGTGCAGATCACATCCCCAAGAAGCACGCGGAAAAAACACATCCATGCTTCGGCCTGGCTTCATCCCAAGCGCAGTCTTCTCCTGACAGCTCCCTGAAGGAATTCCCATTTTGGCCCGTTGCCCGTTCACCTTTTGGGCCTTTCTTCCATTACCTCCAGTTGCAAAAGACGGAGAAAAAAGAAAAAGGAAGAAAAAAAACAGAAGAAAAAAAAAAAAAAAACGAGTATTTCCAGTAGCGAACTCGGTTTCCTTAAACAAAAACAAGGGCAAATAAACAACATTCATCTCAGCCGGATGACACAAAAGGTGGTTCACCACCTTTTGCTCGGGGCGTTTCGGCGTTTCGGCCTGGGAAGAGCAGCCCTGGTTTTTTGGGGGGGACAGCCGGTCCTCGCCCACCGAAGCGTGTGCCACCACTCCATCCTGAGGCTTGACGCGGGGATTGGTCTCTGCGGCTCCAACAGCCTGGGATCTTCGAAGGCATGGGTCAAAAGAAAACCACCAGGATATGGACCGCAGGTTTTGGTCCTTCTTTCCATTTACTCACTTCTGGCCAAAAAAAGTCTGAACTTTTTATTTACCACTAAAATGGTCTTTCCAAAAAGTTTAAAGTCCATCAACTCAGGAAGTGATTTACCAGGGCAAGCCATTTGGGGGTTACCCTATTTTTGACCCAGCCAAGTTCGTAAGTGGTTAGCGACGTGGGCATAGGTGTCCCTTTTGGTAAGATAGATGGCCCTGGTAGTCGATTGAACCACCAGGTAAGCCAGGGCCCTCAATTGTTCAACCAAATCAAGCCAAAAGGACACCTATGGACGTGGGTCATAACCCACTAATAACAAGGTCAACTTGGGGGGGCTTATAAGTGGGTTGCAACCTAGGTTGCCAGCAACTTACTAACTTAGCGAGTCGAACACCCAAGTACTGTGGACGGCTGAACGCGAAATCGACCTCCGCGAGGTTTTTTGGATCAGGGTTAATGAGGAGGCCAGGGCTTTTCAGACAGAACGCTCATAGGGCCACAAGCCGCCCTGATTTAGCCCAGTATCTTCGGCAGCAACCAACGTACTGATGGTGGCGAAATCCATTTCGCACCTCTTGGAAACCATGATGAAATGATTGCTTGTTACGGTATTGACGGGGCGGAATCGCATCATTCCTGGACTTCTGAGTGCAGTGGTGCGAGAAGCGGATTTCATCCATCCAGGGACACTGCAAAAACAGTTCTCCCGTTTTCAGCAACCATGGAGGCGGACACAGGGCTTTCCAAGAATAGTCTTCCAAAACCCTTCGGTCAGCGTCCATTGTTGGAGGGAGGGTAGACTTGAATTTGGGTTTAGACTACCCCACAACCCCATTCTTATCATTGAAAGGCCCCTACTCCCTCCTTTCCCCACACGAAAAAAAAGGGGTCCTAGTCTGTTTTCCGGGGCGCACTTTCTAAGAAAAGTTGAAAAAGGGAAGCAACCCACCGCGTGTCCCAGCCTGCAGGCTGATGACCCCAGTTTCAGTGACCGCGGTCAGCCAGTACCGCGTGGCCTGCGCGGCAAAACGCGAAAAAAACATCCCCAAAAGCGACGTTTAGCATTGAACATGCGAAGGGCCCCAATCTGAGGCACACAAGAAATCGGATTTTCAGATGCTGGTCCATACTTGTATAATAGACATAAGTTTGGAGGAGCCCCCAACTGCGGGCACCCCCTCCCAAACAAAACTGAGCAAGATAACAATACTCTCCTTTCTCGTCAGAAGTAAGAAGCCCTAAAGCAGGTGACCTATGGAAAAACAATCTGGCCCTGGCAAATGCAATGAAACCAGTCTAAACCAGTCCCATCAAGAATATCTAGCCAAACAAACCTACAAAAACCAATGCCGCAAAGCTTGCCACTCTCTGGAAACAAATCGTCAGCACCAGCCAGGCGCGTCATCTTTTCTCGACCGGAGGGAGCCGGAGACTCAAGAGAGGCTTGCCGCGAGTAGGGATCCCTGTGCGACGGTTGCGAAATCCATTTCTCACCGGACCTAAGAAACCCCGAGAACCAACTAGCGATATGGCTGTGGCTCAAAAAACCGGAAATCCAAAATGAAACCCTGGTAAGTGGAAACATGGACCAAAACCTGCGGTTTGCCCCTCCTGATTAATTTTGAGCCACAACCATATGGTGTCAACCATTGTTTCAAAAGTTTTCATGAGTTCATTCCGCGAAAACACTTGGATGGCCAAGTTAACCTTTCAGGTGTTGGTTCAGGCGCTGCTTGGGGTCCCGATAGTTGTGGCCCCGGATTCAACGCAAGTCGGCTTCAGGGAAACGAGGTGGAGACCAGTTTTTAGGACCAAAACTCCGTGCAATAACAAAAACACAATGAACAACTCTGAGCAAACCGCAGAGAGGCCAAAAGGTGACACCCTTCACGTGAAGGTTGCCTGCCTGCTACTGCTTTTTACCCGTTTTTTTTCTCAACCACGATCCATCAGACCTGAATCCTGTGAGGCCTCGTGATGAATGACTCGCCAGAGCAAGCGGTTGCGTCTGCCCTACGGGCAAGGACATCCCCACGTGAATGAAGCAACTGCCACTGAAAGTTTCTGTGCGCATCCAGAGTTGGCTACGACTGTAAAACGACAAACTCCAGCCGAATTGGAGGCGAGAAAAGCAACGGTCGGCAAGCTGCCTTTGCAGCCGCTTGCGGCATCTCCGGCGCCTCACTGGGCAATCTCCGCAGGCGGTCACTTTAACAAGCATGGAGACGCCCCATGAAAGTTCCTCAATGTCGCCAACGGCACGCAAGCCATAGGAAAACGGGATCCAGCGTGCGGAGTGCGGCCTTGCAACCCCTGAAAGCAAGGTTGACGGCGTTGGACACCGCCAGCCCAGCCGGGCTCCAAATTCGATGTGTCCAGTTTGCTAAGGCGTGTGATGTCATCTAACAGTCCTCCCGCAAGCCCGAGCACATCCAATTCCAAGCAAGCTCTGAGTCCGAGCTAGGGTGGTGCGAAGCCAGCCACTGACGCAAATGCTTGAGTTAACTCCCAACGCGCGCCAGCCTTGAAAGCGTGATGGCTGGAAAGTTGCGGCGCCAGTGCTGCAAGACAGGGCATCCAACTTAAATGGTGTAAGCGCCTGGGGATTGTGTCTGCCAACGGCGACAGCAGGCACCGGGCACAGCCAAGCTGGTTGGGCCCAACTCAAGGTAAGGCAAGGCGCGGCTCCTCACGATGCCATCTAACACTCCTCCTGCAAGACTGAGCATACTCTTGCGAGCTTCCTTGATGGAAAGCCAGCTGAAGCAAACGCTTGACCAAGACTGCGTCATGCGGTTGAATCCCAATGCGTGTCCAGGGCTGGGAAGCTGCGGCGGTGCCAGTGAGCATGCAAGCTCAAAAGGTGTGAGCGCATGCGCAGGCTAGCAGTACTGGGTCGCCCAACCACAGCAGTCCGAAGCTGAAGCTCGCTGGGACCTGGGCAACGCCAAGCTTGTTGGGTCCAAAACCTCTGTGCCTGTGCTCTCAGGTCAAGGTGCTCCACGATGCTCCGAAAAAAGGCCATCTAATCCTAGCAACGCACACCTTCCCAGCCTTCAGGAAGAAAACCAGCCGGCCTTCTCAGCTACGAGCTGCTACGCCCCTGGCCTTGGCTGGCACCAAGCTGAGCATCCAACTCCGTGAGCTTCACAAAGCGAAGCGCGGTGAGGAGGCTTGCACCTGGCGTCACTTCCGCTGAAGCTCCCCACCCCCGGTCGCGTGCCCGAGACAGGAAGCCAAGCAGCCTAAAGCCTCTTAGCTATGGCCTTGGAACCTTGGAACGATGGGTCTATCAGCTGGGCCAACAGGGGTTTCTGATTTTTCGGAAATCTGAGGAACGAGCACATTGCGCTGTGCAGGTGATGCTCAAAACGGTCAACAGGCTTCTATAGCGCACGGCCTAGGAGAATGTGGCGCTGCCGTTGCCGCAAGGCAAAGCATCAGATGCAAAAGGCACAAGCGCGGGCACTCGCGCTAGCAGCTCTGTAGCCATCACTTATTTGTCTGCCAGCAGTCGTCTCAGGCTGCAAATTGCCGCGATGTCCTAGGCACTGGCGAATTGGTTGGGCAGTCAAGCTGCATTGAACAACGCCGCGCGCGTGGTGGAACTTTACAAAGACATGGGCGCGATTATCTTTCTCTCTCTCTCTCTCTCGCAGCCTGGAGGGAGGCCTAGCTATACCACATATCCTTAGTAAGAAATGCATTTCTCGCGCAGTCGTTGCTTGCATCGGCTAAGCATTATCGAAGGAGTCTGTAGAGTGCTCTGGCATCCGGCATTGACGAGTGCTTGCGGCTTTCCCGCTCACTCCTATGCGCTGACTGTTGGATTGTGTGACCGATTTTCGCCAGACCCCGGCGCGAATTGAAGCTTTTGGATTGGACCATAGGCAAGCCACGCCGTTTTCCTTGGAACTTCCGAGAGGCTTCGCTGGGCCGTGCGTCTTTAGTGTGAAAAGGTTTCTGCTCCTGCCGAGTCGCTACAGTGAGAAGCTAGCTGCGGGTCGTGCACTGGCAACATTCGCCTTAGAGGAAATGGTGAGCTCCACACTGCTCAGATGCAAGCAGGGTGTAAGATCAATCAAACTCGAAGAAACAAGAAGGCAAGTGAGCTCAAACATGTCAAACAGTTATAGGGAAAGTACTGGGAAGATGCGGCACTGTGAAAGTTGCGAGACAAGGCATCAACTGCACAAGGCGCGAGCACATGCACAAGCCAGCAGTAGTGTAGCTAGCAGTTCTTTTTCTGCCAACAGCAGCAGTCTCAAGCTGTAGCTTGCTGCGGGGTTCCCAAGCGACGCTTGCTTTGCTCAAGCCAAATTGAACATCGCATTGAACAATGCCAGCAGCACTGCGGCCGGCAGCACTCTGTCCGGCAACCGTAACAGCAATCTCAGGCTGATCACAAAGCTCTGGGCACGGCCAAGCAGGTTGGGTCCAAGCGCTCCGTGCTTGGCTCAAGGAAACATGACGCCCTTGCGATGTCATCTAAAACGCCCCCAAGCCTGAACATGTCCCATTTTCGGCAACCGCTGGCGAGCTTCCTTGATGCAAAGCCAGCTGAAGCAAATGCTTGTCCAAGACTGCATCATGCAGTTGAGTTCTAATGCGTGCCAGCAAGGGCTGGGAAGTTGCAGCGCCAAAAGGTGTGAGCACAGGCGCAGGCTAGCAGTACTGTCGCGCCCAACCACAGCAGTCCGCAGCTGAGGCTTGCCAGGAAGTACTGGGCAGAGCCAAGCTTGTTGGGTCCAAACCTTCTGTGCTTTCTTCAACTCAAGGCAGCATGATGCTCATGATACCATCTAATGCTACTCTTAGACCACATAAATCGCATCCTAGCAGCATGATTTTCAGCAAAACCAGCTGGCGAACTCCATGTCTCAGGTGCGCCGAGCTTTCCGCCCCGGGCATGATGGGCTGAGGGCGGTGCGCCGAGCTTTCCGCCCCGGGCATGATGGGCTGAGGGCAAGACACACATCTCGTCGAACTCCCGGAGCTCCACGAAGCTTTGGGCACCACGTTGAGAAGGCACCAATCCGCCCGGCGGTGACTCATGGCATGTCACTGTCATCCAAGTGGTTGCGCCCTCTCAAGTCACGCCGCCGAAAAATGTTTTGCTTCGAAGCTTTCCCAACCTGCAGCTGCCGCTGCCAGCTGCCGCACTTCTTCTGCCCACCGCGGCAGTCCGAAGCCGGAGCGTGCCACGGAGCTCAGGGCACAGCTTCGTCCGGCTCCGGGTGTGGCTCAAGTCAAGGCAAACCGCACCTCATGCATGTCTCACTTGAAGCAACCTCTTGCAAGCAATTGGATTCGATCACTCCTCCGGCAATTGCTTGAACAGCCCACCGCGCGCCGGCTTGGAAGGCGTGGGAGCTGGGAAGCTGCAGGTCCGGTGCCCCACAGCAGCAGGAAGCGCGCGGCACCCGCTCCGTGCTTTGCAGGCAACACGCTGCTCCTCGGGATGCCATCTAACACTCCTCCAGGCTGGAGCACATCACATTGCAAGCAACTTGTTGCGAGCTACCTTGCGAAGCCAGACACTCACACAAATGCTAGACTGCATCCTTGAATTGACTCCCAACATGCGCCAGCCTTGAAAGCGTAAGGGTTGGGAAGCAGCGCCGTTGCCGGTGCTGCAAACAGGGCATCCAACTCAAAAGGTGTAAGCGCCTGGGGATTGTGTCTGCCAACGGCAACATCAGTCCGAAGCCGAAGCTTGCCACGAAGCTCTGGGCGCAGCCAAGCTGTTTGGGTGGTAACTCAAGGCAACACGCTCCTTCTCACGATGCCATCCAACACTCCTGCAAGACAAAGCATCCTCTTGCGAGCTACCTTGATGCAAAGGCCGAAGCAAACGCTTGACAAAGACTGCAGCATGCAGTTGACTCCCAACGCGTGCCAAGGGCTGGAAAGTTGCGCTGCTAGTTCAAGGCCCGGCGTCCAGGTCAAGAGGAAGTGCATGCGCCAGCCAGTCCGAAGCTGAATGCGAAGGAGCTGTGGTGAACCGGTCCAATGGCTCTGTTCGCTCAAGTCAAGGGCTCCTCGTGATGCCATTCAACACTCCTGCAATCCTAAAGAAACCTCCGTCTTGCGAGCAAACTTGCTGCGAAAACAAGCACTGAAGAAAGCGCTACACCAAGACTGTTGCAATGCGCTCGTGAGCCTTGAAAGCGTAAGTTCTGGAAGACAAAGCATCAGCGGTGTGGGCGGATGCGCAGGCCGGCACTGCGCCTAAGCTGAGGCTTGCCACCAAGCTCTGGGCAACACGCTGCTCCTAGGATGCCATCTAACGCTCCTCCAAGCTTGAACACATCACATTGCAAGCAACTTGTTGCGAGCTACCTTGCTGCGAAGCCAGACACCAACCTCGATTTAAGCCCCAAACGCCAGCCTTGAAAGCGCAGGGGCCGAAAAGTTGCACCGCGGCCGGTGCTGCGAGGAAGGCCGTCCAACTCAAACAGTTGCAAAGGAACCCACCGACTGCGTCTGCCAACCGCCCACAGCTTGCGGAGCTGTGAACACCGCCGAGCCGCGATCAAATCAAAGCGACTCATGGTGGCTGGGAAGTTGCACCAGTGCTGCTGCTGCCGCGTGGCAGTCTGAGGTGTGAGCGCCGTGTCTGCAAACCACGGCTGTCTGAAGCCGAAGCTTGCCCATTCCTGGCACAGGTTTCAGCTGGTTGGGGCTAACGGCGCTCTCTCAACTCACGGAGACGTGCTCCTCATGATGTCATCTTACATAACTTGAGCCATTGGCTTTTTGTAGACATATCCTCTACGCCGATCCATTGCCCAGTGCGTACAAGCACCGTATTCCGCCCCAGATCGCACGAAGCTTCTTGGGAGAACCCACATGCACTTCGAGCCCACGGATACGCCGCGGGCTGGAAACGGTGATTTTCTGACAGCGGGATAGATTCTGCTGCGAAAGGGAACCCTTTCAGGATTTGGGCGCTCTTGAAAGCTGATTATCCCGTAAATCTCTCTCTTTCGTGCGATGGGAAGTCAGAGTCTGACTTGAGATAGTCTCTGAACGCGAGCAGAATTGGTTCCATCAGCCAACCAGGCGAATGGCTGGCACATCCACACAGTTGAAGCCCAGGCGCAGGGCGATCATGTGCTGAACCAATAGGTGCGCGCCTAAATTCAGGAAGCCGCTCGTTGGCTTCACTTCGGCGGACCCACACCCCGAGTCAAAGTGCATGTTCGAATGGCCGAAAAATGGCCAGTGCTACATCTGCAGCCAAACTGAAGGGCGATTTTTCAACAACTCGCTGCGGCTGCCTCCGGTCCCACGAGTCGCCTGCCACAGCATAGACGAATGTGTTGAACAGCTCATTTCACGGGCGAGGTCTCCAAGGAGAAACAACCACAATCGGCTTCGGTTTTCCAAAGAGCAATGTTGACCCATTCACCAACCCGAATGAAACAAACTCCCAAAAGGTAGTTGGGTCCCTTCAAGAAACTCAGATAAAAAAACCAGAGGGGTGGGTTCCCATTTCTGGTTTGTACCGACTTCCTGACTGTAAAGTGGCCAACCACTACGAACTCCTCACTATCCACACTTGGCAAATGACTACAAATCCCATGGAAATTCGAAAAAATCCCAGCTTCTTCTATTTCGAGCGAGATTCCTTGGATCTTGTTGAAGGATTTTTGTTCTACCCTTCCTCCCACTAAAATGGCACGTGGGATGGAATTTGGAAGATCAGTTTTGTCTGGGAGGGAGCCCATGTCAGGTGTGGGAGAGAGGGTGAATCATGTCGACCAGATTCATCCACCTTGGCGCTTTCCTGTGTGAGAACACCCCCCCAAAAGTGACCCGGGTTCCCAAAATGAAACACAGCCCCAATCAACAAGGGCTTCTGCTTCCCAAACTTACGTTTCTGGTTGCGTCTTTCTTAAATTTGGTACCCCTCGCTGGGTGGGAATAAACTCAAATGCCCAGTGGCCATGGGGAAAAAAGGGGGCATCCTTTGTTGGTTGGCCAACTTTAAAGGAATTGGAACCCTTCCCAAAACAAGTCGGAAGAAAAGGGAGCAACCCCACTGGGCAACTGTAAAGGGAAACCAAGAGGAAAGCGCACCATTCGAGCGCCCCCCGCACCTCGCTGCGGAGGTCCTTTCGGCAGGTCACCAAAGACACGGCCGCCTGGAACCAAGCGGAGGCCGGAAGCCGGCCCGGTCGGTGGCCCGGATATCCTTCTTTGCAGGAAATCCACTCAAAAACCCGAGGAAACGGCCGGCTGAAGAGAACGATGATTGAAAAGAATGGAAAGGAATGAACCCCCAACAGCTTTGAATGCTTTTGGGATGTGGGTTTCCCTAAAAGCAAAAGCAACATTTGGAGGGCAACTTGGAGGATGTCCCTTTTATGGGCCCAGTATGTAGCCCGAGATTGTCAAGCAGAAAAAAATGTTGGCTGCGGTTTCCCATTGGCCTTCATTTGCCCAAAACGGAGAGCATACCACCAAACAACCTGGAAGCGCATCGCAAGTTGGAAGACGACCTTCCTGTTCGGAAGCTTGTGCACTTCCCGTGCTGGTGAAAAGATAACTTTGAGGTAGTTCCAAAGGGCCGCAGGAAGAGCACTCCAATTCCTTTTGTAGTACCGTAATAAGAGACTTTAGGTGATGACCAAACAAACCTCGGAATTGCCACGAGTCCCAACGGCCAATCCTTCAGGAAGAAAGCCCTATCGCAGTGCACATCAGAGCCGCGTGGGGATCCATGGGAAGCCCAGGTGATATCCCCATCCCAGGAACCTCGAGTCTCCAAACCCCTGAAAGCTGCCCCAAACCCCTTGTCGCCGATCTGGGCCTATCGACGACCCCATAGCTTGCAGCAGTCGGGGAATTAGAACATTGACGCCCCTTTTCGTTGATCCTCGGCCTTTACAGGGCCAGTTGAATCGTGGTTTATTGATCTTTACGTTGGGGAATCGTATCATTCGGGTCTCTGAAAGGATGGCGGAAATGGATTTCGCCAACATCAAAGCAGAATTTTGAGACACACGACATCCATTCCTTCATGGCGCTTGCCTCCTTTGGAACACCCCTCAGCTTCCCAGTTGATGGTTTGGATTGGTGGTTTGGTGCTTCTACAAGAACCAGAAGTTCAAATCCCCAAACCACCAATCCAAACCACCAGTTCATGTTGACCCCACATTAATCAACCAACCAGGAATGGGGGGGTCTTCCCCTTCAAAAGTGATGATTCCCCACTAAACCCAGAACCACCCCCCCTATGAATAAACTGGTTGGTTGATGAAAACTTGGGGTCAACATTCATCCCCAACTGGTTCTTGTACCACCAACAATCTAAACCACCAGTTCATGTTGACCCCATATTAATCCATTCCCCACTCAACCCAGGTGGCACCCCCCTATAAATCAGCTGGGGTTGACCAGCCTGGGGTCAACATTAATCCCCAACTGTTTCTTGTACCACCACCACAGACTAATGTTGACCCTAGATTCACAAACCAACCAGTTTATTGCTAGCGCCACCAATCCAAGCCACCAGCTCGCAGATCACCCGTCCCCGTTTTTCTGCGAAGCCTCGCCTCCTTCTTCGCCAGGCCCAAGGACCTCTCGGCCGCCGCCACCTCCGCGCCTCAGCTTTTTAGTTCTTTTTTCGCCCCACGGTCAAAAACGACGACTTCGTTCGAACCCCCCGAACCTTTGGCCGGCGCTGCCTTTTAAATCTTCGCACGAATTTCACAAGTAAAAGATCCATACAAACGAGGTCGTCTTGACCCCCAACTTGGAGGCCAAAAAGGTATACCACCAGTTTTAGTTATCACCAAACAAGGACACGCCCATATGCGCCTTTACAAAAGACCGGCTCCTTTACTTGGGGATAACCGGAACTCTCATCCACCAAGCCAGGAAGGGATCCTTTATTTTCCATTTGCTTTTTCACCTCATGGAACACAGTGATGGAGTCCCTTTAACGCCAACAACGGAAAATGAAAACTAGTCTGAAGCAAATGGAAGCCACACACACACATCTATGGAACCTTTTTACAATTCCAAGATATACCTTACTAAGCTCCTTGCATTTTCTGCTTAGACCTGCCAAAAGTCAGAGAACACGTGTGGCTAAGGGAAAGGAAAACACCGCTTCAAAAGCTGAGAAGGCACCTTTTCCCGCATGAAAGCCAATTCAGAAGCCTGAAACAAGGTTGCACACATTCATATGGGTAGGGGGCTCCCTTGGAACAGCAAGAGGACTCTCACTTTGACTCAGGTGATGTTTGAATCTACCAACAGGGAAATGGGCTTGCCTCAAAGGGGTGCGGAGAAATAAACTGTGGTCAGTTTGTTGGTTTCATTCTCAACCCACCCAAACATGTTGGTACCCTCAATTAAAGACACCCAAATAGGAAATATAAAGGGAGCCCTTCAAGGCATGGGTGACCCTTTGGCAAAATAGATAGACCTGCTACACGTGGCATGAAAACCACTCCATTCTCGCATCACTTTGCACCCATGGCAAGGGCACCATCTGCTATAACTCCAAAACCTCTAATTGAGGGATCCCCAAGCAATTAAGGGATCCTGTGCATCCGGAATCACCAGTGGAACCCATCTATTTCTATCCAAGCTAGACGATCAAAAGGACACCTCTTTGTTGCTGTTGACACCCCCGCAAAAAGTTTAACTTTTCGTGGGTTTAGTGGAAACCCCCTTAATTTCAACCAAAAAGTTAAACTCTAAAGATCCAACCCAATAGCAGTCAAGACCCACCCAGGTGGACGCTTCAACCCTTGGTCTCCTGTGCATTCGTCCGCGCCTGAGATCACCAGGGCGGCGCCGCTGCCGCCTCGCAGCTTCGAGGTATTGCTACGGATGGCTACGGGGTGGCTGTGTCTCAGAAATCGGAATTGGAATCCCCTGGTTGGACGGTTCTTTTTCAAAGACAACCAAAGGGAAACCCACCTACTTGGAGGAATTGGTCCCCAATTAAGGAAAACACCCACATGGGTGTTTCTCGAAATGTGCCCCTTGTGGCACTTCAAGGAAAACCACCAGGATGCCCACCATTTTAGGGGACCTCTATCGAACCAAATATCCTGGTAGGTCGACCTTTCGGGTTTTCGGAAACGCCATGTGTGCAAACCAACAGCATCGCCTATGGGGTCCACACCAAAGACCGGCCATACTCCTTGAAGCATCCCAAAACCACATGCTGAGTTGGATCCTCTAAACTGGTAAAGGTGACTTCTGAAGGCCTATAATGATATCCTTTCAAGGACCCTGCAAAAAAAATACGCCGGACCACAAAACACAATATGGTGTCAAAGCCCCGAAGCACTGCTAAAACAGCCTAATTAGAATGGGAATTGCCGTCTGTGATACCAGTAGACCTTACCCCTGAACCAATACCACTTGGCCCACATCTGGGTGTCGGATTTTGTATCTTCTGACTCTGTTCCATATTTTGTCTACCCTAAACTACACAGCATGGATGAGACCCCAGACCATAATTTGAGTGAGCAGCCAACCTGCTTCCCGCAACCCTCCGGGTTGCTGGTGCTTGGATAGTTCTGGGCACTTAGCCATAGTTCACAAACCGGAATTAAGAAGGGATGTATCGCTGGACTTACTTCCTGAGTTGACTGGCCAAAAAAGTCTGAACCTGTTATTTACCACTAAAATGGTGTTCGCAAACACCATGAACTCAGGGAGTGAACAGATCCCGGATCTGCGCGCTTGTCACGATTCTAACTCAGACGTTAGCTCCAGAGGTAGCTCCCCCATTATCTCCCAGGATCCATCTTTCCTTGTAAACTGCCGAACCCCCAAGCGAACTGCTGGCTTGTTGAGAACAAACGGTCAAAAAGCATGGAAAGGGAATCAACCCCTAGAGCATTGCTCTATGAACCCTTTCCACGAGATCAGTCGTCTTCCCAAATACAGAGTCATGCTCCGTGGAATCAACCCGTACACCTCTAGATGCCCAGCTGCTCAGTGTCGTCGGCGCAAATGTCTAAATCCCTTTGGGTTCCTACTAAAGTTTCGGGAATGAACCTAGGGATCCCCTCCACTCCGAGAACGAGCAAGAAAAAACAACCGTCGACAGTTGACAGAAATGGGAACCCCTTGGCTGGTTTTGAAGGGAAACCAAACCTTTGAGCTGTTTGCCGGTCTTCGTTTGGTGGCTCTTTCAACATAGTTCAAACATTTGGGATTAGAAGTCAGGTCTGTTGGGCCTGTGCCAAATGGGTGCATCATTTTCGAGGCTACCCTTTGAGTTCTACCCTTTTTTTTCTCTAACACCAAAAAGGGACAAAGCAAACTCCATCTTGGGGGGCCCCAAGACCCGCCCAATTGGGGGGGGTGTTTCATTTTGCGAGGGCACCTTGCATTGTTTGTTGATTTAATCGGAAACCAAGCGGAAAACCCAGAGCCATTTTGCGGGTCCCCAAGACCAAAACAAAACACCCACCCAACTGATACCTGCAGAGTTAGCAGATGTTTTTGCGAAGCTTCCGTCCCCTGGCCTGGGGGGACTACGCCTTTCCAGCGGTTCTCAAGAGCTTCCTAGCGGTTCTCCGTCGAAGGGACACAAAGGGATGAGCTCCGAACTCCCCACAAAAACAACTAAACAAATCCCGAGTTCTCCCATGTCCCATGTCCGAAACAATACCACTCCGCTGGCTAGAAAGCCGAGAAGTGCAAGTGCCTTATCTGGTGTAACCAGTAAAATCTCAAAACTGTGCAAGGGGGCAGTAGTGGAAGTGTCCATGAATTTCATGTGTGTGTGCGTATATCTCGGCACGCCCGGAAGAGGAGCACGCCAACAAAAAACAAAACAAACACGACCAGGAAACCCTCTTGGTGGCTGGTTTTTTCAATTTGCGCCAGGTCTTGGCCATATGGCCCAGGTGGCCCCAATCCAGGACCCACTTCAACTTCCTGCGCGTTGCGAGCCTTTGGGAAAAAGTGAACCCCAATTGGCAACCAGAAAGATCCCACTCCCTATGGCCTAGTAACCTCCTGACAGGGACCAACCCCGCCCCTCAGAGATCAGACGACACCTCTCTTTCGGAGGGAGGGAAGCAACGCTGAAGGGAGAAAAACCCACTCGAACCTGCAACCTTCCCACGCGAATCGCCAAAAATATGGGATGGGCCCGCAATCAGCAATAGCTTGCTACACCGCGGCCCACAGTACAAAACGTAGGCGCGACTCTGGGAAAAAGGGTCCCTGAAACGTCTACGAAGGCCTCCAAAGTTTGAAGGGAAAAGGAAGCCCTTGCTGTATTGTCCAACCTTCTGCGCATCTGTGTGATTCAAAAAACCCTTTTCGGGCCCCGTTCAAGCGGTCGGGATTTCCCTTTGCAAGGCTCTCAACACATTGTTCGTCCCTGGTGCAACGTCCTCCATACATTGTCTCCTACCCGAGGAAAAAGATTTGTGGGGAGGGCCCTGGATGGGCACCACCCTTCCAGAAAATTGACTTGAGGGGCGGACGCTCCTTCAAACCGATTTGGGTGCCAAAGATTTGATCGGGGATCCTTACTTTAAACATGAACCCCCGCCGTGGATGGCTGCGAAATCCACTTCGCACCATCTTGGAAACCATGGCTGAAACGAGTGTTCGTTGGTGTTTACAGGGGAATCGAATCATTCCAGGGTTTCTGGAAGGTGGTGCGAAAAGGATTTGTCCATCCACAGTATGATGTCCACCAAAGCGTCCCCTATCCAGAAACATCGCATCGCCATTTTCCAACCGACCCTCCCAACTGCCTCTTGCACGCCCATAGCATCGACCCAGCCTTCGCGAGGGTCGCCCCGAGGGTCTCGGCGGGCAGTGAAATTTGGGTTGGTCCAACTGACGCCCTGGGAACCCTGTCCAAGAATCATGACTTTTAACCCAGTGCTTTCAGGCAAGCGACTTTAGTAACCAGGGCCTACTGGAGGTATACTAATATCTGGTTACAGTACCCCTAATGGCTTGCCTGGAAAGCTCTGGGGTAAAGCGCTCGTTCAAGGGTACAGGGCTTAGTGTTGGTTGCCTTCCCATGGAAGTGCGACTTGGTCCACGTCTGAGGAACCTTTGGTGGACACTGGCCCTCAGAAAGCCTCCACTTGCGAAGACGCCCGGCGAAAAATGTGACTATAAAAAACCCGTGCTAGGCTCCCTTTCAAACCGGGGGGAACGGTATTCTTACCCTGTCCGTGCCATGCAACTCACAAAATGGTCCCGTTTCGAGGGAAATTGGCCAAACCAGGACCTCTCAGTCATCCACGGCAACTGATCCCCTGCTAAAAGCGAATAACTTGTGGGTTAAATGGAAACCCAACACACTAAACCAACTAAAAGCAACAAAACACCTAGCCAAGTGGAACTGTATAGGTTGGATGAGGGCAACCATCCCCAGCTTGAAGCTGGAGTTGCGGTTTTCCTTTGGGAACGAGAAGCCCTCGAATCTTGGTGTCTCCCAGTCATCCGGTTCCGTTTAGTGGTAGTTTCCATCTAACAAACTAAAAGTTAGTCACTTTTAGCCGGGGAGCTGAGGGTTCTGGAATGATTCCATGGTTTCATTTCTGGTGGTGCGAGAAGAAGCTGATTTCGCCCGTCAGCAAGGCACGTGCCCTCGCATGGCTCGAATCTGCTTGCGGCATGGTCTACCCTGGGGTTCCCTGCCCCCATTAAAACAAAGCCCAACTTAGATGATAACAATCCTTAGGTAAACAATGGTGGCTTTTAGAGAGCGGGCCGCCATGGGGCCTGTGTTTTTCCAGTGTAGTGCCTTTTGGGGCCTGTGTTTTTCCAGTGTAGTGCCTTTAGTGGTGCAAACAGGATTTGTATTTATGTTGTGTTTTTCTTTGTTAGACCAAGGAGCCAGAACACACGGGCATGTCTTTGTGCAAGGCAGCTTTTTTTTGTAGACTTGTTTGCTGGACTGTTGCCAAATCAAATGCTATGTCACCCTAATTAGTGACAGAAAGAGATTGAAGATGCCCTAGGCTGAATCAAAACTGCTCTCACTTGGCGGACGGTTTCTTGTAGACGGAGGAGCACTGATAGGGCTTGGCCACACGCTTGCGCTTCTGCTGGCCGTGCTGGTTGATGTACGTGGCCTTCTTGTTGCGGATCGCTTGGTTATGCATCTTGCAGTAGTAGAGCACCTTGAAGGCGTGCCGGAGAGGAGAGGATTCGTTCAGCACACGTGCGTAGTTCCGAAACCACGCGAACACTTGCTCTGCCGCAGACGTGTTCACGTGCTTCAACCGCTTGGCCAACCGCGGCACATGCAGAGGGTTGCACTTGCATGTCTTCTTGTGCCCAGTGGCATGGAAGCAGTCGATGGTCCAATACTTCACCTGCTTGAATTCTTTCACCTCCAGGGCTTGCGGCATGAAGGCGCAGTTCCGATCCAGCACGAAGCAGTTAACCTTCTTGTACATGGGCAAGATCTTCAACAGTGAGTCCTTCACAACTTCGTTGTTCTCTGGCTTGCTCATGCAGGAAACCGAAAGCACTTGCAAGTTCTTGGGGTCGACGATCATGAACCACCCGTGCCCGTACGGCTTGCCCTTTCCATTCTTGCGGGGCTTGCCTTGGTGCGGCGCAACCTCAGAGCACTTCACATGGACTTTGGCATGTCCATCGCCAACTAGCTCTGTGACAGAAGCTTTGTTTCGAGGGGGGAAGACTTTGGAGTGCAGGTGCTTGTCATACGCAGCCAAAGAGATCTCGGAGAGTTCGTTGCCGATCTCAATGGGTTGGTTGATGCCAAGGGAAGACAACTCCTGCAATGCCGCCCAGTACATAATTGCATCTGCGTGAGCCTTCCGGAAGCGAGTGAAGTCCGTATCATCCACGGTGCCGTAGACATTCTCGTACACATCCTGGATGGCTCTGGATGAAACAAATGCACGGAACTCAAGCTGGGTGTGGTACTGCAAGTACTCCAAGCTGAAGCCACGCTTCACGTTCACGAACAAGACCTTCTGAATGTCCTGCGGGTTGGCGGTGTTCAGTTTGCATCCATCGACATTGACAAAATTGGGGCCGTAGGTCTTCCTGCAACCCCAAGCTGTGCGGCGCATAGTCCGGACGATTGCATCAGATGGACCACTCATGGAATAGACGACCGCCTCGATGTCATGAGCTTTGGACAAAGCCTTGTGTCCACACGAGCAACTCTTCATGTGTGTGCTGTACACAGGCTTGGAGAGCGCGCCACCGGGAATATGAAAAGAAGGCATAGGCTTGAGGCACCAGCGCACATGAAGGTCAGCTTGAAAACATGGTACATGGGACTCTTCATGAACTCCGCAAAGACATCCGCCGAGATGTACGCATGCATGCCATCGTCGACTTTCTGCACCTTCCCGTTCGCGTTGATGACAGCGAAGAAATGGCTTCTTGTTGTGACCAGCACGATAAACTTGCCTGGCTGCAGCTTGCTGTTTGTAGACACTAACTTCAAAATGGCACCTAAGGGGGCCAACATCTCACATCCATCAGCCGCAGTGAACGGGCCATTCTTGTCGTAAGAAATGGGGCACCCAAGGCTGCGAAGAGAATTGCAAAGGCACACCTCCGAGTAGGTCTCGTTCGAAGCACCGCAGCCAACAGGATGAAGCCAGGCCTCATCCATCTCCTCAGCTGCTTGGTCCATCTCTATGGATTCTTGGCTGCACAACAAGGAGCTTGCTGCTCTGGTTGCTTCCTTTGGCTGAGCGTGGTCTGGGGCAACAGGTGAAGGTGACACGACTTTCTGCGGGGAAGAGTCCAAGTCGATCACGCTGCCAGAAGACTGCATATTCAAGCTCCATGTCTTAGCTTTCTTGAAGACCCCCTCCTGCTCCATCTCAAACTTCTCCTTCTTGACCGACACTGCAGACTTCTCAAGGGCACGCTTCTGCTTGTCTTGCATTTGCTGAGTCACCGAAGGAACCGCCGCTGGCCTCTCTCCGAAAACTTGCTCCCGAATCCGATTGCGCTTGGCATCTTCCTCTTCATCCTCCTTGCTGCGACTCCTCTCTGCGAAGCGCTTGTGCATGACCGCCTCCACCCACAGCTGCTCCTTCTTCACCTCCTCGACGAAGTCATCTGTGATCTCCTTGGTTCCACCCTTGTGAAGACCATATAGACGTTTGCCCTCCTCGTGAGATATTCCGCGTTGATCTCCCACACACGCGGCACTGCCTCGGTGTTGATGCCCGCCTTCCTGTAGTAGACGTGAGTCTTCGTATTGAGCAAGATGCAAGTTCTCTTGAAGACAGCATCCATGTGGGCGAGAGTGGCACTTTCCACAATGCTGGGGCGCATGAGCTTGAAGAAAGTCTCGAAGCTGACGGTGTTGGCATACGCAGGCTCCTCGGAAACACCATCATCATAGGTGTTATCTGCGACGGCACGAGGTTCGTTTTGAACCCATTTTGTCGCACCCCATCGAGCCCAACACATGCTCTCATAGAGCCCGACATCCAGGAATGCCTTGAGCAACTTCATCGGGAGCATGTGCAAGGATGTGTCATCCAGGAAATCGCCCATGAGCACGGACCCCTGTTCGCCACGAAGAAAGTCAATCTCCGGCGTAGAGCGGATACAAGGCTGACCCGACAAGTTGAAGCGCGCCTTGTTGTGGCGCACCTGTGCCATCAGGACGCTCCTACCCAACGGGCTCTTTCCCGCGCCCGCCTCCCCCAGCATGGTGAAGGCTGAGAGATCGAAGTCCCATATCTCCTCCATGATCTCCAAGAGCCAGGAATGGTAATACTTGGTCGTCAAGGGGATGGGCCAATCGAACTCCTTGCGGGCCAAAGCGCCATCCGAAGCCAAGTTCCGAAGAGCGCGGTCAACCAAGGCCTGAGGCCATCCATGGATGGGAGAAGCTTTCCGGCGCAACTCCTTTGTCATCCATCGCAGCTGCTGGCTCCTGGGGCCATGTGCCAAAATGAAATCGAACCCCGCATCCACTTCCTCATCTGTCTTGTCCTCGAATGAGGAAACAGTCTTGGACTTCACGATGGCGTTGCTCGACAGCTCCGCACACTTGAACTGCCGACCACCCATGGTCTCAATGCAGTACTGCACGATCTTTCTGCCGAGCTTGGGCTCCTGCATCCAGATGGCGCGCTTGGCAACTCCGAAGCCGAGCTTCATGAAGAGAGGGGCCTTGCATTTCTGGGGGAAGATGAAGTGCTTCCAAATGGTATAAGATCCATCCAATGCTTTCAGGATGACCATCTGGAGTTTTACATCCTTGCCCACTTTCTTCTGCAAGCCGAAGGGTGCAGAAATAAGGTCCAGATCTTCATTTTCAATGGCTCGCTTGTACTCGCGCTCCAACACGGTAAAGTCAATCTCCTTGCGGTAGTTGAAGATGACATCGAAGAGGTGCACGCTCGCGTTGTCTGTGTGGAGCAAGTCCGCACAGGGGAAGTTGACCGGGTTGAAAGAGCCAGGCGGTTGCTCTGGCAAGGTAATAGGACTGGTGGAGTTCCTGCAAACCATGCCATCGAGCACCTCCCTGAGATGGTCCACGGTCATATCCTCCGCCTCGAGAGCCATGACTACTTGAAAGAAGAGGGAATGAGCTGAGACTTACTTGAGCAGGCTACCAGAAGAGGGAAAAGTAGATGCAGATCCAGACGCAGCATGGAGCAAGAAGTGCAACAGAGGAAAACACTCCGGGAAACCCAAAAAGCCAAAAAAACAAAAAAACAAAAAAAACAAAAAAAACAATCCTGAGAGGGAAATGACAGGAGGTGGCTTGCCTGAGCTTTTGTCTGCCAGATTGGTTTTTTGGTTTTTTTTGGGTTTTTTTGCTTTGTTTTGGGTTTTTTGTTTTTTTTGTTTTTTTTGTTTTTTGGGTTTCCTCGAAGAAAGCCCCAAACAACAGTCATGAGGGGGAAATAAAAGGAGGTGACTTACCTGAGCTTGTCTGTTTTTTTGTTTTTTTTTCGGTTTTCCACGATTTGTTTTGTTGTTTTTTGTGTTTTTTCTGTTTTGTTTAATGATTTTACTGTACTTCAAAAACGCAGACCCCATGGCGGCCCCTTCTGGGCTTTTAATGAACCCAGCCATTGTTTTAATGGTGGCCTGCCTGAACCTCACGGTCTATGTTCCAAACTAACCACGCAGGTGTTGCAGCTCAAGGCCTATTCTTGAGCAACCTCGTGAAACCACCAGAACTTCCACAGCATCCAAATTCTGCACTGCCAGAGTCATACCTAAGATTCGATGTCCAGCCTTGGATTCTTACCTTCTCTTGTTCTTTCCTTTTCTTTTCATACCGCGTCCCCCTCAACGGGTTGTTGTAGCTGTTGTTTTTGTGTATGTGTTTGCTTTGGAGTTGGTACCTTTTCTGCTGGTTGAAGGGCATTTCTTGAATTACAGCCCCATTAAGTGAGTGGATGATATCCCAAGTTCATATGTGCCCGTTTCGCAGGATTGTATCCTATGTAACCCAATTAAGGGACGTATCAACCAGTGGTAGTGGCCGACTTTCCTCACGCGGAACCGTGGTCTTCCAAGTTGAGGCAAAAAAACAAACCGGGACTGGTCAAAAGCAGAGTTGCTGTTCCCTCTACCATCCATATTCATTTCGGACACCTCAGTTTTGAAAAACAAATAACTGGTTGATTACATATATGTTTATTGATTTGCGTGTGAATGGATTGCCATCCATCGCCTTCCAAACGGAAGGAAGTGAAACCAAAGAGCGACTTGATGTCGAGGGATCGACAAGTCCCGCATCGACAAGTCCAAACATATCTGAACCCCTTCTTGTTCCTTGGCCCACCAAAAGCGTTGTACGCAGAAATTATGTTCGGATTCTGCGTCACACTTAGTTTGACTTAAAACCATTTTGGGATCGGAGACCCCAAGCTTGCTCCTGAGCTTCTCGCAATTTCTGAGGCGTCGTCGGCAACCGCTGTGACCTTCGCGCAGATGTTCCTCTTTTTTTAGGACCCCCAAACCCTTTGGGAACCTTGACCCCACTGTGGCCATTTTACAGAAAACCGGCCAAAAGCAGATGCGTTCTTCCGGACCATTCGGTGGATTCCTAGGAATCTCTGTGTGTTCCGAGCAAATCCAGATTTGGTCAACGTCAAAATATGTTCTGAGACAACAAAAATGGCTACGGCTACGGTGCCCTTTCAAAAACCGCCAAAGTGGAACAATTGGATTCTCGAGACATGGTCGGTTGCTTTCTCGATTGAGTGCATGGCGACGTTTAAACGACAAAAACGGACAAATACGGAGACCCCCGCTAAAACTACCACGGAAGTTCATTTCCTCAGCCTGATTTCGGAACCTCCACAAACGGTCCATTTCTAAGGAATCCCAGCATTCAAGCCAGGATCAAGCTTAGCTTCGCAGCAACACTTCACTTACAAACAGCAGTGGGATAACTGGTACAACCTGACCAATGGCAATTCTCTTTCAGCAATTGGATACTTGGAATTTCTCAAGTTGGGACTACATCATGGTGGCAAGACCAGCAGCAAGTGGCACAAGCATTCATTGGTGCCAGGAGGCTCAACCACCGACGCCAAAAGCCGGTCCAACAGCCAAGTGTTCATCGCTCAAGCTCCTGCCTAATCTGGCCATTGCCCTCTTCCGCAATCCCAGCCGTTCTGAAGGCCACGGAATACGGAAAGACTACGAGGGAAAACTTCGCAGACCCCGCGAAAATATGTTCTGCAAAAATCACCTATGACCACAGAAAAAAACGGTTCAAGCCATCAAAAGTATGTTTGGACCCTCTCCTGCAGCACCCACGTGTATAGTCATCTTATTTTATATTTACCGTCTGGTAGATTCAATTTGTATCTGTGTGTGTGTGTGTGCGTGTGTGAACACAAAAAGTATGTGTTTTGGTTTCTGAAACTGGTTTATTTTATTTGGATAGGTGGCCAATTTCCTGTAGGCAAACTTCGATTTCGTTGTGGTATCTTGACATGGAGTTGTTGTAATATTCGAGTCTGTATCTGATTAATATGTTGTCTTTGCATGTGTTTCTTTTTTCATTTGTTTAGCTTGTGAAATCGATCCTTAGGCAAGAGTTTGCCAGGGAGCCACCGGTTCACCCATTATCATTACCTTTCTCACGCTCCAGTCTCTTCTTCCCATTCATGAGCTGACGGAAGGATTTCCAAGGTAGGAAGGTAACATCTGGAAAGGAGCGTGAGCACCCATCTTTTCCCACCGTCAATTACCTTTAATCTGATGAAAATGGCGGGAAGGAAAAGATGGCCTTACACGCCATAAGCTGTATCTGTTCGGATTCTTGGCAGAGACGTCTTGTCCTTCACCTCCATCATGTAAATACTAGAAGTGGAGGAGGTGAGTGGACAGAGCATTAGGGATTGATTCCCCGTTCCTTTCAACCATCGTTCTTTTTCTCGGGTGCTTGGTTGTTTCCTGAAAAGAAGGATCCCTGTTTTCGAATGGGGCAGCTTCCCCGAGAGCATTGGGCCGCGTGCCGTGATGTCGGTGCCATTGTTCACCCACAACCTGGCGACGGGAAGACTTAGACACACGCCCAAAGACCTAGGAGTTCGTAAGCCTTCAAGCCACATCTGGGTCAAAAGTAGGTAAAATGCAACCCTGCCAAATGGAAACATAGACTAAAACCTGCGGTCAGGTGGCTTAATTTTGACCCATACCCAAGTAAGGCCAACCTACTAAGGCAAAAGTGGACCCTTGGACCACCCTACATCAGTGAAGTGGAGTCTGCATTCAGAGGGCTTGTAGGGTAAACCCTATTAAAACTGATTGCCCAGGATGCTAACTGCTTAAGTGACGAACCATGTTAACCGCAGTGACGCGGGACGCGTCCAAATCAAAAACGCCTCCCTCGGGAAGCGCTTCCCGACCCTTTAAAAATGGGACAACTTGCATCCCAAAAAAGCCGTCAGTGCCGGGCATGGGCTTAAGCAGCGCAATTTGGTTGAATGTGTCCTTTTTCGAGGGTACCCTTTCGTTGGTTGGTTCAAAAGGAAATTCAAAGGAAAACTAAAAGAACCAAACTCGATGAGAGGTGAGAGGTGACGCTGGGGATGCGGGGGATGCGAGCCCTGCATCCCCAGCATCATCCGCATTGAAAAGGCTGCAAACAAGAGGTGTCTCAAAGTAACTCGAGCTACCAACTTGGAACGGAGTAAGCCCAGAAAGGGCTAAATCCCTCAGGCAGCTCGAGAACATATTCACACAGCTCCTCCCATTGTTTTTTCGTCCCTGGAAAAAAATATGGCTTCCCGGCTGACCTCTGGACCGACTCGAAAAACTCCCGGGCGGTCTTGGCATTCTGAACAGCCTGGGCTGTCCTCAAGATCCCCTTTTCGCAGTTGGGAGCCGCCAAGATTTTTTGTTGCTGGCGCTGAGTGCAACTGTCGGCTCAAGGATCGCCCCCCTCACCTGGACTGTTCGCAGCCGGTCAGCAGGCCTGGCACCGGACACCAGCCACCGTGTACCGATTCCAAGCCCTGGGGCTCAAGAAGCGAGATATGGGTGTGGCTCAAAATTAAGGAGCCAGGGCTACGCGGGTTTTAGTCTTTGGTTCCATTTACCAAGGTGGCCATTTTGGTACCGGTTTTTTCAGCCACAGCCAGACTGGAAATAACTTGGTTGACGTTGGGTTTGGGGAGCAAAAAACAAACAAATTCTGGCAGTTCAGTGGATTTGGATTTCAACCACTAAACCACAACAAGCAAAAATGCAACATGTCTCCCAACAACAACCATGAACACACATAAGATCAAGCAGACTTGCCCCTTGCCGCTTGGGTTTTGGCGTTTGGCGTGGTTGCTAGGGGTCCCTCCAAAAAGCTCACCGGAAATTCACCCGGGGCCCCACAAATTGGATCGCCGCCGATGGCCGCGGCGGAGGGCTTTTGCGCCGACCTTTTGCGGTCGACATCTTCGGTTGCCCAAAGAAGCGGCCGGCCATACTGTGGATGGTTGCGAAATCCATTTCGCACCACTTGGAAACCATGGTTGAAACCATCTGTTCGTTGTTATTTACGTTGGGGAATCGTATCATTCCAGGGTTTCTGAAAGGTGGTGCAAGATTTCGTCCATCCACAGTAGTGCCAAGGAAATTTACCCAAAGGAGTTGGAATGCTCAAAGGACAAGAACAAGTTGAAGGATCCCTGAACTATGGGTTTCCCAACATACCGTGGATGCACGGAATCCATTTCGCGCCACCTTTCAGAAACCCTGGAATGGTGATTCCCCTGCAAATACCAACCAACGATGGTTTCAACCATGGTTTCAAAGTGGTGCGAAATGGATTTTGTCCATCCACAGTATGGGGCACTTAATCGATCACCCACTTGTCCTCCAAGGCTATGGTTTCCGACCACGCCAGGAATACACAAAAAAGAAGGTGTAGTTCCTTCTTCCCCACGTGCAATATTGCCAGGGAACCGAGCACCTGAGGCAAAAAATTGGCTCCCCAGCTTAGGCCCCAAGCTTTCGGGCACAGTTCGACTCGGCAGAGTCCTGAGACGACGCATATATGAAATGAGGCATACCCCTGCGTCGGCGTGATGGCAGGAGGGATTTTTGTCCTTGGGAAAAACTGGATTGCTAAAAAGTATTGCTTGTAATGTTGACCCAGGATTGATAAACCCGTCATTATTAGGGGGTGTTCCCTCCAAAAGTGATGATTCCCCACTAAAAGGGGACACCCCCCTGTTAATCTGCCAGGGGTTTAATAATCCGGGGTTAACATTGAAGCGAAGGGTACTTGAACAAGGCGCCGACTTGAGCAGCATGAAGAGGCAACTAAGAAACAGCTTGCGCCGACTGTAAGCCCCCCCTGCCCTTGGAAGTCGTTGGGGATGGTCAGGGGAGCGCTCCCCAGCTGTAGCCTCTCCAGGATTCCACTGACGCGTGAAGAGCTTCAAACAGCGCACCACAGAGTCCAAACTTAGGAACCCAAAGGAACTTTTTTTTTCTGGTCGGCGTGTGAAGGGAATGCAAAAAGAAACCTGGAAGGCGCTTCCTTCAGTTTGAGTCGGCCGCCAAACTAGTCCAACTACTTCTTAAGATGATATCAAGGTTTCCCCGACATGTTACTCCCGTTGATCGACGAAATGGCAAAACCAATTCTAGGCAGAACCCTGGCAAAGGCGCGTGCGCGCGCGAACCGGGTACTTTCCCAAGTGAAGGGTTTATCCACTCCAACTAAAAGCTGACACGTCACCAATTCTTCCACCTGGACTCCGCCCACAATTTGTTTGCTGACTGGCAAAAAGGCAGGACGCCGGCCAAGTGGCTTGCCCGTCCCACATGATTGCACATAAACCCCATGATGTCCCCTCAACCTTGGTGCACATAAAACACATGATGTCCATGATCACAAGTCGAGAAAAAGCAGCGGGCACCCTATTCCCTCTCCATGGCCACCTGTTTTACCCATCTGAATCAGGCAGTATGAGTCGAGTTGGGGGCCCCCAGCTGACCAGCATGATCCCCGCCTTTTGCTCCCAAGGGCATGTTCGATTGGTGGGTTGCTTGCAAGGTGCACCACTCAACTTGCCTGGAACTAGGACCCCAGAAAAATATATCATTTTTGCCTGGTTAGTGGAAAGCAAAGGCACCCCAAAAAAGCAAAAAGGAGAGCTAATTCTGGGGAAGTTAATGGCAGACTTCCCTGATACTCCTTGTTGCGGTACAGAACTTCGGCTTCAAGCAACCCATCGAACATGCCCATCCCGAAGAAACCCACGGCCTGCGGTTGGTATGGCCTGCGCGCGGCGACTTGTTTTGCCATCGGGTTGTTTTAATTTCAGTGATACCGGGGTTATATAGTTTGACCGTTTCTAGGGGTTATCAAAGTCAGAACATGGTGTTTCCCTTTAACCCATCACTTAGGGGGTGACTTTGATCATGGTAAAATAACAAGGCCAGTGATAGCTACCTCACTTCCATAACGGACTGGCCAGAAGTAGGCCCTAGCATCCCCTGCCCCCACGACCCACGACCGCCCCTCAAGTAAAACCGGGTCAATTTGTTTTCTTGGGGTCACATAAGACCAACAAGGGCAAACTAAAGGCCTCAACGTGGGGGGGGGGGGGGGGCGCCCCGGTGAGGCCAACTACATAACCACTGTTCGTTTTGCCAGCGGTTCAAACAACTTCCCGCACCCTCGAGAGTCCAAGTTCAAAAACATTGCCGATGCGACCCAAAATGATGGGGAGAATTCCCGTTTCTATGGGTAGTTTGAGGGTTCAGCCATTTGGAGGTGTCATCCATTGTTGTCAGGGGTGTCCCTCGCTTTTAACCCCGCGAAAAGAAACAGCGCCAAAAAAACAAGAAACCGCCGGGCACCGGGCCGGGATGACGAAGGGCCCAGGGAACGGCGGGCCGGCCACCACTGACACGATCTCAGGGCGCGCGCTTCACGGCGCGAAAGCACGGAGCGCTTCGCTGGAGCCTCCATATAACTGGGGGGGTTCCCCTAAAAAGAAGACACACCCTCAGCCAAGTGTGGCTGACACGTGAGATGTTAAGGGCCGGGCCCCTCGCCCGGTCGCCAAGACGCAGAGCTGGCCATGCCCCGGCGGCACGTCCACCTGGCGAATCCCAAGGTGAGCTCGTCATCACAGAAGTTCCAGTCATGGGAAGCAGCCCCTCAACAAGAAAACGCGATAAGGATATGATTTGCACTCAAAGGGAGGTGTTCTTGTTGTCCCTCTCCCTCTCCCTCTCCCTCTCCCTCTCCCTCTCCCTCTCCCTCTCCCTCTCCCTCTCTCTCCCTCTCCCTCCCTCTCCTCTCCCTCTCCCTCTCCTCTCTCTCTCTCTCCCTCCCTCCCTCTCCCTCTCCCTCTCCCTCTCCCTCTCCCTCTCCCTCTCCCTCTCCCTCTCCCTCTCCCTCTCCCTCTCTCTCCAACCCAGGCGGCTCCACAATGTCCGGGCCACTGAGACTCGATGCCTTGAGCAACCGCCCTGGCACACCGATCAGACCGGATCGCATCAGAAACCCAGCCCCACCAATCGAGTGTTGGGGCGCAAGATAGGTGCCGTTTCGGGAAAATGGATAGGCTGCTTCTAAGCCATCCAATAGCCCACTGAACAGCTTGGCACATGCGGGTACGAAGGGAACCCACACGATGTTTGCCTTGGGCACCGGGCCGAACCCCCGCACGACCCATGTCGCGTGGCCCCAGCCGCTCTGAAGCCTGGCCCCTTGCCCTTGGCACAAGGTTGCGCTGCGCCCGCGCAGGGCTTCACCCAGCCACAGCCAAGCCACGCGGCTTGCCCCCTAGCCCCAGCCCGAGTTTCTGAACCTTCTTGTGTCCCAGAATGCGGCTGTAGCTGTGGCCCTTGCCCCCATCCCCAGCACCAAGCGAACATTGGAGCAAGAACGGGGATCACAGGAAGCCTCTAAATCAAATGAGTCCTGGCCGAAGCGGGCAGCGCCGAGCGTGTACAATTAAACACTTAAGTGGGGCGCTCATCGAAATTGACCTTTCGAGAAACCCCTTAACCCTTCACATCTGAGCCCCCGCAAAACGTGCTAACTGTCTATTGGTGGAATGGAAAAATGCAGGATACCCAACGGCACAGGGGCAAGAGGTTGGTCAAAGTCTGGCAATGTACCCTTCCTTTTGCTGAAGAACTTTTGTGGTCCACTAGTTTGGGCTGCATACTGATCCCAAGAAAAGGTCGGAATCGCCTTTTTCGGGCGAATATCCATATATGTGATTATGTGGTTGTCTTTTGTTGAGCTACTCTTTCTGGGTTACTTTTAGAGGGATTCCACAAATAAACCACCTGTTTGGAGGGTTTTCCTATTTTGAGAGGTTTGGCGGCTCACAGTTTTTGGTGCGGTGAGGTGGGAACCAACCCCAAAACTGGCGGTGGTCCTTTTGGTTGCCCTTTCAAAGAGGGGTAACTACCAAATCCAGAAAAAATGACAGCCCCAACTGTGTTGTTTGCAAATTTCCCTTTAGCGATTGCTATAGGTCCTGAACCTGTCGGTTCCCGGCCATTTCTTTCGGGTCTCCAGAAATGACTTTCGACAGCGCGGGATTCGAATCCTTTAGGCTTTCAAACTTTTATCCAGGCTATGACCACTTCCCATAAGGGCCCGTGAAACAGTCCGGGATGGTACCAGCTCCTTCTCACAAAAATACAGAATTGCTCGCACTTTAGGGGGGTGCGTAGAAAAAGTCACCCAACGACTCAAAATGGCCGTCATCTAGGTACCAGTGAGCTACCTGAAACTCGACTCCAACGTCGATGGGGTTTGCCTTTTATGTAGCACTTATGTTGTCTTCATAAGGCCTTTAAACCCGTTACCCTTGCGGGGGTCTTTGGGGTTGTACAGATGCTTTGCTTTTCTGGGGTCGGATTTGTTTGATGCCTTCAGGAGGCTCATCCCCTCACTAGGGTGGTCTGTCGCTAGATATTTCGCCTCATGTGTTCCATGCTACTAGACCAGATATTTGGCCTTTCCGAAAACTTTAGGGGGGGGGGGCGGTCGCCCACATTCCTTCACGACTCGCGAAAAAGAACCCGCGCGATTTCGACCGCGAGATTTTTGGGACCGCGCCACTGCAGTTCCCGACGCTGGCGTTGGCATACACCGCCACCTCAGGTTCCATTGGGGGAAAAACCGCCGGGGGAAGCCCCCCTGTTGGTGGGGATTCAGCTTTCCTGTGAACTTCCCTAAGCAAAGACCTCCACACGCAGGCTTTGCGGGCTTCGGTGGCATCATGAAACCCTCGGTTTCCAGCGCCCATACGAAACCCTTTGCCCGTACACGAACTTTGCGATCAGAGCAGGCGCGCGAACTCAACAGACTCTAAAAACATGGAGAAGGATACGACTTGCTCAGGTACACCACAAAGGATGCTACAGTGTTGAAATTGTAGAACAAGCCACCAAACAAAGCAGCCTGAACATCACAAGTCGCAAGTCGCAAAAGTGCACTCCAAAGGAATTCCAAGAGGAAGAGCTGTTTGACGGAATCCACCACCCCGACCCATTGTAGTGCACCCCGCTCCCCCGGCAGGATTTAGGTGCAAGCAGCCCGCCGCTAAGCTGAAACCTGACTGGGGGAACAGCTTGAGATCTAATTTTATCCTTCACTGTTCAGGGGCCCCAGCCAGCAAAAACCATGGGGTGTTTCTCCCACATGTTTTGACCCCTCCAGGTGAAACCATCCAGAAAACTCCCTTCCAGACTGGACTGACCAAAAAAAGTTCGAACTTTTTGTTTACCACTAAAATGGTCCAAACCCAAAAAGTGACCAAGGTCCATGAACTCAGGGAGTGAGGAAAGGGCTCCGATTCCTATTTGGCCATGGGTCAAAGGTCAAAGGCCCGTACCCCCAGTGAACATCCCAATCCCCACTAAAATAGTTTCTAAAATGGGTGGTGCACCTACCCCAAAGTGGTATCCCATTGGTTTTGACAACCACTGCCATTTGAGACACACCCCACGTGCGGGTTTTCTTCCATGGGCCAAAGGGCATCCACCTCGCCGCTCACCGGCAGCACAGTGATGCGGGTGTCCTGGAAGGATTTCTCCGCTTCTCGGGGGTTGTTCGAGAAAAAAAGGTCGACACCCCAACGGGGCGCCTTTCTTCCCATGGACATGCCCACAAATGCCTGGCCTGAAGAACCGGTTTGGGAAACAAGCCCGGGTGTTGGGTAAGACTGGCACTCCAAGGTTTCGCTTGATGCTGAGGCACTTGAGCCAAGATTGCCAACGTTTGCCATTTTGGCTCATGTTGCTGTCATATTACATACCGCTACGACCAACGGCATGTTCAACTAACAAGCAGGTCTTTCTCAAAAAAATGGAACCCCTCCAGAGGTGCTTTCCTCTTAAAACCAAATTCAAAAGGAGTCCCTTCCAAAAACATCAAACCCGAAAATGTCCCAGCCAAACAGGAAAACGAACGAACTGAGTTCTGCAGCTCCCACTTGTCGAAGTCAAACCACAAATTTGTGTGTGTGTGTGTGTGTGTTGAGGAAACGCTTTTGGGGTACGGGAAACCCCACTTTTTGTTGTTTTCTTCTTCTTCTTCCTTCTTTTGTGGGGGGGGCTTTTACCTAGTTTGAGAGCCCCAAAACCAACACCTCCGGATCTGTTCATTCGTTTCCCGAGCCGTGTAAAAATAAGCTCAGGTGATATCCCCCAACAGCATGCGGTGCTCTTTTTAATGGCTCGCACCACCCCGCAGCCCACAGCGGAGCCTATCTGGGCTGAGACCCCAAAGCTTTCAGCGGTTGGGGAAAAGCATCGCCTACTCGCCCCCGACTCCTCCAAAAAGTCCGGCTCCACGGAGAAGGCCAAGCTGGCGGGCCCGCCTCGGTTTCGACGTGACCTATGACCTGTGGATTCACTTTGTTAAATAAAAAAAAGAAGAAAAAAAGAAAATGGAAAACATACGTATCCTATATTCTTCAGCAAACGGGGTGTCTCTTCCGGACTTGATAATTCCTGTGGATGATTGAAATCGTAATCTGCTTCTTCTCGCACCACGGTTAATGAAACCATGGGAATGAAGCCAGTACATGTCTTACCGTGTATTCAGGGGAATCGACTCATCTGAAAGGCGTTGCGAAATGTCTTTTTTGCACAGCACGGACTTCCGCCAGATAATCTTGAATAACTTGTTTGTGGGGTTTTGACTTTTCAATAGAGAAAGCTGGACTGTGCAGAGTGTGTTTGTGGGCACCTGACTTTGGGATACTCAGTTTGTTTAAAGGGGACATGTCCTCGAAGCGCCGAGTTTAGATGAGACGCCGCATTTGGCATCTCTCGCGGAGGCGAGAAGCAGCAAAGTGACTAAAGCACCAGACCTGTGGGAGTCTACCCTTTCTGTGTGGGGGCCAAATGGCCTTGAACAGTAGGTGGGTTGTAGCTTCGAGTCCATGAGCAGCCTAAACGAAACCTGGCGGCTATTTTAGGTGGTTCTCCTCGGGGTCTGTGTCACTCGGGGGGATCAATCTCGTTTGCGAGTAGGAGGTTCTACTACCTGGTCTTGCCATGGCTATAGTAAGGCCTTTCTACCCCCTCTCCAACCATGTTAGAACCAAAGGTCAATGGGTGAGTTTCTCAAGATGGCGGATTCCCTTTCTATGTAAAGGGGCACAAAAGGACACCAACCCTCCTGCTGAAAGTCGAAATCTTGCAGGTGAGATTTTAAAGCCCAACCACTAAACCAACGAAAAACAGCTCAAAAGCACAGTTGAACCAAAGGGACGGCGGCTCAAGCGGCTCAACCCCTTGCTGCCAGAGAGCTGGGCCCCCAGCCAGCCCCAGCACCTAAGCTAAGATGCATCCAGCTTCTTGGTGGGTCTGCTTGGCCGAGTGCTGCTTCCCACGCTCTCAGACGCATTCAGCATGGCCCATGACCTGAACTCCGAAAAAAAGTCCCTTTGAACAGCAGATCTGTTCGCAGAGCTCATGGATGCGGTGGTCTTGTTGCCCTCGTCCACAAATTCAAATAGAAGAACAAACGCCCTTGGTAGCAAAACACTGATGATTCTAAATAAGTTCGCGGCCTATAAAACGAATCTTACATGCTTCATCGGTCGCCGGGTCATTTGAACGTTGAGCCCGGCCTTGGCGCACGCTGCGGTGCTTCAAAAGAGACGCCTGCTCTGTTGCGCCTGTTTTCCGGATCGGAAGCCAAAGGAAACCGCTGGCCATGTTTGCCACTGGGGTTTGGTCAAAGGTGCGGAGCTGGAGTTCGCCAGAACCAAGACACCATCATTTGAGCACTAAAAGGATCCTGGTAACTGGGATCCACGAATGACCCCAGACTCATAAAGCCCTGTTTGGTTTTTCCCCAGATAGCTGAAAGCTAGAGGGGTTCTAACTTCCAAAAGAAGGGAAAGTGATTTGCGAGATTGACGGCTGGATGCTAGGGGGCATGCAGTTTGGGGTGCTGGTGTAGGTGCTGTTTGGGCTGCTGTTTGAGCTGCCGGTAGTAGTACGAGTGCCTTTTTTGGGGATTGACGGCAGGGTGCTAGGGCATGCAGTTTGGGTGCTGGTGCAGGTACTTTTTTGGGGTGTGCAGGTGATGGTGCGGTTGGGTGCTGTTCGGGATGATGGTGGGGATGGTTTTGAGGCGCTGGTGACGGGCATGGCGTTTTGCGAGATTGACGGCTGGTGCAGGTGCTGTTTTTGGGGGCCTGGTGACGGCCAAGTTTGCTTTTGCGAGATTGACGGCAAGGTGCTAGGGGGGCATACAATTTGGGGATTCTTGTGCAGGTGCTACAATATTTTAGGATGCTGTTTGGGGTGTTGGTTGAGGTGTTCTTCAGGTGCTGCCGGTGCAATCGTTGGCACGTGTTTCGCTATCTGGGGTCTATGCTGGTGTATGTTTTTTTCTGGGGGTCTTCCCCGTCTCAAGTGGTCTGAATCCCCACTAAAACCAGGGACAGGGGATGATTTATCCGCAGTCAACATTAATTAGGTGCAATCAACTGCAGGGGAGTCTGAAGCACTGAAAAGTTGACTCGATCTTGGGCCGCAGCCAAAACCAAGCTGCCAGACTGAAGGATAGTTGGGCCTGGCAAAGAAGATTTACTGGTGCAAAAGAAACCAGCGACAGGAGTTTGTCTTTAGAAACCTGGCCAAACACCCACCAAAATCAACCCTGTAACAGTAGGATTTCCTGGTTCGCTGGTTTCTCAGAGAAACCTTGTTTGCCCTCCTTGGGCAAAATCGGCTTCTCCTCGGGCAAAAAAAAGGACCAAGCAGCCGATGCAAAGATTTTGGGGGGTGGGAGGACCCGAGGAGATGGTGCGTAGGTCCCTTCTCTACTCCAATCTGAGGATGGATCGAAATCCGCTTCTCGCACGACCTAAGAAACCATGGGAATGAAACTGCGTTGGTATTTACACGGGAATCGAATCCTTCCAAATTTTCTCAAGTGATTCGTCCATCCACAGTACTGCACAGGAGAGCTGTCGAGTTCATTTTGCCCACAGTTTGGATGTGCCGAATCTGTAGCCCTGGGAAGAGGATAAAGCACCAGCGAAATCCAACAAAAGCGCATCCAAGTCTTCTCCTATGGGTCGAAAAATGATTCCCCTGCTAAGTACCAGCAAACAATGGTTTCCCATGGTTTCAAAGTGCTGCAGGATTTCGTCCATCCACAGTATGGGGCACTTAATCGATCACCCACTTGTCCTCCAAGGCTATGGTTTCCGACCACGCCAGGAATACACAAAAAAGAAGGTGTGGTTCACCAACTGGGTGTGCGTCTTCTTTTTGAAGAATCCGTTCTGATTTTGGGGAATCTTCGCGGAAAGGAGCTTGAGTGAGCTCCTTTGACCCAGCATCTCCAGCATCCCCAGCCAGCATCTCCAGCATCCCCCGGCCAGCATCTCTAGCATACTCTGCATCATCTGCACCTCGTGCTTGTTTTTAGCAATTAGAAGCAAAGGAAACAACCTTGGCGTTCACAAAACGCTGCAAACGCAGATCCCCCGCATCAGCTCTGCAAGTTGCACTGCAACATCTGTGGACAGTAAGGTAATATACCACGCCACCCTCCGCCATTTTCGGTCGCCTGAGCTGCACCAGAGTGGACTCCTGCGAGGCCACTTGACCCCGCCGACTTCTCTTGTCCAACTTCTGTCTGTGTGAATCTTCGTGGGCGAACCCTTCGGTGGGCAGCATTTCGCTGGGGGATTGGCATGGATTTCTGTCCACCAACCACTGGAGTTGAAACCCTTTCATGGTGGGATTTGTGTCCACGAAAGTTGAGTGGGTCCAGCTCTTGCAATTCAGCTCGCCATTTGTGGCAGTGGGAATCAGGGACCCCAGCATTGAGGCTTTGGCCTTTGGCCACCGGGTTCTTCCCAGATCCCACGTGATGAATTGCACTTAGACCGCAAAGTGCAACAAGGTTAGCTCTACCCACCACCGGTTATAACCCACGAAGGTTAACTCCACTGAACAGAAAGCTAGTGGGTTACAGCCTAGGCTACCAGCAAGTCACGTCTTGGTTTCGCGGGGGGCATCCGCTCCATGCGATCCGATGCGATCCAATTTGTTTGATCACCTGGACAAAGAAAACGCCCGGCTTCCCCAGCTCCCACTGATCGGTGCTAATGGGCACCCCGGATTAAGCAGAACCCCGATCGGTTGATTTTGATCGGGGGGTGCCCCTGTTTTAGTGGAGAGTCATCACTCTTGGAGGTGAGCACCCCCCTATGAATAAACCGGTTTATTAATCCGGGGTCAACATGACTTAGATGTCCACCCCATTTAGGAAGTTCTCCCCACCAAAAGTGTTCACTTAGATTCCCGCGAGCACCCCCCTGTGGATGGACCAAATCCTGCACCACCTAAGAAACCATGGAAAGATGATTCCCCTGTAAATACCAACAGACGATCATTTCATCATGGTTTCCAAGAGGTGCAGGATTTTGTCCATCCACAGTATTGATCCACCTGTTGTTTTAAGCGGGGTTCACGTGAAAATTCAGAGCCGCGGGGTCGAATGCCCGACACAAATTGGCTCTCCTCCGTCAGCACGGTCAAGAGGGCGTCACAGCCTCCGCAAGCAGCTCGGAGCCGGAAAAGCAAGGTCCCACCCGACTTCAATCAGCCATTCTAGAAGAATGATTTGTCTGCTTGTGGATCCACCCCTACAGAATAGATAAAAAGTGCTGAAACTAAGAAAGACCAACAGGAGCTGAAATCCAGAAAAAGTGCCTCCAAACCGTTTTCCAGAAGCCACAACTGCGCCAACTACCCCAAAACGTCAGCCTTGGAGCGAAACCAACGGCTGAGCTTCAAAAGGTAAGTTGACTGTCAATAAACTTTGGGGGCCAGGGCAAGGGATAGGGATGGAGGCCTGCGAAAGGGGGAGAACACATCGGCTCAGCGTTTCAGCCAGGGGACGGGGTCGATCCTCAGCTAGGGGATCCCCCCAAAACGGATTTCGGTGGTCCTGTTGGTTTCCCTGGAATACCACCAAACAAGGGGGAACGACTGCCAAAGAAAGACACCCCCATACTTGGATGACAATCCCATGTCAATAGTTGACATCCCCAATTTTTAAGTCCCTTAGTGGGGAATCCAAGGTCATTGGATCAAACATGTGGAACGCGCGACAAGATCAAGGCCAAGCCCCAGCTAACAAAACACCACACTTCTCAAAAAGCATCCGGCCTCCATGATTTGCGCATAGAACATAAAAGGGTGGTTCTGTTTTTTGGGACCCACCAAAATGGCGGTTTTCTTGTTGGTGTCCTTTTAAAACCAGGGTTCCACGACCTTATTTAATCGAACATGTGCAAAATGCGGGACCTGCCAGAAACGAGCCTTCTGCTTCGAACATGCTGAGAAACAGGCTGAGCCAAACCCAATGCCCTATTCAACCGCCACGCAACGCAACTACTCACTAGAGGGCCTTCCACTGTAGCGTGTTAGGTGCACCCTAAGGTATGTGTTCGATTGCGGCTTCCCCTTCGAAGGCTCTCCTTGACAAGGCGTCCTTGACCCAAGGGACTTGCTTTGGGACTTGAGCACTTTGAGCAGGTGCGCAACTCCCAGTCGAAAGCCCTTCTTGCTGCGAAATCGTGTTTTTTTTAATCATGAGGGAATGAACCTGCGGGCCCCCAAAAAACGCCACAAAGAATGGTCATTCCAATTCTCATTCCCTGCCTATCGCACCAGCAAGTGGATCAGTTCACCGACTAACGCCCACATGGCAAGGGACCCCCAGGGAAGGATGGAGTGTTTGCCATCCAAATGTGTGTGTCTGAATAGGCTACCTTTTTGGGGGCGGGGGGGGTGTATGCAAAAGGTTGTGTAAAGAGTTATACAGGGCGTCTCTTCTTGTTTTTGTTGGTTTCAGGGTTTGATGTAAATGAAAACCAGTGGAACAACCGAAAGGAAAGCTGCCGCCCGAGAAGTTTCCAGGCCATTGCAGCTCCGTTCGCCTTGAAGGGAAAAGGTGCGCACGCAGAAAAAGAAGCGGGTCTCGCGGTGCTTGTTTTCGACGACCTCCGGGTCGGTTCCACAGCAGGGCTGACAAAATGCAGGCTATGACTTGTTTAAATGAGTAGTGCCTTGCAAAATGGGTGGTGGTTGCACAAGGCCCTGTGTAAATGATGTCCACCAAAGGGGGCACAATCAGCAATTACACCCAAGCAAAAATGTTGAGGTGGGACATCCCTCCATCACATGGGAGGCTCCCTTGGCATCACGTCAAAAGCGATTTGTTCAACCAAGCAAACCTAAAAAAGGGATACCTGCGGTGGATGGGTGAAATCCTGCACCATAGTACAGGGAATGATATCATCCAGGGTTTCTGAAAAGTGGTGCGAAATGGATTTCGCAACCATCCACATGAGTCCATCAGTTCGTTCTTTTGAAAGGAACCCTCTCCCTGCTATTCATTGCCCTGAAGACTGATTGGACCCGCCGGCCAAGCTTCTTTGGCCTCCCATTCTTCAGGCGTGTGGTGTCACATGGCTGAAAGCGCCAAATAGGCCAAACCGCTCTCAACTAAATTGACCCGGCAAAAACCTTTCGTTAGACCTTGACGGAAACGGCGAAACTCATCCACCCCAAAGTCGAAGTGTGTACCAACTTCAACACCCGAAACCGGTCCTAAACCGCTTAAGCCCATCCACAATCCGACCCTGAAGCTCATCTTAAACCCACCCGAAAAACACACCCAAACAGCCCCAAACCCACTCTAAACCGGCCCTAAACCAACCCTAAAAGTGAACTTGGAATTTTCATGACAAAATCCCCCCCCATCTCCGGAGGCTCTATGGACCATTTCGGAGGCTAGGTCCTGCTTAAAGGTCCAGAAATCGACCGCCTTGGAAGCCAAACCCCTTGGATTCCGGCGAAATCGGAGAGAACCCTCCGATTCGCTTTAGCCCTCAGACTTGAAGAAACTGCTCTCACTTGACAAAAGCACCTGGACATACTTGAGCTGATCCCCTTTTGGAACCTCGCAATATTCGGACGTCAGGGCAACCAAAAGCTTAGGTCTTCTCTCCATTTGGTTGCAAAGCATTCCTTCCGCAGGCCCCGCCGCGCGCCTGGTGCAGAGTCTCCAGCCCCGTCTCAGAGCCGTCCTCCAGCCCGGGCCTCGCGTCTTGAGCCATAGCGCTGATGGCAACACCAACGCCTTCCTTTCAAAACACCCACGCCTTCCCTTTGAAAGCCGGGAACTGGGGGTTCGCTTTGTTCCACCAGGAACTGGGGGGTGACTTTGGGAGCCGCATGGGGTGGCTACCTCCCGCCTCACGGGCGTCCAGCCCGCGCGGAGAGCGGGGAAGCCCGCCAAGCCCACCACGGAGGCCAGGACCTCGCGCCGCTCGACCGCTTCGCTGGGCGCTTCGCTGCATGTCAGCCAGGTGGACGCCCCAGGTGGACGACGCCTTATTTCTATGGGCTCTACATGAGCTTTTCATGGGGTCTACCGATGAGAAATACCAGGCAAAAGCGGAAGGGGTCCGGGTCCTCCATTTGGAGAAGCCAAACCAGAGTTTGGTGGTTTTGGTCCGCCGGCAAATCATGGTTGCGCTTCGCGAGTAACATGATAGACATTTACTTATTTATATATATATATATATATATGTGTGTACATATATATATATATATATAATTATGTATATATGTCCCCTTTTGGGCCGGTTTTGGCCCCAATTCCAAATTTCTGTCAAAGGTCGAGAATTCCTGTGTGACAAAGGCAAGACTCGCAAACAATTGCAGCGCAGCCACAAAGACTATATGAAGAACTTACCAGGAAACTGTAAACAACTGCTGCACACGCACTCTTGCTTGTCAAATAAGGAGACATAACCATTGCAAACGTGCAATCTGATGTTAGCAACACCAATGCCTTCCCTTTTGAACAAGCTTCTTACTTACCTGGGCTGCCCAAACTGATCCCCTGCTAAAAGTCGACAACTTTCAGTGGGTTAGATTCGGAAACCCCAACCACTAAACCAACTAAAAGATCTAAAAGACTAGGATGAAGCGTAAAAACCCACAAACCCAAGGAGAAAGACCTAAAAAGCTAAGGAACCAAAGGGATGGCTGGTTGAGCCACCAAGTTACGCAAGGCTACATGCGAAAAGTTACAGCACGGCCTCGAAGCCTGGAGCTGTGGGGATGGAGTCTGGGGGCTGGTCTTCTGAGTTGGTGTACCCTTTTTGAGGTGTCTTGTTGTCAATGGTCCTCCAGAGAGGCTAGAATAAGGGTACCCGATTTATTTATTCTGTAGTCTATTTTCGCAGGTGAACCCTCCCCAAAAAAGTTGGTGAGAAAGGGCACTACTGGGGACCTAGTCGTTTCTCAGCCTGGGTGATTCATAGGGGCGTGTTTTACTTGAGAGGCAATCCTAGGAAAGCGCCCAGTCGTGCACAAGGGCGATATTGGTGAAGGATCAAACATCATATGGGCTAGATGGAGTAAGGGGCACTGACTGCCCCGTAAGCTTCCGTATGAATCCTCAGGTTGCCGTAGGTAACGCCCCCGTACCGAGCCCAAAGGGCGCGCCTTGTTTAGTAAAGAGGAACCCCAAAGGGAACCCTCCCACGCTGTTCTCCATTTTGGCGTGTCCCAAAATAGGAATCGCATGGTTTTCCCTTTGGCTTCCCTGTAAAAACACCCCCAAAGTGGCGCCCTCAACAAATGCGCGCCCGGTCTAAAACAAACCCGGCCAAGCCTCCGCCAGTAGTGGGCCACAGTTATCATTACCTCATACACCCCCTACTCCAAGTACCATTGCTTTCTTGGGCTTGTCTGGAAAAACCTTGCTTTTAGTGCAGAACAAACAAATACTGACCTCATACCCCAAACAAACGGTTGGGGGATGAACAACAAATCTCTTTTGGGTCAGGGTTGACCTCATACCCCAAACAAACGCCTGGGATTTGATTACTCTCGTCACTGAACTCCAAACTCCGGAGACCAAAAAACAGATCCACGATTCGAGAACTTGCGCGTCCCAAAAATCATCTATCCTGGGTATTGAGAATGCTTTGGGCGCCGTTTTGGGGAATCCCCTACACTTTGGCCTTTGGGGTTCCTTCCTGCAAAAACGTAAGGTGTTTCTTGGGGGTTGGGAGCAATCCCTTTTTTGGCCCTTGGCCCTATCCTGGCTACTGCAGAGAATGGTTCGGGGACCTTATTGGTGAGGAATCCCCAAATTTGGGGTTCCTTCCGGGTTCCTGGAAAAAATGTGGGGAGGCGTTGTTTTTGGGGGGTGGAGGAGCAATCCCTTTTTTGGAAACCTTTTTCGTGTCACCGGCAATGTGCTGAGTCCCCAGTTTCGACTGGGTGCCCGGGTGCCCGGGCCCGCAAAGTCAGCTGCGCCTCCACGGCGAGAGGGAAGCAGCGAGTGGAGTGCGGTGCAAGGTCCTGACGTGTCGAATTCACCAGGCACTCCATGTAATGACCCAGAGTTGCTTTTGGACTTTTGTTTTCTGTTGCCCAAAAAGATACAAACATGAGTCAAATGGTGGTACATACCTACATGGACTTCTCTGGGAACACTCTTTCGGACCAGGACCAGTCGAGGAACCCATCACACAACACACACACACACACACTGGCCACTGGCTGGCTGTCGCTTCGGACCCCCCGTTTCAACAAAAAGAAATAGGGAGGCCATCACAGACGTTCCGAGGTCCCGCGGCGCAGATACTCTGAGCGGTCCTGGATGAGCAGGGGTCGCCCCACCTCCAGGAACTCCTCGCTGACCTGGCGCTCACGCCACTGGGACTACGCCCGGGAAATGACCGGGTTTAGGCGTAGGTCCGGGAAAAAGTCATGTTACTCTTGGACCATTTTGGGCCATTGCCCAAAAATCTATAATTCCAGGGTGTAATACAACCCTTAGAGACTCCCATGGGTCCCGCAACAGATAAGTGCTTCATATCCCCAGATAAGTCTGTTGAACTGGTTATATGTAGGCTAAGTTTGACTCGGGCGGCTCATTTTTCGGGAAAAATATCCACTTGCTGTGTGGGATGGTCATCCAAGCACTCCTCCTCCTCCTCCTCCTCCTCCTCCTCCTCCTCCTCCTCCTCCTCCTCCTCCTCCTGCTCCTCCTCCTCCTCCTCCTTCTTTTCAAGGTTCAACACTCTTTACATAGGTGTCCTTTCAGAAGAAAAGAAATGACAGCGATGGCCCACGATCAGCTGAAACCAGCTGAAACCAGTGGAGTCCATCTTGCGCAGCGAATCCACATGAGAGCATCTCATCCCCTCTCTCAGACTCTAGACTGATGAACATAGCTGGCATTCTTTCGAGAAAAAAAAAATGAAGGCCCTGGTCAATTGAATAAAGCCCATCTAAACCAGTGCCATCTATGTTCAACCAAACTAACCTAAAAAGGAAATGCTGATGAATCCTACGCGAGCCAAAATTGGAATCCAACTGAACCCCACCACCCCCGCCCACCAACCAGCTTCTGTGGCCGCAAGAAACCCCTTGCCTCCTAATTTAGCTTCTAAAGCCCAAACCCGGATCCGGTGTTCTTTGTGGGGATTAATCACTAGTTTTCCTGAGATCCTAAATGGGTGTTGCTTTTTGAGGATTTGCACCGTCCAAAATGGTGCAACGGTTTTTGTGTGGTTTCCCTTTAAAGCCCACCCAAAAAGGTTGGCATCTTCAAAAAGGACGAGCCACCCACATCGGCGCACGGGGCCCGGTACCAGCCTCCAGCGGACTGTCATCGTCCTGGCCGGGATCTGGGTCACGGACTGGGTCCACGCTGCCGGTGGACCAAACCCTTTCCAACATCTTTCGTATTTGCTGAAGTCCACAAGAAAAAAATGAAAATATGCCCAGTAGTGATAGATGGCCTTTGAAATCAATACAACATAGTCTGAAGCAAATGGAAGATATCGCTGTAAGGGCGACGAATCAGGGCCCATTAAGATTCAGGGCATGATCTTCCCATCGCTCCACTTCCCCAAGGCTCGTCGGGAAGTAGAAGGTGCGCGCGGCGCTACAAGCAGTCGGCCGCCGAGGGAGGAGGAGTCGGACAGTTGCTCTTCCACTCAATTGGCGCGTCCGGACCTAGGCTTCCAAGCAGACCGCCCTGCAGCAGTTCCTGCCTGCCACTCCAGGTCGAGCGGGCGGTGAGGGATTCTCGGATCAACCATGGTTTTCATGAATCACCCCGGCTGCCGGGGTTCTTCGTTTGGTGCCGGATCCTTCCCCCGTCAGGTTTGATCATCGCGCTTTTTTGAGCGACTTGGTTTTTGGGAAAGGTTTGCGATCGGTTCAGGTTGGGCAACGCTTTGGAGCAGATATTTCAGTGGCTGTTCGTGGCTCCTCTCAGCTTGCGCTCTGCGATCCAGAAATATCAAAAACCTGGAGTCTCCGTCTGACCCTTACAACATGCTTGGTCATCACCCAACATATTTTTCGGGGTCACTGACCCCGTGAGTCAGATCCGGAAACTCCAAAATCCGAAATACCCAGTCCGAACTCTGAGGTGAGATCCTGGCAGCTCTCTTTGTGCGAGCTGCAGGTGCAATGGCTAGATGGTCGTTAAGCTCCCCACAAAGGGCCGACGTCACCGGAACTGCCCATGCCACATCGCGGAACTACATCGCATCACACCTGCATCACCAGCATCGACAGCATCGCCGCCCGAACTACTCATTAGAATGGTTTAAGCCTCCGGCCTTCTTTTCGAATCACCTGAGTCCGCCCATTGGGTGCGTCTTACTTTGTTACCCCTTTTTATGGTTGTTTTTTTGTTTTTAATCGGGGGGGAAAAACACTGGAAAACCGAAGCCAATTTGTGGTGTCCCCTTAAACAAGGGACACAGCTATAGTGGCGTTGACCACAATAGATGCCATCCTCGCCTCAAACCTGCTTAGGATGGTGAGGCACAGAACCGACGTTGGAAGCCAACCAACCGGCAAGCTTATCCCTCCAAAAGATGGAAATACTGTGGATGGTTTCGTACTACCGACCAGAAACCCTGGAGAAAAGTTTGATTCCCCAAAATAAATACCAACAAACACCGGTTTCAACCATGGTTTCAAACAGAACGGATAGACCAGAGGACAAACAAATTGTTGCTTTGGTCGATTCGCGTATGCTTTCTGGAAGCCCAAGAAAACCCACAGCTTCGGGTCGACCGTTTTTCTGTGGGCCCCTTCTTTTTGGAACGAACAAGACCCCCGACCGAGTGGGGGTGTCTAAAAATGCTGGGCCCGGTTTGGTTGTTTAAAGGAAACAGCATCATTTTGGGGGGGTCCATTTTGAGCAACTGGCAAGAGGTTTGTTGGCCAGGCATGGGGGGTTGATCAAAAGTTCCCCTTCTCTTCCCCCAGTTTTCACGGGTAACTTCTCCCTGCCCAGAGGTTCGGACGGAAGGATTCAGCCTGCCTTGGGGTTTGGGCCTCGCCACGGCCAGGCTGCCGCCTCCGATCGCAAGATAGGGTGCGGGGGGGGGAGTGTGGGGTCTTATGGGGTTTGGGTGGTTTGAGGGTTGCGAGGACTTGAGGTTTTAGGGTTTTCAGGACTTGGGGGGCGCTGAGGGTTTGGGGTTTTGGGGTTTTCAGGACTTGGGGGAGTTGAGGGATTGAATCTTGAAGGGCTTTGGCCTGCCAACTCTGCAACCACACAAAATCGACATTGGGATGGCCTGCGAGAACCCCTTCCTTGACTTCCGTGCAGTACAGGAAAGGGGGTGGCTCAGGTCTCAGCTTGCTCCCTGCAGCTGGACACACCTCCCGTTTTTCACAGCTGTCAAGACCAGCTGGAGCTGTCCATAGGGCGCTAGTCGTTGATCCATCAAAACATGGATGGCCAACATGAGTGACTAAGGATCCTGTCCATGCCTTGGCCATCTCCAGGAGCAGATACAACTTCCGTCACCACCGTTCTAAAGGTTGATCCCCCATATATATATATATATATGTTCACGCAACCAAGCGGTTGCGAAATGCAGGCTCTTTTTCACGACAGGTGGTTTATGAGTACACCCCAGACGTATTTTCTGGGTGTCTATTTTTGAGGGTACCCCTTTATGTCGTATTTAAAAGGAAACTGGAAGGAAAACCGAAGCCAGTTTGGAGGGCCCAAACTCAAAAGGACGACACCCGTGTGTTACACCTTCCCTGCCAAAAAGCCCCGTCTGTCCTAAAACCAACGATTTTCCCGTCACCATCGGCAAAACATCCGAGGTTCCAACACAGACCACCGCGAGCAGCTGTCGAAAAAGCCGCGGCATGGATCCATGGCGGAACCCGCCCGCTTTCGTGCAAACACTTGGTTGACCTCAGAAAACTACCCCACCTTAGGTGGCCTTTTGGAAAAATAGATGGCCCTGGTAAATGGAATAAACCCCATCTAAACCGGGGCCCTCTATTTTTTAAGCAAACCAACTAAAAAGGACACCTATGTACCCCACAAGAGACATCTTTAGATTGTGGGGATTCTGGGTAAACAACCGATGGTGTCATAGGGATTCGGACCCAAAAAAATCATGGGCAGTCGAAATTGCATGTTTTACTGGTGAGTGGAAGGAAAGGGTCATTCCCAGGCCAAAACAACTTGAGACCTCCGCCCCGAAAAATTGCCTTGGATTTGTGTTTTGCCGGTGTCTTTGAGTAGCCCTTTGGGTCCAAGCTTGACAGACTCACTTGAGTGGATGGCCCAAGAAAGGTCCCCGAATTGGTTCTTTTGCCTAAGCCACTAGGCTGGTCCAAACCCAAAAAGGACACTCCAAAACACCTCCGGGTCTTGTCCGGTTTCTTCACGTCTCTTCGGAACTAGAACTCGAAAAAAGGGCAGCCGGCTGGCTTCATCTTGGCACACGACTCCAAAAACTTGCGCAGCGGCAAACACAAGGTGCAACGCGGATTGGAATATGAAGGTCCAACATGACGACTGGAAGCGGAAGGGTTTTGACAAAGGTTCTACCGACCACAAGACCTGGGAGCAACCCTCAGGGTGGTTGCCATTCATCACGGCCAGTAAGATGTTTCAGTTTGCGGCACAGGTGGCCAAGCCGGAAATCCGGAAACCCGACGTTCGTCCCATCGCCCAGGGTTCCTTTGGCTAGATTCCTTGAGTCGACCTCCGAACATCCATGGCTCAGCACGCGAAACTTGCAGCTTTCCTATTTTGTAAATGTCTCAGTTGTCGCCAGTTTTGAAGCCGGGAACGGTGAGCCACTTGTGAATCGTAACTTTGGCCTAACGAGCCAAGGAGTTGGATTCCAATCCCCGAGAACGTCGCTATTCTTGGCCCACCCTTTTTATCACCCTATTTCTACCCACCCCAACCGCCCGAATACCTCCCAGTGCCTAAACCTGCCCCCTAAAACCCGGCCTCCACTGATCCTAAACCCACTCCAGGCCCACCGAAACCGACGCAGTACTCTTGGCCTAATGTATTCAGTTGGATTCGAATCCCCGAGCTGAACGTCAGTTGCCCGGTTGCAATCGTGGAACTGCAGAAACGGACCTCTCTGGTCGGCCCTCCCCAGATGTGCAACCCAAAAAAATCGGAACGGGGGTCCCTCAATGTCCAACTTGGATCGTTGCAGATTTGTTGGAACCCACCTATGAATTGATTCTTTGTATTTGTCTTGTGGGAATCCAGGTTTGACCCCTACCACCCCACGTCAGTCAGGAAAGTGGTTGATATGCAGTCTCCGAAGTGGGACTATAGATATATAACCCACGGTTCTACAAGGCGCTTGCCTTCCCGCGGTCCTTCCCGCGAGGCCTCGCACAACGCAAGAAGCCTTGTCGGATCACGAGATCACACCCGAAGGAACCAACTTCAACCTCGACCTGCGCTTGAACTCCCAAAACGTCAAAAGAAGACCGAAACAGGGCGCCCGGATTTTAAAAAATCTCACACCCATAGGCGTCCTTTTGATCGGTTAGCTTGATTAGAAATAGACATCAACTGAATTAGATGTGTTTTATGCCCAATTCAATATGTTCCAAAAAGGATACCTACGCTCACACTTGTCCAAAGGTTCTGTTGCCTCCCGCGCGATTTTTTTCTGCAAGCGCTCGCTCGCGACGCAAGCGCCAAAGCGCCTCTTCTTGGGCAGGTTTCGCGCGAAGCCGCGCGCATTTGCGCGGTCACGAGGCTTCACAGTTTGGGAGGGGTGCCATAAAGACTTGGCCATGTGCAGACTCAAAACAACGCCCTAAACAAAAAGGTTGCAACATAGATCCGAAGTGTCCACCGGTGTCCACGGAGAGGCAAGGCCAATCCCGGAATTTGTCATGGCTTGGCTTGGTTCAGGGATATGCTCAGGCAACCCTTACTTGGTGTGTTGGATTGGCGGTTTGGGATTTGAACCCCTGGCCTTTGTAGAGGGTACATGGACAACCACCAACAAACCACCAACTTGAGGGAAGCTGATATTGACATGTCCTCAGCCCAAGAAAACAAACATGAAGGTTTTTGCACCACGGTTGCCACCAGCGGGAGGCTAACATATTGCAAGTAGAGAGAGGAAAATCCTGGGATTTACCATGCTTTGTGGCTGGCCGAACTCGACCGCAGGGTCATGATGTTCAAACAGGAGTCAACAGAACCTCTCACAGGCTTAGCAGAAACCGCTCAACAGCAAGGCCCCTAAAGGGCATTACGGGGTCGTTCTATCAGACCCACCGTCCAAAGAGCCAACTAAGTTGGTAACCTCCCGAACATTATGGGAACATGAATCACCCTGGTTAGGGAAATCAACCACAAAACCTCCGATTTGCGATTGGTTACCCGACAGTCTCCCGCGCTATGCACTTTGTGCACGGCGCGTGCCCGCGACCCGAACCCCGAACGCAACTCTTTGATGCGTGCACTCTTCGGGCGCTGGTGGGCGAAATTTGGACCCCTTTCTGAGCCAAAGAGCAATCTGCGCCTGACATGCTTGCAAAAGAGAGTGTTGACTCCGGTGATGCTCCACCAGAATTCCCGTTCAAGGTTGCCCCGGAGAAAGTGACTGTGCCCAGCAAAAACAGACTGGGAAATGTGAGTCGCAATCAAAACCTGGTACTAAAATGGTCGATCCCCAGAACCATGTACAGGATTAAGAAGGCGGATCTCCGCAGCTATTTTATGGTTGGGATCGTCCCTTGCTAACCTTCATCTACCCAGGTTTTGATTGTGACTCATGCGGGTTGTCTGCGTCTGTTGCGTAGGGCCACGACACTCAGCGCCCAAAGAAAGTTCTCTCGACGCCAGCGTGGTGTTCAAGCGGTCAGCCAAGAACCCCCGACGAAGGGAACTCAATCTGTACAAGCCTGGGACCCACCGCCCCAACCTGCTGCCAGTGCTGAAAAGTTACACTAGGCAACCGGACGGAAAAACACGTAAAACGCAAACCTCTACAGCCGTGCCGTTTGCCTTTTTTTAAGTGTTTTAACTTGGGCTTGGTATGCATTTGAAGGGAAATCAGTTGGGGTCCCGGGTCCCGAACTACGTCACTGCTGCTTCTTGGGCTGTGACTGCATGAAGGGCGTGCTCGGCGTCGCATCCTCCACTTGGGGCTTGGAGACCTCGAGGTTGCGATGGGGAGGGCGTAGGAGTGGCTCGGTGGGTGGTGAGGAATGCAGAGGTGAGAAGAGAGAACGGGATGGAGGGAGAGTGAGAGTCGTTCATTCTCTCTTCCCATACACTCTCCTATCTATCTCTGAGACTCGCCGTAGCAAAGAGAAGGCACGGGAGATGAAAAAGAGATAGAAGAATTACCCCTGGTTTGCTGTTTTTCTTGCTGGCGCTCAGTAGGGAACGTGGGAATGCACCCAGGGTGCCCTTAAAGGAAACCACAAACAATGGTTGATAGGGGTCATTCCGTTACTCATTCCCTGCTGAGCAGCAAGTGCCTTTTTTTCCGAGGGATTCGCTAACACGGAAAACCCCACCCGATTTTTGTTGGGGGAGTCCGACTCCTAAGCAAAAAGGACAACACATAAACTCGGTTGCTTGCTGCTCCCCTGCTAAAAGTGTTTGTCTTTTAGTGGTTTCATGGAACACCCATTTGTTGGCAAAAAGTTAAAGTCCTAACATCCCTTGGCAAAATGCAGCAAAGGAAACTGGGTGTGGAAGATTTCCACCTCAAGCGGAGGCATGCTGGTGGAAGACATGCACGTCTGTGATACCAAACTGGGCCATATGCCTACGTTGCAGCCTCAAAGAATAATGTTCCTCCCCAAACCATTGAGCCTTCCCCTCCCTTGGGTATACCCCAACTGCAATACCCTTTTCGTTTAGGGTATCTGTTGGAAAACCCGTTTTTTGAGGGTAAATACCTCCTCTTTTAGTAGAGGTCGACATCATACCCCAAAAAAAGCGGGTATTAAGTATAAGAGGTATAGGAGGCAACCAAGCGCTTGCCACCCTTTGAGCAACCACATGCAAAACATGGCAAGGTTCAAGCCTTCAACCCGGAAGAAGAACAAACAACTCCCACCCTTCTCACATGGAACGATTCCCACGTCGAACGATTCCATGCGCCGATCAAACTTAAATGGGTGTGTCTCCAAATTGGTGAGCAGACTGCATCTAATTACCTAACCTTTCTAGATTTTTCATTGGGCCCTTCAGGTAGGTGTTCTTTTTCGTCCCCTTTTGAGACTTAGGCGGTGTCCTTTTTAGTTCCCTTGTGAGACTCTCCTAAACAAAAACAAACGAGTCGTCCGCCCGGCTAAGGGCGCCTTGCGCCGCAGCTTCTCCGGGATCTTGGAGAGCTGCTTCCAGCTCATGATGGCGAAGACGGTCAGGATGCACAGCAGCTTCACCTCCACCCCAAATGGGGGGAATGGGCCGGGGGGGGGAGGGGCTGGGGGGTGGGGTTTAGGGTTTAGGGTTTAGGGTTTAGGGTTTAGGGTTAGGAAAGTGGGGTTTCGGGGGGGGGGGGGGAAAGAAGGGGAAGAGGGGGAAGTGGTTGCTGTAACCGACCCTCCGCAACCAGATTTTACTGGAGGGAGGGGGTGTGGGCGCCGAAATCGACCACCAGCTGTTCTTTTAGCTTTTTGCTGTCGCAACCCCGAAAAGTCCGGCCTGTTTAGCCCAAAAAGCCAAAGTCCAAAGATCCAACGCTGGAAACCAATGGCTAGGTCCTCCAGTAGAGAGGTGAGACAAGGGCACCAACCCCCCCCCCCCCCCCCGTAGTCTATTTTAGTAGGGTCCCGAACCCTCCCCAACCAAAAAAGTGTGAGCAAGGGCACCTAGCTGGGGGACCTAGCCAAGGACTCCTTTTTCTAGGGTGCTTTTCTTTTCTCGCTTTTTTCTCCCCTTGGAGGCAAAGCCATGGACAGTGGGTGGAAACCAAAGAGAACCATGTTCCTAGAGTATTCTAGGGGTAACTTATCCATTTCCAGTCTGAATCCAGGGATCCGGTTTCCTTTCTAGAAAACCACCAAAAACCCTTAAAAAAATGGCGATCGGCTTTTTGAAAAGAACGATGGCTGAAAAGAATGGGGAGTCAACCCCTAGAAGTATGTCGTACATTCCACTCTCGGAAAATCGAAACGTCTGAGGGTATGCCCTGGGAGCCGTCAAAGGTCGCTTTTTTCTGCTTGGTTCCGAAGGGAAACCAAAAGGACCATCAGCATTTCGGTGTCGATGTTGACACGGTGGTTCGGTTCCGGGGTGGTTTCAAACCCATTAACCCTCTATAACCACGGGTTTCAAATCCCACCAATCCAAACCAACCAAGGGTGACCTGCAAAGCACCAACATGGCCGAAGAAGTCACATCACCCAATCTGTGGAACCAGGACACCGCAAGGAGAACCGAAGCCATTTGAGGGCCCTCCCCCCCCTCCCCCCCGCTTAGATCCAATTCCAGTGGACCGTTTTGTTTCGATTTTTCCCCCTGACCGCATCTCCGGGACCCAAAAGTTGGGCTGCCACTTTAGCCACCAGGATTTTCAGGGCTCTCAAACCAAAACAGCGGGAGGGGGTTGGATTGGGGAGGAGGAGTGGGAGGAGGAGGAGTGGGAGGAGGAGTGGGAGGAGGGGGGGGTGGGAGGTGGGGTGGGAGGTGGGGTGGAGTTGGATGGAGTTGGATGGGACTGCCACTGAGAGAGCTAGGAGCTAAAACGGGGTCTCCCAGTTTGTTCTTCGGGAACCCTGTTTTGCTCATATCATGACTCATATCCACTTGGCAGGTTCCCTTTGTCCCAACTGAAAGCTACGTGTTTTTGTCCAGATAGGCTTGGGAGTTGTTCGGAGCAGCTGTCAGGGATACCCTGGTGAGGGAAATTGAAGGGAAACCAGCGATTTTGGGGGGTCCTCATGTTCATGGGAGAAGAAGGCTTGCGATTCTCATTTGCTCGAAGCCCTGTTTTGAGTGTATCCCATGTTCGAAGGGGACTCCCCGGTTTTTAAGGGAACCCACACCCACATGAGATGCAGTTCATGCTTTGTTTTGGGCGTTTCATCAATCAAACACCAAAAGGAAGCATCTTAGCTTTTTTGGGGATGAGTTTGTGGTCCCGGACCGCCCCCCAGCTCCAGCCACACTCCAAGTTGATCCTTTTTCGGAACCCCGGCGCCAGGCTGAAGCCGTGCCCGAAGAAGATGAGGGAAATGAGCACCGACAGCAGCTGCCTTGCTGTCATGATCCAGGTAAAGGAGAGCGAGCCCAGGATCCTGAGACAGCTGGTGTCGCTTTCGCTTCTTTGAGTTGGTACAAAAATTTGTGGCCTATTGGTTTTGAAGGGAAAGCAAAAGCGGAACCTGATGCCTTGGAGTTGCACCCATGTTTTTGGGAGTGGTGTTGAAGGGACCATCATTTTTGGAGTTGCTACCCTAAAAATCAGCCGTTTCCGCCGCCAGGGCAGTTCCAGAGTTCGGTTTTGGGACGTTTCGGAGTTATGGATGCGCATCCCAGAGGTTGGCAATGAAGGCAGTTGAAGGTTGACGAAATCCATTTCGCACCACCTGAGAAACCTTCGAATGATGCGATTCCCCTGTAAATACCAACCAACAATAGTTTTCCATGGTTTCAAGGTGGTGCAGGCTGGTTTCAAGGTGGTGCAGGATTTTGTCCATCCACAGTATGAATCAACCAACCAGTTTGTTATTGGCTCAGATGCCCAGTGGATTTCCATGGGGAAAACAAGAATCGGCACCCATGTTTTTGTTGGGTTTATTTCGAAAGGGGAGCCCTTACTCACAAAATGGAAAACTGATTCATATGGGGTTGTTCCCTCCAAAGGTCTGATGCCCCCCTAAACCCAGGGAACCCCCCAAAAAACAAAGTGGGGTTGATTCATATGGGGTGTGCCTCAAGATGGACCCGTTTTGCGTGTGTGTGTGTGTGTGTGTGTGTGTGTGTGTGTGTGTGTGTTTAAAAGACAAAATGGGAAACTAGAGGAAACATCGGCCATTTTGGGGGGTCTGTTTTGAGACACGCCCATATGAATCAACCCCCAGTTGGGTTCAAATCCCAACCAATCCAAACCACCGGTTAGGGATTAATGTTGACCCCGGAAGCAGAACCTCCTGTTTATGAATATGGGAGTGTCAACCTCCCTGGGTGAAATGTGAGGAATCACACCACTTTTCATAAACTGGGGTTGACTGATATGGGGTCAACATTACCCCGGAAAAAACGGTGGGTGCTGTTGATTGGGTGATCGCCTTTGGGTTAATGTCCCGTTCGACGTAGACGAATCTGAGAAATCAGGAACATCTGCAGCAAGTCAGCACAGCAAGGCGATACTTCGAGGATATAGCCCATGTAACGTCATCCATTTGCTCAAGTCCCCTGAAAAAACGTATTCCAACATATGCCCAGGAGTGATAGATTCTATTTCAAGCCAACGGGCGAAGACAACAAACATAGGCAAATGGAAGACATTCTCGCAAGTGACTTTCCTCTTACGGAGCCGACAAAAACTTCCATGGAGGGTATCTGGGGGGTTGGTTGCAACCAGGGCTGTTCTTTCTTGGGCTCTTCACTCGGATGTTCAACCCAGCTACAACCGAGCTTCAACTCAACTCCTGGTATGGTAGCAAAAAGAGTGGTAGTAAAAAACATGTTTTTTTGTGGCCACCCAGTATATAAACATGAACAGAACAAAAAAAAAAAACGTGCCAAGAACAGCGAAGTAAAACCAAAGTCGGGGCTAGCTGGCGAATATCCCCAAGTTGGAACCTTCTTGTTGAAAGCCGCCGGCACACAAGACACCTCTACCCGGAGGGCTTCGGTGGACCTGTGACCTTAAAGGGGTGCTAATCCGGGGTATGCCACGGTTGCGGAATCCGTTCACACCACGAAATGAACCCATGAATTGAAACCACAACGCTTGTGGGTACTTACCTTGGGGACTCGACTCATTCTGTTGGGTTTCTGAGTTCGGTGGTGAAATCCAGACTCGCGGATGGATCTCGCGAAACCAGCCTTAAGATAGAGTTAAGCCCAGGGCTTCGCCTTTCGGAAGTCATGAACCATCCCTGGGTGTAAGTCTACCCTGTAATGTTGACCCAGGATTCATAAACCCGTCCCATCATTGAAGGGCTCCAAAAGCGGTCTGAATCCCCACTATAAGGGGACACCCCCAAAAAAAGAATCAACCAGGGGTTCTACTTAAATCCAGGGTTGACATAAGTCCAAAAGTGGAACTCTGGCAGTAGCGCGGTAGGTAGGGCCATGTCGTTCCAGAAGAAAGTACATGAACCATCCCTGGGTTTAAGGCCCCCCATGTAGTCCAAAAGTGGAACCCTGGCAGTGGTGGTCGGTAGGGCCATGTCGTTTTCGTTTAAAAAATACCCATCTCTGGGTTGAAGTCTACCCACTAGTCACAAAGTGGAACCCTGGCAGTAGCGGTAGGTAGGGTTTTTTGTCGTTCCATGATATAAATACAAGGGGCCGGATGGCCGAGTAGATGCAGAACTGCCCCAAGGCGGAGACCACGCCTAAGGCCACGATCCGCCAAAGCACCTGCGATGCGAGGCTCGTGCTTTGTGGTAGATCAAAAGGTCCGGGAAGCATGGCCGGGGAAACCACCAAAAAGGATAAGACTTTCACATGGGTCAAAAATATGTACCCGAAATGGGTTGCCCTGGTAAATGGAAACTTGGACTACAACCTGCGGTCCCCTGGTAGATCAAAAGCTTCGGCCGAGAGAGAACCATGGGTGAAGAGGATAGAGAAATCAACCCTGTGGATGGTTGCGACATCCAGAAATCGCACCACCTAAGAAAACCTGAAATTGTGTGTGTTCCCTGTAAATACAAAACAATGGTTCATAGTCCCTTAGGTGATGCGAAATGATAGGGGTAACCACCGAGAAAACCACCAAAAAAGATACGACTTTCACATTGGACAAGTTACCCATGGTCATTTTGGGGCCGAACGGAATATTGATCAACTGCCTGGTCTCGGCGAAAATGTGGACACAGATGTGAGGTGCCAAGGTAACCATCCTTTTGGAGCCAGTTGGGCGTGTCTCATGGAACCTAAACTTGGTGGCTTCCATTTGGTTTCCCCTGAGAAAAAGACCTGCCGATGTAGCAGGAAAGGGATTGGTGCGGTCATCAGGCACCCTGCAGACGCCCAAATACCCTGACTGCAGGGATATTAGGTACTCCTTTGGAGGTTGTTCTTCACAATCCAATGGGAAACTGCCGATTGTGAGGGGCGCCCCTTTTAACACATGCCCATATTATGTCCTTGTCGTGGGGACGCCCTTTTTGTGTGTTTTTCGCTGGAAGTTGCGAGGAAACAAACCCAAAATGGGGGGGGCGGGTCGTTGAGACATCCCAGGAAGCAGCACCCCCAAAGACCCCCGCCCCGTCACTTGTTGCGGGCTTTGGGTCTCTGGGGAGGTGTCTGGATTCGGATGGTTTTGTAGGGAAAAACCAGAGCATAGCTTAAAACCAATCTAAACCAGTGCCATCTATTTCTAACCAAGCTAACCTACGAAGGACACCTATGGGCCAGAGGGGAGCCGTTGGAATCGCTTTCTTTTGGGTGACTAGGATGCGGGAAAGGCGCTATTCAACCCGCTGGGCAGGAAACTTTGGCTTTGGCACAAGGACACGAAAGGAAGCCGCGTCCCAAGCTTCCAACCCCTGTGGTTTGGTGATCCGTTCAATAAGCTTCGAGAACCCGTTCGCGCGTGGACAAACGTAGCTGGGAACTCAACAAGGTGAATCTCCCCACAAACACTTCAGGCACCCTAATAGAAGCCCAGGAATCCCAGAGCGCCAGAGATTTCGCCTTTAGCCATCGGATCCCTCAGAGCTGCTGGCTTGCTCCACCAAGAACCCAATCGCTCGCAGCTTCAGGTCGCCCGGAGCCCGGGCTTAACCCCATGGAACCCTCACCGCTCCATGAAAGCGCCCCTCCTGCCTCCAGCGGGGCTGATCAAATATGGCCAGGGCTATGGTTGGGAGGGTCTTGGGGGGGTCCCTGACAACTGGTTGCTGGTGGCGCGCTCTGCGAAGTGAACTTGCAGGTCAAGTGGCTCGCAGCCCCTCAGTTCAGCCCCAGGGTTAAACCGCTCGTAAACCCTTGGAACTAGTTGCTATATTGCAACCATTTAGCAATCAGCCCCTAGGCGCTTGCCTTTTGACACGTCAAAAGAAGTTGTGAACAAATATCCCCAGTCAATAAGTCACCATGAGCTTTTCCCACCCACAAGGGGCGTTCTCAAACTGTTGCGCCCAATGGCTTCCTTTTGCTTCCCTTCAAACAAACCAACCAAAAGGGGGGCTTGTCCGCCCAGAAACAGGAGGGATCAAAAAAAAGAAGATCAACTGGGCACCCGCCTCCGGGTTGTCCATGGCAACATCCAGGGACTGCCGGATCTTGGCCCAGTTGTAGTACCTCTTCGGGTTCAAAAACGGGTCGCATTATTTGCATTTAGAGGACGAAAACCAGAAGAAGTTTGCAACCAAAGCCAGGGCTGACTTCTTGGTCGTTGGATGGATCTTTGGGGAGATTGTCATGCACTCCTTATCGGGGTTGCTCTGCGGCCCTGCAAAAAAGATGTCGTGTGTTGCTTGGCACCACATCGAGCGAGGAGCCAAAGGTAATTTAAACGCTCCTTGATTGTTCTTGTTTGTCCCCGTTGAGTGGTAATAAAAAAAAAAAGCATTTGGGTGTGTCTCAAAAAGGGGGAGGCCCCTTTTGGATGATGGCTTGAAGGAAAAGGCGCAGGAAAACCAGTTTGGGGCGTCTGAATCCTGAAAAAAGACACACCGACCCATTTAGACCTGGGTGCGTCTTCCGAAATGTTCGTTAGCAATCAATCCCGAGAGCCGGCCGCCTTTCTCAAAAAAAAATGGGCCCCTCCACACGTGCCGTCTATGGCAATGGGTCCATTGGCCCGTTTTGCCCATGAGACTTGCGAGACGGGGACTCGGAGGTCAACCATCGCAAGAGAGGCGTCCTTCTTTTTCGTGAATCCCAGAGCAAGATTCGTACCCCCCCAGCCTGTTCTGGGCTGCCCGTTTTCAGATCCCCCGCTGAAAGTGGACAACTTTGAGCGGGCAAAATGGCAAACCAACCAAACACTAAAAAGCTAAAATGCTACCCCCCGAACGTCAGGTTCCATGTGAAAAGGGGGTGGGAGGGTAGCTTCCCAACAATGTGAAAGCTGATTTGAGTTGCTATACTGTGGATGGACGAAATCCATTTCGCACCCACGACATGAAACCATAGTTGAAACCACTATTTGTTGATACTGACAGGGGGGAATCATATCAGCCCAGGGTTTCCAAAGGTGGTGCGAACTTATTCTTCTATCCACATATGGAACCAGCCAGCAGGTCAATGGAATCCCTGGCATTTCGGTCCAAGGGGCAAGTTCCCGGAGGTGAAGACAAGGCCCAGGAAGTTCCCTCCCAGCATCATCTGCAGCTGGGTCAGCTCGGGGTACCTGTCGCATGGTGTTCTGGATGGGAAACCGCCTTTTTTGAGGGGTTTTTCAGGGGGAGGGGGGGGGGTTGGGATGGACAAAATTTGACATATCCAAAGGTTCCTGGGCTCATTGGGACACACTCAATCACTCACTCCACTTTGCCCGGCGAATTTGAAAAGCGCTACCTTGGTTACAGGCGAGTGGTAACAGGGTGAACTCCAGGGGGACTGGACTGAGAGGCTGTGGGTTACCACCTGACAGCCCAGGGGAAAACTTTGGGAACGGTCCCATGAGCAAAAGTTCCACCCCAATTGCACCGGTTGAGCCACTTGCTCAAAACCCGGTACTAAAATGGTCGATCCCCAGAACCATGCTTACAGAATTCAGAAGGCGGATCTCCGCAGCTATTTCTGGCTGGGACTGCCCCTTACTAAGCTTCATCTACCCAGGTTTTGATTGTGGCTCAGTTGAGCTTTGCAATTCCAGGGGTTCCTCCAACGGTGTGTGTGAGTCAAAATGAAACTGGCAACCATGATTCGCTTGGAACACGAAGCCCATCTACCCCCATCCCTTTCAACCTACGAAACTGGTCTCCCGCTTTTTCTCAAGGCCCCCCATGTCATTTGTTGGGTACCCCTGTTGGGTTTGGTGTCCAAGAAACACCAAAAAGAAACCAACCATTCTGGTTGGCATACCAAGCATGTTCAGATCAAACATGTCCTTCCCGAGGCCATGAAGCTAAAACACGGCAACCTGGTTCAAGCTCATCTTTCAGATTGGTTAAACAAATACCAAAAAAAAGCCTTGTGCCCAATACTTTCCCCAAGCGCACCCAAACAAAAAACTCCACCAATTGAATTGGCCCGCCAAGAACACCACGCCCCTTTTTCGCTCCCCCCCCCCTTTCCCCCTTCCCCCCCCTTTCCCCCTTTCCCCCTTTCCCCCGCGTCCCGCCGCGTGGTTTTTTTTTTTTTTTTTTCCGGGCGAGCGGCCTGGTGTACAAGTTGGTCTGCCACTGGGAGGTGAAGGAGTCGCCGGCGAAGAAGACGCCCAGCATGGCCACGCCCATGAAGAGCTTCCAGTTCTCACTCCTGGGAGCGAGCGGCCGGGCGGGGATTTTTTTTTCGGGGAAGCGGTCCAGCTGGGAGGTGTGGGGGTCCTCTCCCATGTTTGGGGTCTTTGGGTGGTCCCCTTCCCTCTTGAGGGCTGTGCAAAGTGGGGCTGCCCTTTTGTTTTGCCTCTCTCTCTTTCTTTTTTTTTCGGTGGTGTTTTTGGCTTTTGGAGTTGAAACCAAGGAGAATTGATGGTTTCAGCTGTTGTTGCTTTTGCGTTTTTTGGAGTCGAAACCAAGGAGAAGTGATGAAAAGTTACTGTGTGACCGTGGCGTGTGTGCTTTTTTGCCAAAGCTCAGTTGCCCCAGCTACTCAGCAAGTTCGTTGCATGTCTATTGGTGGTTTGGAGCCCGGTGATTTGGTGGTGTTCCGGTCGAGGCGTCCCCTGGGGTTCGAATCACCACCAGGCAAACCTTCTAACGGGAAACCCCTTCAAGAAATACGGGGAGGGGAGCGGGGGGGGGGGGGGGGGGCAAAAACACGTGTTGATTGCTTGCTTTCATATAAGGGTTACCCCTTCCAAGGAAACTGGTGAAACGGCACATGAGGTTTGACAAGGTACATCCCTCCAGCAAAGCATGAACAACACTTGTAATTTTTTAAGAAAAGGGACCCCCCTCCGAAACGAAAAAGTCGCCAACTGTTGGAACGCAAATCAAAGGACACTTAGGGAATCTCTTTGAATTGGGAGACTCAGCCCCCTGTTTGTACATTCCAGCTGTTGGCGCAGCCCCCTACTAATTGAACGGAACCAAACAAATTAAAAGGGAACCAATCCCGCAAGTTGGAAACGCCTCCTACCACCTCCCCAGCTCGCTAATTTGCTTGATGTGTTGAGGGAAGCCCCTCCAAAATATCACCCTCCGAAAACTTGAAAAGAACATGTCGGTTGATGTCTGAGGAAAACATGTCCATGAACGGTGCCACATAGCAATCGTTGATGAGCAAACAGCCTTCTCCGAAAACAATGAACAAGTCACATTGACCAAAGAGCTACCAAGTTCGGGTCAAACTGGGTCCAGCAAAGATGACATCTTCAAAATTACCTTCTAAATAGTGGTTCAAAGGGGTGTGCCACTTCCCAAAGTATCATTAAGACACCCTGAAACCGCTTTTTCCTTGTGCTTCTGCTGTGCACTGTTCCGGCTCACATGAAGCCAACAATTCAGCAGTCCAGCTGTGCCTCGGGCCAACGCACGATGCTATTCCATAAACCCCAAGCTCGTGAGGGTGTGAATTTCAATCTGGGACGCCTTGGTGGAAATCATTTCGGGGGGTTGTCCACCAACCACCTGCTCACCTGGGAGGTTGTTCACTATGAAAACGAATAGCCATGACAGCTTCATGTTTGCAGTCACAAAGGGCCAAAGGCAAGCGAGCCAAGCTTGCACACAACTCTCAGCATAGAAGATGCAAGGCAAAATTCCCCAAAGAACCTGCACAAAAGTCCCCAAGGAAAATGGTCCACATCTAGATCTGCTTCCGGAGGCTCATCGGCTGGCCGGTGGCGTTCTTGGGCCCAGCCTCCGGCGCCTCACGAAGCGAAGCGGTCGTCGTTTTTGTGCCCTGTTGAAGGGGACGTCTGCCCAGTGGATCCATTTACCTGGTTTTTGTAGGTAACCAAGGGCTTGCGCGCCAGCCCAATATAAGAAAATGACAAAGGACATCGTTGGTGACCTCCTGGGCAAGCTTCGACTGGGCTCCACTGGTCTAGCAAACGGCTTGGATGTGGCAAATCTGTGGATCCACCCCTGGATTCGACTGGGGAAAAAAACAAAAGAAAAAAAAAATACAGGGGCCTTAGAACAGGTGAAATTCAGCCTGGCCTAAGGAGGCAAAACCGCTTGCTGGCGCGATGGGAGGGAATGTGGGAATGAACCTGGGGATGCCCAAATAGAGGAAAAACCGCAGCGGATGGGGTTTACAGGGGTCATTTTTTCAAGCTACACCGCGTGGCTCCTGGGCCAACTTCCGTGCAAAACGCCAAAAAACATGTTGCAGCTAAGGGCAAAACCATCGGGGTGAGGCAGTATGAGCCTCGGCCGCGTCCACGAAGTTTCGGGGGGCTTGGAGCCTGATCCGCACGAAACAAGGCAGGCGCCTTCTGTCGCGATGGAAACAAAACGTGAGTTGCCAACGTTGGCAAGCTCGCAGAGGCGAATTGAAGCCCAATGAGCATAAGAGGCCATGTGGCTGGTCAAAAACAGGGTAAACCAAAAATGGGTTACCCTGGACTAAAACCTGCGGTCCATGGTTATACCCAATACCAGAGATGGTCTTGTGACGAACGACCCTCACAGGACATTCCCCAATTTGGGGACTCTGGAATCATAGTGTGGATGGACGAAAACCATTTCGCACCGCTTTCAAATCGTGGGAAACCACTGTTTGTTAGTATTTACAGGGGAATCATCATTCCAGGGTTTCTTAGGTGGTACATAATTTTGTCCATCCACAGTATGTTTGCATCACAAGCAGACTCGCTTTGAAGTCGATGATTGAATTGGTGATGTTCAACCTACTAAATTCGGATGTCGCTTCAAATTGGATGTCACTTCGCATGACAAAAATGGGAACCAAAAGATGCTTTAGTAGGTGGGCATAAATTCTATCTAAATTGGGACCGTTTGCTTGGATTTACGTCCACCAATCACTTGTGATGTGAAATTCTTCCACCCCATTCCCGCTTCCCAATTCGCTCCAGAAGGAAATTGGCTTCAACAAACCTCATGTGTCGCCTCATCCGAGAAGTGCATGATGGCCACGCAGACCAGGGCCGCAACGGCTTGGCCGTACTGGAACAAGGAATACCTCGTGCCGTTCACCTCGGATCGGGATCGGCGGAAGTCCCCGAAAGGAAGCCAGGGAGCCTTGAAAACACCACCCCGACGGTTTTTTGGGCGTCTCTTGGTTTGAGGGAACCCCGTCTTTTTTGGGGTGTTAAAGGGAAACCAAAAGGAAAACCAAAAGGAAAACCAAAAGGAAAACCCCCGCAAAAAAAAAAAGACACGGCCATTTAGCCTCATGCCGCAAGTTTGGACTGGGACCCCGGCACAATTTTTGGTCCCAAGAGAAAGAAGAAAAAAAGTCGCCCGATTAGCGTTCCGAAAACGTCCATAAACCATAAACACACTACCACGTCAAAGAAATCTGACAATCAAGACCTGCTTCAGCACGAAAAAGGGTAGAATTCAAACACATGGTGTTTCAACAGGGCTTCTTGCCGAACCTATTCAGGCTTGTTGTCCTTTAGCTCAATCCACCCGAATCACTTCTGGCTCACCTGCTCCACTCCCTCCTGGCGAGCCGCGATCCTGCCCATCATCATGTTTGGCAGCATCTTCACTGACTTGGCCATAACCTCAAGTTTCATGGACCGTTGCGGTGAAGACCTGGGTTATTTGACGGCTGGTTGTGGCTTACTTGTAGGACACCAGCGGAGCACCACAAGGGGAACGCAAGGGCTACTGAATCGTTTAACTTTCTTAGGACCACAGCAAGCTTGCGACGCTCAAGCGCTCGCATGGGGAAGCGTCCGACCCACTCTAGGGGCCTGGGTTTCAGGGCCTTTTGGAGGCCCGGCGCAGTCGGGGCAAAAGTCGTGGCAAGGGCATGACTTTCCTTTGCGCGCTCATCAACAAAGCGCTCCATGAGATAAAAGTGGCTGAGTTGGTTCATTTGGCCCTTCGGCGGGTTCATGGGATACCATGGCCCACATCCGGTGTACACAAGAAATAGCCTATGTCCGGAGTCTGGCCCGTATCTCGCCCAACCCAAAACCTAAAGTCATGTTGCCTAAAGTCATGTTGCCTAAAGTCATGTTGCCTGAAGTCATGTTGCCTAAAGTCATGGTGCCTAAAGAGCCCATGGAAAAAAAATGAGCGCCTGTCAAAATATCTCCCTCGCGCCTGCACCGGGAAGGACACGTACTTCAGCATCTCGTAGCCTCAGCGCTGGCCAGCGGGAAAATTGAGACTCTGATGCTTGCGAATGAAACCAAAAGATCTGAGGCCCTTTTGCTTTGGTTTAGGGAGAACTTGGGGCAATTTGGGGGGCCCTAACTTTTCTCTTCAAAGGACAACATCTTGGCGTTGAAAAAACACCTCTCTCTTGGGGAACCCTGGAATTCGAGGTACCCTAAGGCCTCACAAGCCGCAAGGGTTCTTGTTCGTGTTTGCGTTTGGATCCTTGAAAAAGATGGCCGACCAAGGCTCGGAAGCTGCGACCCCAGACCCCAGACTGCCTGCCCTTGGCACCCAGCCGTTCTCGCAAAAGTCTCTCGCCCCTCTTTAGAAGCTAGAGCTCCTGTAGCTTTTTCAGCATCTGGGGAAAAAAGTCCCCCCTTCCCCCCCCCCTCCCCCCAAAAAGGGGCTCAGCAACCTGCCCCCCTCCCCTCCCCCCAAAAATGGCCTCGCTGCTTTTCGAAAAGCCATTGAAAGCAAAAGGTCTCTCCGTTTGCGCGATTCGGCCACACCCTTGAGACCAGCCATGAACAGGCTTCCCTGTATTTCCCTGCTGATCGCTTGGGCCAATGAAAAGCGTGGCTTCCTTTTTGGCGTCCCTTTATACAAAATCGGGTTGCATTGTTTGGAGACAAACCCGCATCCACACGCCAACGCATGAACTCAGCTTCCCCCTAATCGGTGGTTTGGTTGGAGCCCGGTGGTTTGGTGGTTAAGGAGGGGTTGCCCAGTAACACCAGACAAGGCCAGGGACCCCTTCAAATCCAAATCCAAATCACCAATCCGAACCGCCAAGTGCGGCTTACCTTCATTTGCTCAAGTCCCCGGCAAAAAACAAGACATGTCCAGCAGTGAAATCGATTCCCCTTTAACGCCAACAGGATACAAACATATTCTGAAACGCAAATGTCACGCAACCCCTGGTTGGTGTTTTGGATTGGTGGCTTGGGGGGATTTGAACCCTTGGTGCTTGTAGAGGGCATGTATAAGCCTTGAATCTTTTTGTTGGCTGGGTCTTTAAAGGAAACCGGGGTTGATTTTTTTGTATGCGGGGTAAACGCGTCCGCCAACGCGTCTCAACGCATCAACTTGCGCATCGCGGCGCCCGCGAAGGTAGAGAGCTCGTTGGTGAAGGCGAAGGCGCTCATCGACAGCAGCGGCGCGTCCAGGCGCAGGCTCCGCTTGGTGACGAGCATGGCCACGCCGCTGCAGATCACGGACCTCTGCAGCCCCCGTGGGGAAAAAAAGAAGAAAAAACGGAGCCCGAGTTTTTCTAGGGGATGATGGCTTAACCATTCTTTTGAGCCCATGGTTCTTTTCCAAAAACTGGCCGTTTTCCCCGGTTTCTGGAGGTTGTCTAGAAAGAAGGATCCCTGGAAAGAATAGGGATCCCTGGAAAGAATGGGGAAGGCACCCCTAGATTGTTTGGCTGACCGTCTTGTTTGAGGACGGAACTCCAAAACTGCTGGTGTGCCTGCTGGTTGCCCCTTCTCCAAAAAAAGAACACGTCGAAAAGACGCCCATTTGGGCGTGCTTTGCTTCTTTTGAGCAGCCCGGCCCCCCTTTTTCGGTAGGAATTTGGACCTGGGGACCGGAACCGGAAATCAGATCGCAGGAGGGGGACCGAGAGGAGGGAAACCACCCAGCCACCAACCACAAACGCTTGGTTGACCTTGGGTTTGGGGAGCAAAAATTCTCAAATTTTGGCAGTGAAGTGGATTTGGAGTTCAACCACTAAACCACAACAAGCAAAAATGTAAAATGTGTCCCAACGACAACCAAAAACAAGTCTTCCAGAGACCTTCCTGGACGAGGAATTGAGGGACCCTTTGTTTCGGCTGCGTTTGACAACTTCAGGCGCCAACGCTAAGAAACAAGGCCAAGTCGCCATGTCAGTGGTCAAATGCATTTCCACCGGGGGGTTGCTCGGACGCCACGTAAGTGGTCAATCATAGCAGTATAGAAGTTCCCCAAGTGGCGTTTGCCCTGCACACCCACTTAGGACCTTCCGCGTCAGGGACCGGCTGCGGTGTGATGTTGTATATATTTGTGGATGTCGTGCAATGCAATGCAATGCAATGCAATGCAATGCAATGCAATGCGATGCGATACAATGCAATGCAATGCAATGCGATGCGATAATCCAATGCAATGCAATGCGATGCAATGCGATGAAATGAAGTGAAATGCAATGCAATGCGATGCGATGCGATGAAATGAAGTGAAATGAAGTGAAATGCAGTGCAATGCAATGCAATGCAATGCAATGCAATGCGATGCGATGAAATGAAGTGAAATGCAATGCAATGCGATGAAATGAAGTGAAATGAAGTGAAATGCAGTGCAATGCAATGCAATGCAATGCAATGCGATGCGATGAAATGAAGTGAAATGCAATGCGATGCGATGCGATGAAATGAAGTGAAATGAAGTGAAATGCAGTGCAATGCAATGCAATGCAATGCAATGCGATGCGATGAAATGAAGTGAAATGCAATGCAATGCGATGCGATGCGATGAAATGAAGTGAAATGAAGTGAAATGCAGTGCAATGCAGTGCAATGCAATGCAATGCAATGCGATGCGATGAAATGAAGTGAAATGCAATGCAATGCGATGCGATGCGATGAAATGAAGTGAAATGAATGCAATGCAATGCAATGCGATGCGATGAAATGAAGTGAAATGCAATGCAATGCGATGCGATGCGATGAAATGAAGTGAAATGAAGTGAAATGCAGTGCAATGCAATGCAATGCAATGCAATGCGCAATGCAATGCGATGCGATGCGATGAAATGAAGTGAAATGATGAATGCATGCAATGTGCAATGCAATGCAATGCAATGCGATGCGATGCGATGAAATGAAGTGAAATGCAATGCAATGCGATGCGATGCAATGTGATGCAATGAATGCAATGCAATGCGATGCGATGAAATGAAGTGAAATGCAATGCGATGCGATGCGATGAAATGAAGTGAAATGAAGTGAAATGCAGTGCAATGCAGTGCAATGCAATGCAATGCAATGCGATGCGATGAAATGAAGTGAAATGCAATGCAATGCGATGCGATGCGATGAAATGAAGTGAAATGAAGTGAAATGCAGTGCAATGCAATGCAATGCAATGCAATGCAATGCGATGCGATGAAATGAAGTGAAATGCAATGCAATGCGATGCGATGCGATGAAATGAAGTGAAATGCAGTGCAATGCAGTGCAATGCAATGCAATGCAATGCGATGCGATGAAATGAAGTGAAATGCAATGCAATGCGATGCGATGCGATGAAATGAAGTGAAATGAAGTGAAATGCAGTGCAATGCAGTGCAATGCAATGCAATGCAATGCGATGCGATGAAATGAAGTGAAATGCAATGCAATGCGATGCGATGCGATGAAATGAAGTGAAATGAAGTGAAATGCAGTGCAATGCAGCAATGCAAATGCAATGCATGCGATGCGATGAAATGAAGTGAAATGCAATGCAATGCGATGCGATGCGATGAAATGAAGTGAAATGAAGTGAAATGCAGTGCAATGCAATGCAATGCAATGCAATGCAATGCAATGCGATGCGATGAAATGAAGTGAAATGCAATGCAATGCGATGCGATGCGATGAAATGAAGTGAAATGAAGTGAAATGCAGTGCAATGCAGTGCAATGCAATGCAATGCAATGCGATGCGATGAAATGAAATGAAATGCAATGCAATGCGATGCGATGCGATGAAATGAAGTGAAATGCAGTGCAATGCAGTGCAATGCAATGCAATGCAATGCAATGCGATGCGATGAAATGAAGTGAAATGCAATGCAATGCGATGAAATGAAGTGAAATGCAATGCAATGCGATGCGATGCGATGAAATGAAGTGAAATGAAGTGAAATGCAGTGCAATGCAATGCAATGCAATGCAATGCAATGCGATGCGATGAAATGAAGTGAAATGCAATGCAATGCGATGCGATGCGATGAAATGAAGTGAAATGAAGTGAAATGCAGTGCAATGCAGTGCAATGCAATGCAATGCAATGCGATGCGAAGAAATGAAATGAAATGCAATGCAATGCGATGCGATGCGATGAAATGAAGTGAAATGCAGTGCAATGCAGTGCAATGCAATGCAATGCAATGCAATGCGATGCGATGAAATGAAGTGAAATGCAATGCAATGCGATGCGATGCGATGAAATGAAGTGAAATGAAGTGAAATGCAGTGCAATGCAGTGCAATGCAATGCAATGCAATGCGATGCGATGAAATGAAGTGAAATGCAATGCAATGCGATGCGATGCAATGATGAAATGAAGTGCAATGCAATGCAATGCAATGCAATGCAATGCGATGCGATGAAATGAAGTGAAATGCAATGCAATGCGATGCGATGCGATGAAATGAAGTGAAATGCAGTGCAATGCAGTGCAATGCAATGCAATGCAATGCGATGCGATGAAATGAAGTGAAATGCAATGCAATGCGATGCGATGCGATGAAATGAAGTGAAATGAAGTGAAATGCAGTGCAATGCAGTGCAATGCAATGCAATGCAATGCAATGCGATGCAATGCGATGCGATGAAATGACGTGAAATGCAATGCAATGCGATGCGATGCGATGAAATGAAGTGAAATGCAGTGCAATGCAGTGCAATGCAATGCAATGCAATGCAATGCAATGCGATGCGATGAAATGAAGTGAAATGCAATGCAATGCGATGCGATGCGATGAAATGAAGTGAAATGAAGTGAAATGCAGTGCAATGCAGTGCAATGCAATGCAATGCAATGCGATGCGATGAAAAGAAGTGAAATGCAATGCAATGCGATGCGATGCGATGAAATGAAGTGAAATGAAGTGAAATGCAGTGCAATGCAGTGCAATGCAGTGCAATGCAATGCAATGCAATGCGATGCGATGAAATGAAGTGAAATGCAATGCAATGCGAGGCGATGCGATGAAATGAAGTGAAATGCAGTGCAATGCAGTGCAGTGCAATGCAATGCAATGCAATTGTGTATGTGTATTATGTGTCTGTGTGCATGTGACGGACGGACAACTGGACGTATGCGTGGATGCCTGGGTACGAGTCGACGGGTACGAGGAACGGCTATTTTAGAACCCCCTTCGTTTGTTGAAGGATACAAGCAACTGCGATTGTTCAAGCACCCGGCCAAAAGGTGAAACCCCTACAGCCGCTCACCTGCAGGATCAGGACATACCAGACTCAAAACTAGGCCCAAACCAAAGAAAAGGACTACCTACAAACAAAATGGAACGAGAAAACGTTCTTGCTGTTGACCCCTCAGCAAAAAGTTTAGCTTTTTGTGGATTTAGTGGAAAACCCCGTCATTTCCCACAAAAGTTAAAGTCTAAAGATCCAACCCAACACCAGTCAAGAAAAGGGGGGCGGTCCCCCCCTTTTCCGCAGAAATTTCTCCACAGCTGTCTTTCCCTTTAAAAAAAGAGGGAAACACATTTAAAAAAAAAAAAAAAAAAAAAAAAAACTGTCTTTTGACCGGCCGGGGGGCATGGTCCTGGCGGAGAGCACCAGCACCACCGAGGCCACCTGGTCCTCCGAGCGTTCTTTTTTTTTTCCGCTCGCTCGCCACGAAAAGCTCCGCTGAAAATCTCAGCCCAAGGAACGAAACTTGCTGCGTGGATGGCCCGAGAAAAAAAAAAAGGGGGGGGGGAAAGAGAGAAAAAAAGCGAAGTTTAAATGTTTACCACTAAAATGGTCTTCCGGAAAAGTTTGAAGTTCATGAACTGAGGAAGTGAGACTAAACTTGCTGGTGCTCAGTTCAAGAGTTCAAGGAATGGCCAAAAAGTGTTGTTGCTGGTGCTGATCGGGGAATGAGAAATGAGCCGTTTTGGGGTCCCCTTAAAACAAACCACCAGTTGGATGGTTTTGCTCGGGGTCAGTCCAATTCTCATTCCCTGCCCATCGCAGCAGCAAGTTTTGCTGAAATCTAGCCCAAGTACCCTACCACCAGCGTGGCTTAGTGCACAGACCCCTGTAGAAAGAGTCTACTTTCCTTTTGGAAAGGGGGTTTGTGCCCATGTTCGCTGGGAACTAACATGATGACAGCGAGGCACAGCCAACGGCTTTGCCTTTTCCCTGAGCGCCTTTGCCGGAACAAGGCGACCAAGCTTTTGGTCTAGACTAAGATGGTCCAGACCCAAGTTACTGAAGCTCGTGAGCCGTTGCACCCGAAAACGTCCAGAGCTGGATGAAACAGAAGACCCCAAAGCTTTCAGAGAAAAACAGCACGTGGCATACCACCAACCAACGACTGATAGGTGCAAGTGCCAACCTGACACGGGTTCAGGCATTGAGGCGACAGGCCCCATGACCAACCAACGAAAACGGACGCGCAAACCCAAGCCTTTGGATTTCTTGGGCCTTGGCCTTTCCTCCGGTTCTGGCAAAAGTCCGAAATCATCTCCCCCTCCTGCGTGACCAGCTTCTCCTTGAAGATTCCATAGGAGATGAAACAGGCGTGCCTGAACCGCAACGATTTGAACAGGCCGGCAGTTTGGCAACTGCTTTGATTCACGTGGACTCGTGGATGGACCAAAAACATCCAGAAACGCCACCAGTGATGGATGAAGTCCGAAGCCCACCCTCAAAATGAGTGGTCCTTCGCTGTCCCTTTCGAACCAAACCTTAACTCCTCACCCTTGAGAGCTGCATCTTCGAAGGAGTGTATCTTCGATTTCCCCGAATAGTTAGGGCAAGCCCAAAAAGAATTACTGGCCAAGGCGCAGGGCCGCGGCGATGAGCAAAGACTGCAACGCCAAAGGCACCACCATGAGCAAGGGCACCCGCAGCACCAAGGTGTGCATCACCACGTAGGCGTCCCACCCCACCTGGCTTGCTCGAGCGCCAAGGGTGCAAGCCGGGGCAAAAGGGCAAGTTGCACGCCGTAAAACAGACATATACTACAGCTAGTATGCATGTCATAGTAGTAGAAAAAAACAAACAACAACAAAAAAGAAACAACTCTCAGCCTATGACATGACCCAAGCAAATATGCCCCCAAGTCGCGTGAAAGACACCACACCTTTTTGCCATTTGGGCGTTGTCATCCTCTTCGCGGACAATGAGGGAATAGTGCCATCTGCTTTCGCCTGTTTGCACAGTGTGTGCACAGTGCCATTGATTGAATATTTGAAGACAAAACGACATGAGCCATTTACCTCCTGATTCATGGGGAGCATACGAGCCTACAACTTTCTGCCCTCCTCAAAAGGGGTGACATGCCCCTTTTGCTTGCCAAATATGAGGTCAAACAAGGCCTCGGCCGGGACGCGTAGGACAAGGAGAAACGCAGGTCTTTAATGGAAGCAAACCTGAAGTGGCTGGGCTGTCCTTAGATCCCTTGCATAGTCGACAAATTGTGGCTTAAATGGAAGTCCCCACTAAAAACAACAAAGCTAAAAAGCTAAGGGGATGTCGCTTTCCTCGTTTGACCCAAATGGATGTGTCAACCTGTAGCCACTCGAATCCCCCCACTTCCCGTACGGGGATGAGGCTGTTGGGAGGAAACCAAAGCCCCACCCACCTCCCAGGGGTCCGCACCCAAATGGGAAACAAAAATGGGGCTGCGCAAAACACGGTTGCAACACGTTGCAAGTAGCTGGGTGGCCCAAAATTCTGGTAGTGCTCATATCCCTCATTGGACAAGGGCGCAATGACCAAGGCCACGTAGATGAGCACGATCAGCCTTGGCAAGCGCGCAAGCGCGTTCGCGCGCCCGCATTTGCGCGCCAGCACGTGAGGAAACCAAGCATGACATGGATGCAAAGTTTGGCGTCATGTTGACAGTTTCCAGGGTTGAGCCAATGCCCTGATTAACTTGCTGGCGCTCAGTAGGGAATGACTTTCCGGGTGCTGAGAATGAACCCGAAGAAAATTGCCTTATAAAGGAAACCAAATCGGGGAAGCTTTTTGTTCGGGGTCATTCCAATTCTCATTCCCTGCCTATCGAACCAGCAAGTTTCTGCAAGATGGGCTTCAACTGGAAATCGGAGAATATGGAAACAAGCGCAGACATTCCCTGAGGATCGTGGTCCCCGGTGCGCATTTCCAGACTCCCCGACTCCCCGACTCCCCGACTTGCCGACTCCCCGACTCCCCGGAGAAAAAAAAAACTCAACTGCCGAGCCAATCAGCGTGACAGGCAGATCCACCAGCGTCGCCGCCGCCATGAGTACCACCAGCACCAGCCCTGTGAGCGCCGCCAGCGCGAAGATCAGGCCTGTGGGCATTTGGACCCCAAAAAAAATGGGGTTGCACCACGAAATGAAGCCATGGACAACCCATTGCTTGGGGAATCATGTACCATTCCGAAGGGTTTCTTAGGTAATTATTATCATTCTAGGGGTTCCTTGGAAGCCAAGGACATACTGTGGATGGCTTCGCGAAATCCGCGAGTCTCGTTCCACGGTTTATGAAGCCACGGTTGAAGCCATAAGGTTTGCTGCGGTATTTACAGGGGAATCGAATCATTCCAGGGTTTCTTAGGATGATGCAGGATGGTCAGCGTACCTTAAATGGGGCGCCGCAAAGATTGCACAGTCAGCACTTCCAAACTAATTACTGTGGATGGTTTCGCAACATCAGCGAGTCTCGCACCTCCGAACTCAGAACCCTGGTTTCTGATGATTCCCCAACGTAAAGACCAACAAACGATGGTTCCATGTTTCCTTTATTTATGGTAGGAACAACACATCACTTCTTGCAGACAGAAGGCTGCAGGGCAAAGAAGGTATGAGCCGAACCCTTGAAGAGCTGTTTGGTTTCCTTTGGGTTTTCCTGTAGTTTGTTTTCCCACGCGCTGGGTTCCCCACCGCAAACAGGTCAAAGGTCAAAGGTTCCTCGGAGCTTTCAAAGCAACATTGGAGGCTTTCCTTTAGAGCGGTCAGGGGACTTGTTGACTGTGGATATTAACCATCTATGAATCTATGTGGGGAACCCCCCCACGTGGGAACGGCCGTCATTTTGCAGCGACCACAAACACAAAGAAATGGTTCTTTGAAAAGAACGATGATTGAAAAGAAAGCGGAGTGAGTTAACCCCCAGCTTTCTTTGGGCTCCTTCATTCCTGGGTTCGCCTCCGGATTTCAGGGCTGGTTTAGGGTTGATTGATGGGTTGGCTTAAGGTCGGTGTCGGAAGTGGTTCGAGTTCGTTCGGGGTTAGAGTTGGACCCTGTCGGCGTTCCAACTTTTCAGCATCATGCTTGACATTCAAAGAGTCTGCCCCGTGGTTTTGATTGATTCCCCACCATGTCCACCATGTCCACCTGCTTCACAAACTTCCCTAAATGTACTCTTCTGCTCACCCCAGGAAACTCGTGATTGTTTAAAGCCCAACCACAAAAAAAATAGAACTGGAAGCCAAGACATTCGAAACGTTGGGGTCACCAGAGGGTTCACTCGCTCGAGTCCCCAAATGTAGCAGAGACAGCCCATGTCGCCCCGCTGCATGACCGTCCCGTTGAAATGGCGAAGATCTCCAGCACAACAAGTCCCTCAAGTAAAATTGACCCAACAACAACCTGGGGTACTTATTACATTAAAAAAGAAAAACCGAGAAACAAAAAAGAAAACATATTTACAAAGAAAAAAAAGAAGGAAAAACAAAACGACAACGATGGAGGGGAGAAAAAAACACTTTATTGTTTCATCCCCTCCCCCCTCCTCGCAGCAGCTCTTGCCGCATCCGGGTGCCGAACTCGGTATCCTGGCAGCGTTCGTCCGCGAGCATGGCCCGGCTGAAACGGGACGGGAACGGGGGGCGGGGGTTCCTTCTCCCCGCCGTGGGGAGAACCGCTTTTGCACAAAAAGGTCGAAACCAGCCAAGAAGGCAACAAAAACAACCAAAAAAGCTCCAAAGAGAATCTTGCAACCGCGCTTGCGCCAATTTCAGCCTGGTTGCAAGGGAGTGATTTGGATGCTGGGTGCTTTGAAGGTGTAACTTCCCAGCTCCGGAGGGATCAAATCCAAACCAAATCGAGGGTACCTGACTTTGGCTGAGTGCATTGCCCCGTTTTACCTGGGTTCCCTATCTGCGTCAAAGCAAGGATGCGGACCGGGGGGGGAGAAGAAAAAAAACGGGTACCAAAAAACAAACAAAAACATAAAGATAACATATTTCCAAGGGTGCAGTACCAACTCGAAAAATGCCCACAAACAAGGATTTCCCCAACCCACCCACCCACCCACCCGACTTTGTTTCCACACGAGAGCCCCGGTGCGCGTTTCCAACCGACGGAGACATCCCTTCGGCCACCGCTCACCGACTTTTCGCTCACCGGTCCGGCGCGAAGAGCTCGTCGAAGCCGGTGACGCGGTCCAGCCACTGGGGGCGCTGCCAGCCAGAGGGGTAGTAGAGGTCGTAGAGGTCCTCCTGCTTTGGGAAGGTCCTGCGGAGAACGAGACGGAAGCAGAAAATTCTGAAGCTGAAAAAAACTGCGGAGAACGAGTTCCGAGTTGGGGGGGGGGGCCGACTTTTGGAAATTCGGAAGCTGCGAAAAAACACCTGGGGGATGACACCGAAAAGGGGGCCTTGAAATTCTGAAGCTGAAAAAACCGCGGGAAGGTCCTGGGGATTAAAATGGGCCGGGGATGCTTTGGGAAAGAGCTCGAAAAGGGGGGCTGACCTGAAAATCGTGTCGTGTTTCTTTGGATTCGAATGTCCTGAACATGGGTGTCCTTTTAGGGGAAATAGATGGCCCTGGTAGATGATTAAATCACCAGGTAAACCAGTGCCATCTATTTTTCAACCAAAACAACCAAAAAGGACACCCATGGTTCTGAAGCTGAGAAAACACTTCTGGGGTAGGAGTTTTTGGTGGAAACCCTCAAAGGTCAAAAAGTACCTACAACCAACTGCTTTGGGAAGGTCCGCCCAACAAATATGCAACTTTCTGTAACCTAAAGCTTGTTTTGGGAAGGTGGCCAAAGGCACGGCTAAAAAAAGCCACCACCAGCCACCTTTTGGGGGAACCCCATCAGGACACGTCGCGGAAGTCGGAAGGTTTCGAAGCGCTTGCGCGCATGCGCGCGCGCGCATGCGCATGCGCGAAAGCGTCCTCAAGGGCACCGACTTCTTGAGGAAGGCGCAGAGCGGCGCCCAGCCCTCCCGCACGTCGAAGACTAAGAGCTGCGGCTCGCCGCCCCTCGCAGGAAGCAAAAAAAAGCTCGCAAAGCCGCGGATGTGTGTGTGTGTGTGTGGTGTTTTTTTGTTGTTTTTCTTGTTTTCTATTTTTGCTCCGCGCACATATGCTAATTCAGGGCCATGCTCCTGCGTCCGAAGCCATAAGCCTGCACGAAAAGCCTTGCTGGTGCGAGAGAGGCAGGGAATGAGAAATGGAATGAACCCAGGCTTTGGTCCTGTAACCACCAGTGGGATGGTTTTTGTTCAGGTTCATGGGTGGGCTTCCTGTTGGTCGCCCTTCGAAACACATGGGTGGCGCGTCTTGTTTCAGGCCCCAAAAGAAAAACCACCAGGGGGGGGGGGGGGGGGGCCGCCCCAAAAAAAGACGGCCTTGACTTCTAGTTCTGGCAATATGGCTGTAAAGGCACAGGCCTTCCTGCAACCCCCAAGAAACTAAGTAGTAGAGCCCACAAAAAAGGCCAACGCGGGTTTTGGCTGCTCCTCGTGTGAGCCTTGGTGTTTCAAGGTAAGCCGAGTTGCGGACACATCAATCAGGGCCTGGTTTTCAGGGCATGCAGTCGGTTCCCTAAATCAGACCTACGGCAAGCGGTCCTACCGAGCAAAATACGGATGGCAGATTGTTTCATTGCTTGATCTCCGATCTCGCTCAACCGCAGGAGGCAATGCAAAAGCTGAGTGCCCCCAAAGACCACACCGCCGCACCCACCCCCCAAATCTGCAAAAACGTCCGCTACATGGCCCTTGGTTTGTGGCACTTGACGGCTGTGAAGAGCCGCGGCCACCCGGAATCTGGGCACAGACTTGAGGGAAGCCCAAGTCGGCCGCATCTTGCGGCCGGCTTCACCCAGCTCAGAGAAACCTATCTTGACAAAGCGCCCCCCCCGAGTCCTGACTGTCTTGCCCTCCAGCACTGATTGCACCTTGCTGGAAATTTGGGTGTGTCGTTTTCGGAGGATTCGGACCCCTTTAAAATGATGGTGGTCCTTTTGGAGTCCCTCTGCCACAAACAGGGATCCTGACAATATACACCTGAACATTGCCTTGTAATTAAGTGGTGGTGTCCCTTTATTTTGGTGGAAAAAGCCATGTTTCAAATGGTTGCAAAATGTATCTTTTAAGGAGCCCTGCCTGGAACTGTACATTCTTAAGATCACCCTCATGGTTGAAAGGGAAACCACGACCCCAGTTTGAAGAAGTGAACAATGTCAGGCAGTCCCAGCCTGCTCCGGAATCATTGAATCCAGCGCTTTCGGATAGAAGCATTGACGAAACATGCCACATCTCCACCTCGACCCTCACCTCTTGAGGTCAAACAAATATTTGGTTCACCATTCCGTGCTCTCTGAAAATCCGAGGGTTGTGCAACGCAAGACCTTTGCAGACTTTTGAACTCAACCAAGCCAACCACCAAACCCGAACGGGTACTGGTATTTCTGGAGTCTTTGCGACCAGATGTTGGGTCTTGGTCAGAAAGGACACAACCCTGACATCAAAAACCCAACTGGCTACGCAGCGCTCCCAATAGTGCCCCTTGAAACATGACTCATGACCAGGCCAAAAGGAAACTCGCCTTAGATTTCCCCAAAGGTCCTGTTTAAGGCCACCAAAAATGGAAATCTCGGGAACCCTGCTCTCAAGAATGGCTGGTTTCCTTCTGTTGTCGTTTCAAATCAGTCTTCCTTGCAGTGAATGAGAGTGAATGAGAGCGTGTGGTCATAGTCAGCTTCTTGTTTGCCCTAAATTTGGCTTGTTAAGCACCCAAACCAGAGGTCGTGCAAAATGGCGGTCGATTTCCTCGTGTAGTGGTCCGGTTTCAACATCTCCCCCACATCCCCCACAGTCCCACATCAAAGTGACATCCCAAAGAAACATTCCAACCACATCCCAAGGCGCGTAGGAGTTGTGCTGCCGGAAGCTCTTTCTGGTCGTGGACCTTAAGCAGCAGTCCAAACGCACAGCGCCCGAATTTGATCGGGGTGAAGGGAAAGGTCAGGTGGACAAATTTCAGGCCTCCCAAGGATCCTCCCCAGATCTCCTCTGGCTCGCGATAGGTGCTTGGGTGAGAGGGTGCCTTTCCTAGTGGCTTCTCCACAGAGAATGAGAGAATGACCCCGAGAACAAAGATCCATCCGATTTGGCTTCCTCTATTCGTGAATCCCCCCCCCAAAAAAAAAAGGTTCATTCAACCAACACCCAGACTCCGTCATTCCCTGCCTGTGGCACCAGCAAGATAATTTATTGGTGTGAAACCTTATGTGGGATCAGCTTGGATTGGTGTTACTCCCCTGGGGGCAGGGAACCCAGCATCTAGGATGGGGCTTGGATTGGTGTGGTCCTTGCAGAGGCATAATGGGAACCCTTGAAAAAGTGGGCGAAATAGATATGTTGATCCTCTATAGCATGGATATATTGATCCTTGTTGATATTTTGGGAATCATGTTGGGGTGTCCGAGCCATTTTCTATTTAAACGGAGTCTCCACAAAAGCGGCTGTTCCAACGCAATCCATAAAACTGATCCACTTTTGATTCGGCCAGCCCTCCAAAAGTGGTTTTCCCGTTCTTCAACGGAAAAACCACCACCTACCGGAGAACAGCCCCGCCGCCGCGTCCAGCGCGAGAATCTGAAAGCCCCACCCCCCCCACCCCTTTACCTCCCCCCCACCACCCCCCCACCTCCCCCCCCCCCCCGCCGAAGCCAAGCGCAAAACCCATCCGCCGAGGGGCTCGTTGAGGGCGTCGATCTGGAGCCCCGTGGCGCCCAGCGTGGTGCCCCAGGCAAAGCGCAGCACCTCGCCTCGCAGCTCGAGCGCTCGAGCCCTCGCCGCCCGGGGTTGTTCCAAGCAGAAACCAACACCCAAAAAAAGAACCACGGCGATTCCAGCAAAGACAACAAAACCCGGGGTTGTTGCAAAAGAAACGGCGGAAAACCATGGCTGTTCCAAAAGCAGCTGCAAAAAACATGATTGTTGCCACAAGAAAAAGCAAGGAACACCCAACAAAAACCACCCTTTTTGTTCAAGGAAACCACCAACAATGCCCCGCCCGTTTGTTCAAGGGAAAAAGGGGTGTCGCACCAGCGCCCGTTTCAACCACAAGACCTAAAATGATCTAAAATGATCCTGGGGGTTTTGGCCGCTCCGCAAAAATCGTGAAAATAGGCTTCGGATCCGCCATGATGAGTTGTCCTTTCTTGGTCCCTTTGAACCCACCGTCTCCTCAAAAGCATGCGCCCAGCTAGGGTTCTTGTACCACCCGAGCTTCAGGCCTCAAATGGCCATCTTTCAAGGCACCCAAGACAAGCTGGCGCGAAGGTCTTGGAGTCAGGCTTTGGGGCTCTCGCCCTCAAGGGGTAACAAGCCAGGGTTGTGTCAAGGAACACCCAAGAAAAACCAAAACAACAACAAACGAAACACTGTGCCTGGCAGAACTCCCAAGTAGGTCGGCTCCCCAACAGAATTTGGATCTCTTTGCCTACCCAACCATATCATAAGTCTCCGTGTGGGACTTACGAAAATACATCCCTCTGAGCCGGCGCGGTCACCTACAAAATGGACTTGCACATCAAGCTGGCGAGCCTCTGAACCGGGACATGTCTCTGAAAACCTATGGGTTGCAGTCCCCCCAAGCCGTTTCTTCTCTCCTGCCTTTCGTGTTCCGTTTCAGCCATCCCTAGTGTTTCTTCTTCCACGTGCTGGGTTCTCTGATATTCACCTGCTACTGTGGATGGTTGCGTTGCGACATCCGCTTCTCGCACCACCTTGCAAAAGCCCTATGATGATTCCCCAACTTAAATACCATAAGAAACGGCACGGTTTCAACCATGCTCGACCCACCACCAAAGAACCCATGGTTAATACCAAAACCTTTGTGGCACAGAAAGCCCTAGGGCTTCTGAAAACCTGTGAAATCAAAACGCATTTCGTCCATCCACAGCACCCGCGAGAAAAAGAAAAACAAGAAGGGCTCCTGGACCCACACCAATTCCCTTTTCAACAAAGGGAGCCCCTCTGCTCCCAACCCTCTCGCGGATTTTTCCCAGATCGATCGCAGATATCGCAGATTCTGCGATCGCAGCTCGCAGCTTCTGCGATCGAGGCGCAGAACTTGTGGTAGGAGGGCACCAGCCACTTCTCCAGCGTCCGGCGGATGGTGCCGTAGCGCAAGGGCGCCCCAGGCACGTCCCGGTCCATCGCGATCTTGGCCTCGAGGCTTCACCGAAACGGGCCGCGAGAAAAAAACATGGAGCCGGTGGGGTGAGAAAGACGGAAAAAAAAGGGTGGCGAAATCCACAGCAGGAAATTATGGTTGAAACAAGTGTTTGCTGGTATAAAAGCAGGGAAAATCATCATTCCGCTGGGTTTCTTTGGTGCCTGCGATTTCTGGAGTTCGTCCATCCACAGTAGGTGCCCTAGATAGAACCCTGGTAATTGGAATTCACAAACGAAGCCTGTGGTTCAGTGGTGTTATGTTGACCCGGACTTTTTCGCTTGGACCCTCCAACATGGTGGGGCTCAAATTTTGGTGACCCAAATCTCCGGAACTTTCCCAGCCCCCGGAGGTGGTTTTTTCAGCGAACAGCATGCCAAGCGGGCACCAACGTGTTTCCAAAGTCCGAAAGGGCCACCAAAGGACCGAGCTGAGACGAAATTCGGGCTTGAAAATTGACTCCTTGGTGAACAACAGAATCGGTGGTGATGACTATGTATGCGTGCTGTGCTCTAAGATATGCATGTAATATGTATCTATGTATGTATGTATGTATGTATGTATGTATGTATGTATGTATGTATGTATGTATGTATGTATGTATGTATGTATGTATGTATGTATGTATGTATGTATGTATGTATGTATGTATGTATGTATGTATGTATGTATGTATGTATGTATGTATGTATGTAATGTATGTATGTATGTATGTATGTATGTATGTATGTAATGTATGTATGTATGTATGTATGTATGTATGTATGTAATGTATGTATGTATGTATGTATGTATGTATGTATGTATGTATGTATGTATGTATGTATGTATGTATGTATGTATGTATGTATGTATGTATGTATGTATGTATGTATGTATGTATGTATGTATGTATGTATGTATGTATGTATGTATGTATGTATGTATGTATGTATGTATGTATGTATGTATGTATGTATGTATGTATGTATGTATGTATGTATGTATGTATGTATGTATGTATGTATGTATGTATGTATGTATGTATGTATGTATGTATGTATGTATGTATGTATGTATGTATGTATGTATGTATGTATGTATGTATGTATGTATGTATGTATGTATGTATGTATGTATGTATGTATGTATGTATGTATGTATGTATGTATGTATGTATGTATGTATGTATGTACGTAGTACGTACGTACGTACGTACGTACGTAGGTATATGTCTGGATGGATGGATGGATGGATGGATGGATGGATGGATGGATGGATGGATGGATGGATGGATGGATGGATGGAGGGATGGATGGATGGATGGATGGATGGATGTATAAATACACGTGGATATCTATATCTATATATATATGTGTGAATGTGTCTTTTTGGGGTACACACCTAAACATGATTTTCCTTTTCGATGTTCCTTTAAACCCAAGCAAAAACCAGCCAAAAGAAGCGTTCCAAAGAAAAACAGGACAGACCCATAGTATAGTCTAGTATAGTATAATATAATATGATATAATAATGTGTATATATATATATATAGACAGACCCATATTGTATATATGCATATCATAGTATTTTCCCGCCGCTTTCAGGTGGCTCCAAAATCCGCGCCTTGGACACCGAGTTCCACCACCCATCCTCGCTTCGCACCGTGAGGATAACCTCGCGAGATGGGAGATGGGCTGTTGCGAGGGTCCGCGTGTCTGTTGCGAGAGAGTGCCAACCCAAAAATGAGCCACGTGCAATCAAAACCCGGGGATTGAGAAAGGTTAGCGAATTCGACAACTCCGGTGAATCGGCAGAGGGATAGTCAATTCTCTGGGGATTTGAATGGCACACTCGTCACAATCAAACAAACGGGTATAGATTGAGGTTCGTAGGGAGTTCAATTCGCCCAAGTCTGTATGTTGTAACGAGAACCGTTCGGTTGCCCACTGAAAAATCGGCCCATAAGTGGAGTTCACCTTGTTATTAGTGGGATGGCTAACCCCGACCTTTTACACTTACTAACTTGGCCGAACCTCCAAAGGGCAGTCCCAGCCAGAACACTCGGCGCGGATCTCCGGCTTTGGGTTCCCAGGAGGCACTGGACTTCAGCTTGCCGGTTCGCATTGAAACGAGAAAGCCGACTTTTCGAGGTTACCTTTCAAGGGGAATGGCTCGGAGAAACCGGGATTTCCCGCGAGTTGTCCTAGTGCAAAGGGATTTGTTCAGCCGAATCACGACATCAGGGCTGTCTCTTCAGCGAGCCGTGCACAAAGCCCCCGACGTGGTTCTACCGGTGTGTTTTCTTTCGGACATGGGACTTGCTGCAAATCTCTCCTGAAACCAGGTAGTGGAACCTACCATCTTTTTTTGGCCAGGTACATTTTGGCACAGTTCATACTGTGGATGGACGAAATCCTGCATCACTTAAGAAACCCTGGAATGTTATGATTCCCCTGTGTGTAAAAAAAAAATGGTGCTGCAAAATGTCGTCCATCCACTGTACTTCCTCTTACACTCCTGCAGGAAAACATCTGGTGGGACTTGAAGACCCGCTTGCTTTCGGGAGGAGTCCTCTGTTGGGCGCGCCCGCTTTTGGGGGGTTCCATGCGCAAAAAAGGAATCTGTTTCTTGGGGGGTGCCGTCGGCGCCTTGGCGTTGGGGTAGAGCTTCAGGATGTCTTCCCAGAAGCAGAAGGTCGGCATGCCCATGACCACCTCACAAAATCTCGGTCGCGAGATCTGCGAAGCCCTGCGAAAAGTGAATAACTTTTAGTGGTTTAATGGAAGCCCCATGAGTTGGCGAAAAGTTAAAGTCCTAACATCCAAGCAAAGTGCAACAAAGAAATTGCCGTGATTCAGGGAAAAGCATCCGACCAAGAAGCCTGGTGAGGGCCAAAATTGTCTTTATCACTTTGAAGCAAAAGACCTTGGTATCGCCGAAAGTGGCATGGAAGAGGGATCCGGATTTCGTTCACTGAAAGTCCATGTCAACCCAGGACGCATAACCTGGTTGATTCACAGGGTTCAACATCGCCATGAGGAAACTCCCGAAGTGATGTGATGCTTAAAAGGGGACATCGAGGGAACGCCGGCGACTTCACCTCGGGTCCACCGGATGGAACCTGCCTTTCGCAACTCCGATTTCTAGGCGACCATGGAGACAGTTTGGTGCAGCCCAAAAGACTTCAGGGATAGATGGCGAAATCTGAGGCCTCTGGCCAAACAAGTTCAACTATGGCCCTCACGGTTGGGAGAGGTCTTTGCAGTGTGGTTCTCATGGCAAACCCTTTCTTCTTATTTTGCTCTCGTGCTAAGCCAATGGATTGCTCAGCGCCCTTTTCAACCAGTCACTTTGGGGTCTGCCAGCCACCTCTTTACAATGACCCGCCCAATTTCAACGAGAGCCGAACCACCTGCTAAACTGGACGTGAATGTGAATTAGCATCTAGGGGAATCTAGGGGGATGGCTTTGTCCACCAGTTTGGAGGTGGCTGAACATCGAACTTGTAAATGTCCCAAAAGTGGGGGATCTTCGGATTTTGGAGCGCTCCATCTATTTCCACCCTACCCCATCCTACCCCTCACCCCAAAAAAAGCTCACCCCCTCGCCCCCCTCCCCCCTACCCCTCACCCCACCCGACCCACCCGACCCCCCCAAAACCCCTCTGGCGCTCGCTCCTGGGCGTTGCCGAACATGGTCTGGAAGGCCTTCTCCGCGTCCCGGTTCTGGATCACCTCGCTCCACAGCTCGAAGGTGCTCGAGATCTGCTCCTAGCGGAGGAAAACCACACCACACCACCTGGCTGTGGCTCAAAAACATGGAGACCAACATGGCACCTAAATGGAACCAACAGCTAAAGCCGGTTGGCCCTGGCTCTTTAATTTTGAGAGGGCTCCCTAGAATCGCACCCAAGCCGGGACCGGACCTCCGTTTCGCAGCGCCTAGGCTGAAGGAATTGGACCGCAGGCTTCGTCCATGCTTCCAGTTGCCAACCCATTTAGGGTACTGTGGATGATCGAAATCCATTCTTGCACCACCGGAGAAACCCCATGGAATGATGTTTGATAGTTACAAATCTCATGGTTTCAGCCTTGCTTTCATTTCGTTATGAGCATGGATTTCGCGACCATCCACACTGTATGGGTGGCTCGTCGTTTTGAGAGTTGGTACCCCTGTTTCTTGATCTTGAATTCTTAAAGGAAAACCAGGAAGAAGACCGAAATCCATTTTGGGGGCTCCAATCTGCAAAATACGGGCCACCCGTACAAGGTCCCGCCTCCTTTGGGTGGGTCGGGTTGCTGGGGGGATGTAGGAAGGCGGATCTGTGGTTCTTTGGATAATGAGTCGCAAAGGCTCCTCATGTTTTTAAAGCACAAGGACCAGGGTACCTGAAGGTGCGCCTAAACCCTCCGCCTAAACCCTCAAATGTCCACTTTAAAAAATAGAAGTATTGCAACCCAAAAGTATGGTTGGTTCTAGGGGTGCCTTCCCCATTCTTTCCGGGGATCCTTCTTTCCAGAAAAACCCAAAAAACCCGGGGAAAATAGCTGGTTTTTGAAAAGAACGATGGTTGGAAAGAATGGACAAGGAATCACCCACTAGATTGGTGAATTCCAGCCTTTGTGGCCGTTCTTTTAAAGTGGCGTAAACGGTAGGGAATTCGAATGAATATGATCGGCTTATCCCGGTGCTTTCAGCCAGGTGACTCGGGAAACGGCATGTACCTGGAGGTGAGAAATCCCTGGTTACATGCTCGAGATCTCCTCGGAAACGAAGCACCGAGCTTTTTTTACTTAGACTGAGCCAGATGAAAAGTGGACAAATGAAGCGCTTCGGACGTGAGCTGCTGGTTTTGTTTGGAATGGAAGGTGGGAGTTGCCGAAGCTGCGGCCAGTTGGAGGATTCCCAACTTCCTGCCCTGAATAGCGTCAGGAAGTCTCCGCTGGAAGGCCTCAAGTGATACGAATTCCGATAAACGGGACACCCACACAGGACACCCCCCTCTCAAAATCAATGGGGGTCTACTTAATCCCTGGGCAAGTGAGGACCAGCCTCTCTTGCTACAAGAGGCGGGAAAGAAGGGCAACCATTTTCCCAACCTCCGATGCTTGTTTCGGGGGGAAGCCTGGTGCATGTATGTCCCGCAAGGGGAAACCCTAGTCGGAAGCTGCTCTGAACCCGAGCCTTGGCAGAAACAACGCTTCTGGCTGAAAGAATCCCTCTCCAAACCCACCCACCCCAAACCCCCAACCCCCCCCAACCCCCCCACCCAACACCCACCACCCACCCCGTGTCCTGGTCGTAGACGTTGTCGTAGTTTAAAATCTTGAAGGCCCGGTGCAGACTCTGCAGCCCCGTGCGCATGAGGCCCACGCAAATCACCTGATGCTTCAGCGCCTTTCCCAACGACTTCAGATGAAAAAAGGACGGGGCGCAGGTACCCTTTTAAAGAGCAACCACACATGCCACACACCGTAAAAAGTTGGATAAAGTACTGGTGGCTTCTATCGAAACGACAACGCCGCTGCACTTTTGTAAGACAAGGGGGAACGGAGGGAACCCACGGTTTACTCTCCCTCCAACCATGGAGGTAAACCTTCTCGGGGCTTCCCCAAAAGGAAGCCCAGCCTGCAGCCTACCAGCGTCCATTGGAGGGTTCCTGACTTGGCTGCTCCGCCCTGAGGTTGCAAAAGCACGCGAACCAAACCTTGGGTAACCCTTCAAGGTCTCTTGAGAACCTTTCCCTCCAGTTCAGATGGCCTCTACGTCCACATCTGCGGAGAACATCCCAGGGTGTGGCTCAAAATTGAAGTCCAAATTGAAGCCCTAGGGTTACGAAAGTGCCGGTCTTTATTTTCATTTACCAAGGATTCTGGGGATTCCATTTTTTGGAGCCACCGCCATAGATAGCCTACCACAAAAAGTAAGATGGTTTTGGGATTGGACCCCAGTTATACTGTAAGGATCAGAATGCCCCCAATTCCATGTGCAGGGCTCCCGAGATCTCCCTCTTAAACACCAGGCCGAAAAGTGATGTTTCCATCCACCAAGGGAAATATTGGACGGAGAAAAAATCGGAGTCCGAAATTCGACCAAGTAGCATACGTGTATCGCATTGATTAGGGTCTCGTTTGGGGGCAAACAAGGGATGCCTTGTGAGAGTCTAGTTTCGGCAAACCTGCGAAATAACAGAAGGAGCGTCCAAGCAACTAGCCAAAATCCCTGTCCTACCTACATCAGTCAAGCTGAAAAGTGTAGAACTTGCTGCCAGTGGGAAACCATGTCCACCTTAAAAGCTTGGATGCTTTCCCTATACCCTTTGCGTTCCCGCTGATTTTGCTGTGGTAGAGCTACCGCAAAAGAAGGGTACCAACCAAAGAACACTAAATCCATTCGACAGAAAGTGAACAACCCAAAACAAACTAAATCTATTCGACAGAAAGTGAACAACCCAAAACAAACTAAATCCATTCGACAGAAAGTGAACAACCCAAAACAAACTAAATCCATTCGACAGAAAGTGAACAACCCAAAACAAACTAAATCCATTCGACAGAAAGTGAACAACCCAAAACAAACTAAATCCATTCGACAGAAAGTGAACAACCCAAAACAAACTAAATCCATTCGACAGAAAGTGAACAACCCAAAACAAACTAAATCCATTCGACAGAAAGTGAACAACCCAAAACAAACTAAATCCATTCGACAGAAAGTGAACAACCCAAAACAAACTAAATCCATTCGACAGAAAGTGAACAACCCAAAACAAACTAAATCCATTCGACAGAAAGTGAACAACCCAAAACAAACTAAATCCATTCGACGGAAAGTGAATAACCCAAAACAAACTATATCCATTCGACGGAAACACAAACAAAATGAAGCAACGGCTGGATCAGTTTTTGGGGCGTCGGTTCGCCTCCACGCCCTCCTTGCCATTCCCGTTGGCATTCCCCTTGATCCCATCGCAGTTCTCCCCCGACGGCATGGCTACAGCCAACCAGGAGGGAAGTGCGAAAGGACAACAGAAATGCGACAGGAGAATTCGGCGGTGAACCTCTGGCGGTTCTTGCTTCATCTTGTGCCTGGTGAGGTTTAAGGCGCCCCTTTTGGTGGTATACATATCTTGTGCGTTCTGTTGGCCAACGACTTGAGTGGTCCAACTAACCTTCCCACCGCATCCCAACTTTCAAGGGCGATTGGGGTGATGCGAGTCGAGCGGACGCCTCGTTGGAACGGATTCCTTCGGTGTGTGCCTGACCCTTTGGAAAGGACCGACCGTCCGCGAAGGAAGTCGAGGATTGATTGGCACGGGAATGTCGGTGTGTGTGTGAGTCTGTCAGTCTGTGTGAGACTGTCTGTGGCTGCGTGTCTATATGTCTGTGCATGTCTTTTTGCTTGTGTGCCCGGCACTGAAAAAGATGGTCAGTCCTAAGGATGCCAACCCTGCGGTGCTCGTGTGCCTTGATTAAAAAAGCAGCTGAGCGGAAGCAAAAGGCCTCTTGGGGCGCCTATGGGAAAGATATGCCTCGGGTTCCCAGACAAAATCTGAAGCAAACTAAGCAGACACTGATATTGACCCCATATTAATAGGGGGTGTTTCCCTCCAAAAGTGATAATTCCACACTAAACCCAGGGACACACCCCTATTAATAAACCGGGGGCGATTCATATGGGGTCAGCATTAGCCGTCTGAGACGTGAACCACGAGCTTGTTTCAATTCTTGAGGTATTTTCGGCGCCGGGTCTCCAGAACACAACATGCGGAAGGAGAAAGGCTCTGTGCTGAAGGTGAGTGATTCCCATTCCGAATTCCGAAATGTAAGCTTCTCAAATCTTAAATGGTCGTATAGCCGTTTTTGCCTTGTCGTTGATTTTGTTCGGTCAAACCCACGTATTTGGCCATACTTGCCCGCATGACCATGTCGTTTCAGTCATTTGCGTATACCACCCGTACGAGACCCCGTTTCTCAAAAAGCAAAAAACAAAAAACAAGGTCTGCCTCCATTTTTGGACAGAGTGCTGAACGCCCACTACTACATCAATCTTCTTTTCGGGGGGGAACCTCCTTTTGGTTGGTAAAGGAAAGCCAAAAGGCTTTGGAGGGATCTGTACTGTACTGTACTTCTGTTGGGGAACTCCCATGTGAATTCGGCAAGAATCGGATCAAAGGACCTACAGGGCTCTCTCCACCCCCGGAGCCGGTGATTCGAATCGCTCGCTCGCACGCGAACAGACCCATGTAGGAAATTGCTGAATCAGAGATACTCTGGATGGTTGCAAAATCCACTTTTCGATTTCCCCACCAATCAGAAACCCAACGGAATGATATGATTCCCCGACCCAAATACCAACAAACGTCATGGTTTCTACTCAGGTGGTGCGAAATGGCTGTCGTCCATCCACAACATCCCTTCCTACCTTTCCCTGAAAAACATCGCGGCATCCCAAGAGTGATGGCTGCGATTGCTCAAACGAGACACCTCCACCCGAACTCCAAAGGCGCGTGGATTTTCTGGACAGTGACAACTGATTGCCAACGATGATAAACAAGAAGAACTTGGCGCAGGGAAAAAAGACCACGGTGACTCTCTCTGCCAAGAAGAAAGCCTGCGCGCAGGACAGGGTCGGCCCATGTTGGGGCTGTCCTCTAACCTTCGATTATTCAAGTACCCAGGTTTCGATCCCAATAAGTCCTTGACTGGAAAACTAGGCGGCGGATTCCACTGATACATGTTGAGGACCAAACTTAGTAGATAACTAGGTTCAAGCTGAAAAACAAGACAACCAATCCAGAAAAGCTCCATCAAACTGAGAAGCAACAAGGGCAGCAATGCTTTCATCCAGGCTCAGGTGGTGTCTTGTCTCGATCCGAATCGACACGGCTTTCGACCGGGAGATCGATCAGCGCCCACCTTTCGAGCTCCGAAAGCTCAGATTCTCCCCCTAGGGAGCAAACCAAAGGGCTCCCGGACTCCCCGGCAGGCCCTTGGGGACGGCGTTTTGGGGGTTCTCGGAGCCTTTCAGGGAGCTGCCCTTCTCAAAGCGGGCTTCGGGTCGCTCGTGCTTCGCATCACCCCAAGAACTGTAGACAAGCCAGGCTTCTCGGGAAACATGTCTTTGCGGACAATGTTCATGCCTCTGGGGAACAGTAACAAAGGAAAGGAGGAACAGGGCCCTGTAAGCGAAAAAGGGGGGAGGGGACACAAAGCCTTTACCGTGCCCGGTGCTGAAATGAAGCGCGCGGGGCGCGCCCGGAGACGTTCCCGGGTCGCCTGCATTAGCCTGAATCTCTGGGAGTCTCCACCCTGCAAATGATTTCGCAACGCGGATGGACGACATCCATGTCGTACCACGAAAACAAGCCATGGGTTTACGTTGGGGAATCGAATCATTCCGGAGTTGCTTAGGCGGTGCAGAATGGATTTCTTCCAAGCGATACATGGGCTTAGACAGATTAGGTGGACTCGTGGAGACTCCAAGTGGTGTTGCCACGCAGATTCCGTTGCGCAGGGCTGCCAATACACACCAGGGAAGTAGATAGCACAATATCCTCGGAGGCGAAGAAGTGACCAAAATTGGAGTTCCGGGGAATCTGCTGGAAACCCCGGATGGATTAACCCATCCTCCCAAAACTCGGGGGTGTCACCTCCCTTTAAAGGGACACCATAATTCATGAACTGGGGAGGTTGATCCGGGGCTAAGCATAATTCACCCCAAAAAAAGAGTCTGGAAAAAAAAAAAAAAAAGCAAAACTAGATCAACCCCCTAGAGGTTTGCACGACAACTTGCTTCCTGAGTGGATTGGCCGACAAGAGTTCGAGCATTTTGCTTGCCGCCCATCCGCAAGACGTCCGGCATGGAGGCGTTCCAGTCTGCAACGCTCGCTGGAGCCCCGCCCGACTTCAGTCCTGCGAAACGACTCGACTCGAAAGACTTGGGAGGTGGCGGCTGAGGGTCCAAAGAGGATCCAACCCAAAAAATGATCAGCCTCCCTCTAATTGGTGGTTTGGAGCCCGGTGGTTTGGTGGTGTTCCCGAAATGGTGTTATTTTTGGTTTTTTTTGTTGCTTTTCTACCCTGCGCAAGAACCAGGCGTTCAAATCCAAATCCAAACAACCGGGCTCCAAACCGCATCCTAAACACACACCTGAATGTACTAGGCTGGAATCAGGACCCCAGCCAAAAATTGTCTTTCTTTGGCCTGGTTAGTGGAAAACAAAGGGACCCCAAAAAAGCACAAAAGGAAAAAGTGGAGCTAATTCTGGGGAAGAATATAGTTGGCATTACGGCATACGATCATTTTGCACGCCCTCCCCCAAGAAAGTGGACCCGTTCGGTTTACCCGAAAAACTCGCGTATTTGCCGGGAGGGCTTCCGAACATCGGCTCTCGCCGTTTTTGAGCTCGAAACATCATTCCCGCAAAACGCCGTGCTTGTGGAATTTAGGAAGCAGCCTCCTGGGATACAGTTACCACTGTAAAAAACACTGGTTGGTGCATATAATAACTTTTTTTGCCTAAGTGTCATCGTCCAAAGTGGGGTCCTTGCCATTCTTTTGATGGTGGTTGAACCCTAGGAGTGAAAAGGCGTGTCAGGGACAAACCACTCCCCAACGACGCAGGCAACGGGCTATGGCCTTCTTCTTGGGCAGTCCTTGACTCTGATCTCGTCCTCCGTGCAGTTCCAGAAGAAGCATCCCTCCAGCAGGTCAGAGCGGAACCTTCTCGCGAGTTCGGACGGCCTCTCTGGACACGTGGAAACCCATGAGGAGTCTTCTCGACCCAATGCAATGGAAACACGTTTTGGATAATTTGGATATGTATTGTTCTTTGGTTTTTTTTGCGGGACCCCCCAGAATGGTGGCTTTCCTTTTATCTTCCCTTCAAAAGCCACAAAAATGGGGCACCAACTCCACAAAAGGACCAGAGCCGCCCATTTTTCGTGCAGAACGCGCGGTCAAGTTGCCCGGGTCCGTTTTCCGGGACTCGCCCAAATCGAGTACCGAGATTCGGTTCACATGAGGCGATCTTCCCACAGGCCTTGGTGTGTCAAACACCACCCGTACCCTAAGTACGATACTTTGATGCCTGAACTGCATTTGCCATTGGAAAAAAACAGGCCTCGCAAAATGTCCCCCCCAAAAAACGGCCGGGTACCAAGTCATGCCCCCCGGGCCTTGATGGGCCAAATACTGTGGACGAAATCCATTTCGCATCACCCTTCGAAGCCCTGGAATGATATCCGCCCTGAAATGCCGTGTTTTGCACTTACCCTTTTTCCCGTCAAAATCTGCTGGGAAAAAAACACGGCCACATGAAAGGTATAAACCCCGCGGTTTGGGAGGAGCCGTGGTTTGGGGGGTGGCTGACACCATTCAAACCACAAACAAGGTCCATGGATGGATGTTTCCCGACTGCATGGGCCGGCCCCGCCTCTGAGCTCCGCGCTATCTTTTCTCATGCGAGCCACTTTAAGCGCTCTGCATTAAAAGTATCTCGAGGAGATATCGCAACTTGCCCGCTGCTGCACGCAAGTCGGTAGTTTCGGAGCGCACGCATCATGGCTTCCAGGCCAGGGCATCTGACTAAGTGGGCAGCACTGAAAACGTGGATTGTATTCCACGTTGGGGTGGTATTAAATCTTCTTAGAAGAGATGCTGCGTAACGCATGGACGACCACGTGGTGCTACTACCCACCCCACCCCTGGACGCTACTTCCAGTCGGATTGTACCTAAAGTCGACAGTGTACGCAGTGGAGAACGTTTGTGATTACCCCACCCCACCCCACCCCACCCGGACGCTACTTCCACTCGGATTGTACCTAAAGTCGACAGTGTACGCAGTGGAGAACGTGTGCGATTACCCCACCCCACCCCAAAAACCCCACCCCGCACCCCACCACCCGCCCAACGCTACCTCCCTACCGGTTGCGGACGGTTGCTGATGAAGCGACGGCAAACGTAGGCTCCTGGGGGTATATATATATATATATGTGCGTGTATTGTTCGGGAACCCGAAAAAAGAAGTGTTGTTACTTGTTGGTCTCCCTTTAAAACCCACAACAAACAAGAAGGTGCAGAGCCTCACAAGACAAGGAGCCACCCCACCCCAAAATGCCGCTTTGCGATGTCCGTAGATTCAGCGGGTTGTGGCCTCGAGCGCGGAAACCACGGCAACCACGGAACGCTGGGCAGCCCGGCATCTTGGGCTGGCACATCTGCTCCAAACCTCCGGAGGCCTGAAAAAAACTCACTCCTGAAAGCACGAAGCTCCGTCGGCTTCTTGGATGCTGTAACGACCCCTCTGCAAAAAGTTTGACTTGTGGGTTTAATGGGAAACCCCTTGAAATCCCAAAAAGTTAAAGCCCAAAGATCCAACCCAATAGCAAACAAGTCTTGCTCTTAATTTAAAAAAAAAAAAGAGAGAGATGGACATCTTTCTGACTTGAATAGGTGTTCTACAGATGGGTGTGTCTTTATTTAGGGCACCCCCCTCTTTTGCAAAGTCAACCATCAAACAATGGATGACTGCAACCCCCTCTCAAATCCCCAAAATGTAGACTTCTAAAGGCACAATCATGCTGGGGTTGTTTCGCGGCGACAGCCCTGTACAGGTGGGAACCTTGAAAAAAAAGACGTCCTTGTGTGTGTGTGTGTGTGTGAGTTTGTGTCCTTTTTTAGGGTACCACGCCCCCCTCCCAAAAAAGAAAAGTGTTGCGATTGGTTTTCCGTAGAAGAAAAAAGCTGGTACCCTTACAAAAAGAAACACCCAAATCAATCCTATTCGAATCACTCACTCGTGTCCTGTTGGCCGCAACTCCGGAAGCACCCCTTGATTTGATGTTCATCGAGGCTCACTTTTGTAGGCGGAGATTTGTCCGGCCTTCCCATTGGGCTGACAGGGGGGCAACCCGTCCAAAGATCATCGGCATGGGGTGGGGGGGTGGGGGTTTAAGCCAAATCAAGCTCGGATGATAAGAGAACAACATATGTAGTTGAGTAAAGCCGATTACATCATGGGCCTTAGAATACTGTAAGGTCCCCTTCTTGTCCAGTGTTGCCAGGCGTTTCGCCACTGTGACTGGTACCATGGAAACCATGCATGATAAAACTCAGAGGCAAAGAAACCCTGTTTGAAAGTGGCCATGGGAGAAAAAACAAAACGAAACCCCCTCCAAAGAAGGGGGGAAAGGGATCAGTGCTTCTTGATTCCCCCTTTGAAGGGGGAAGATCTAGTTGTATTGGACAAATTTTGCCCGACCTAGCCTCGTCGGCCATTTCCCAAGAAAGCAAAGCTGGCTCTATGAATATCAGCTCGTCAAAAACAACCACCACCACCACCACCACCACCACCACCACCACCACCACCACCACCACGACGCAAAAACACAACAAATGTCAAGGCCAGTTTAGACATATTTAGACACCACCACCCCTTCCCAAGTCACTCCACAGACCCAGAGGCATCGGCCTCCTCATCTTCCTCCGCAGCGTCGAAGTCGATGACCTCCGAGGTCGGTGCCATGTTTTTCGTCGGCGCGTCGGGGTTTCTTGCCGCTGGATGTTAGCCATGGTTCCCCCCGGGCCTACTCTCTACTCTCAGATGCCCAGTGGATTTCCATGCGGGAAAAAAAGGGCATCCTTTTTGGGTTGGTGGACTTTAAAGGAACCGGAACCCTTCCCCAAGAAAATGGAAAAAAGGGCGCCACTGCCAAAAGTCAGGGTGTTCAGGCAAAACGTCGGGGTTTCTCCGTGTCATACAGGAACTCATACCCACCAATCACAACGCAAAAGCGAAGAGCAAAAACAAAAGAAGAAAAAAACACGGGACTGCGTCAGCCGCAGACATTTGCCACAGTGCCTCCCTCCCGACCATGTCCTCACAAACCTGGTAGCTCCGAGAGAGGCTCCCTGTCTAGCAAAAAACTTGGATTCCCGACCGCCTTGGCCCCGACTCGTTCCCTTGGCCCATCTGCTGTGCATCCCGCGCCTTGATCCAAAAATGGTTTTCTGCTGGGTGAAAAAAAAAAAAATGGGATCCAACCCGGTCAAATGGGAACAAGGACAACAACCACAGGTGCCCTTCTTAGGTTAGTTTAGGTAGAAATAGATGGCGCTGGTTTAGATGAATTTCATTCCATTTACCGGAGCAACCGGTGGTCCATACCCTGTTATACCCGCAGATGTGGACCGAGACTGTTTTATCCCCACTAAACCAAGAGGGGCGTCTCCCCCCCCAAGCCACCGACAGATCGCTGGACAGAGGGTTTGCATTTCATGACCCATTTGCACATCACCGAATGGCCCAAAACGTGGAAACCAAAGAGGGAACTATGGGTGAAACCGAAACGTTTTGCATTTTCTGAGGAATCGTCATGCCAGGGTTTCTTGTGCCCAGTAAGAACCTAGGATGTGTATGGGCACTCAAGGGATTTATCCAGTACCGAGCACTGCCGCCCCTCAAAAAAGATGAAACGTCGAGTCCTCTCCCCCCAAAGAACCCCACCGCACAAAGCTTGACCTGCGAAAACCTTTTCCATTCGATGCTTTCAAGGGCTCCCGTTGCACCGATCGGGTCGGCCCTGGTAAAGGACAGCAAAGAAACCCCAATTCCATTTATCTCTATAGACAGCCTTTTGAAAAACAAAAAGGACAATGGCTGGATGCCTACTATGCGTCAGGCAACCCCTAAGTGGTGGTTTGCATTGGTGGTTTGGAGCTTAGGGGATGGTTTCTCATGTACCCTCCACCAGAACTAGTGGTTCAAATCCCCAAACCACCCAACCACCAAAAAGTTACCTGATTTACTGACAACTGGGATCCACGGAGGAAAAAAAATAATCTGAGACCACTTGCCCTCGGGATGAAACCGATCGTGCTTCAGCCCTTTGCTGTGAAGGTCTGTCAAGAGCCTAACACTTCCGACGCTTTCCCCTCGGCTTCCCTCCAAACCCACAGGGCGATCGCAGGCCTCTTCGATGATCCACATGGGTTTGGCGACCTCAGCTTCCCTCCACTTGATGGAGCCCAGTCAGGCTGGAACATGGCATTGACCCGTTCAACCACCAACTTCCAAACCAGCCGTCGAGTTGCCTGAGTACACCCTAAAACCACAGAACTTCTACTGATTGACCATTCTTCCTGAACCCATCTTGTAATTCTGACCATTGTTCCTGAACCCTCAAATCATCCCCATTCAAGCAAAAGGAAAAACGTTGGAAGTCGCCCAAATCCATAATTTTGCTCGGACTGGACGCTTCGGTTTGCAGTTTGCTCGGACTTTGGTCATCCCCAGACCGGTCTCCCGAAGCTCGCCAGATCCCCAAGCTCGCCCGGCCGCTCCGCTTTCCGTGAGGAAGTCCAATGGAAAGATCCAGTCATAGATTCGCTGGAACAGACAGAACATGGTCTGAAGCAAATGGAAGCAGTTGGAACCCCTATGAACTTGCCTAGCTTCCTTTCTTCACCTAGTAACCGAGTCAGAGACTGCTTGTCACCGTTCCTCGCTCCGTGGCGCCGTGAAATCAAAAAGCGCGCTGCGCGTCCCGCCTTACATCAGACTTGAGGAGTCTTAGCTTGTGCCGTTTGGCCCAAGTCATCGGCCGGTGTCTCCTTGGAGTCATCGGCCGGACAGTTGCCGCGCTAAACGTGCGCTTGGGACCTCAAGCCCCAGGGCGGCACATCAGTTGGGGCAACAGGCCCCCGGCTCAGCGGAGGGTTCCGGTTTTGATGGCCCATGGGAAGCTGGGCAACTCTGGATCTAACTTACCGTTGCCTGAAGAAGACCTTCTAGAAATGGCAGTACCTGGGCAAGAGAATTCAGGTTGCACAACTCAATCTGAAGCTCCAGTGAGGTTCACCTGCCTGGGCGACATCGATGTTGCGTTGGTTGGTTGATTGGTTGGTTGGTTGGTTGGTTGGTTGGTTGGTTGGTTGCTTGCTTGCTTGCTTGCTTGCTTGCTTGCTTGCTTGCTTGCTTGCTTGCTTGCTTGCTTGCTTGCTTGCTTGCTTGCTTGCTTGCTTGCTTGGTTGGTTGGTTGGTTGGTTGGTTCGTTGGTTCGTGGGTTCGTGGGTTCGTGGGTTCGTGGGTTCGTGGGTTCGTGGGTTCGTGGGTTCGTTGGTTCGTTGGTTCGTTGGTTCGTTGGTTCGTTGGTTGGTTCGTTGGTTCGTTGGTTCGTTGGTTCGTTGGATCGTTGGTTCGTTGGTTCGTTGGTTCGTTGGTTCGTTGGTTCGTTGGTTCGTTGGTTCGTTGATTCGTTGGTTCGTTGGTTCGTTGGTTCGTTGGTTCGTTGGTTCGTTGGTTCATTGGTTCGTTGGTTCGTTGGTTCGTTGGTTCGTTGGTTCGTTGGTTCGTTGGTTCGTTGGTTCGTTGGTTCGTTGACTCGTTGGGTCGTTGGGTCGTTGCGTCGTTGGGTCGTTGGGTCGTTGGGTCGTTGGGTCGTTGGTTCGTTGGTTCGTTGGTTCGTTGGTTCGTTGGGTCGTTGGGTCGTTGGGTCGTTGGGTCGTCGGGTCGTTCGGTCGTTGGTTCGTTGGTTGGTTGGTTTGTTGGTTGGTTGGTTCGTTGGTTCGTTGGTTCGTTGGTTGCTTGGTTGCTTGGTTGCTTGGTTGCTTGGTTGCTTGGTTGCTTGGTTGCTTGGTTGCTTGGTTGCTTGCTTGCTTGCTCGGTTGCTCGGTTGCTCGGTTGCTCGGTTGCTCGGTTGCTCGGTTGCCTCGGTTGCTCGGTTGCTCGGTGTTGCGTGTGGTTGCGTGCGGCTGCGTGTGGTTGCGTGTGGTTGCGTGTGGTTGCGTGTGGTTGCGTGTGCTTGCGTGTGGTTGCGTGTGGTTGCGTGTGGTTGCGTGTGGTTGCGTATGGTTGCGTGTGGTTGCGTGTGGTTGCGTGTGGTTGCGTGTGGTTGCGTGTGGTTGCGTGTGGTTGCGTGTGGTTGCGTGCTTGCGTGTGCTTGCGTGTGGTTGCGTGTGGTTGCGTGTGGTTGCGTGTGGTTGCGTGCTTGCGTGCTTGCGTGTGCTTGCGTGTGCTTGCGTGTGGTTGCGTGTGGTTGCGTGTGGTTGCGTGCTTGCGTGCTTGCGTGCTTGCGTGTGCTTGCGTGCTTGCGTGCTTGCTTGCTTGCTTGCTTGCGTGGACAAAATCCGCTTCTGGCACCACCAAACCATGGTTCACACCAGCGTTCCTTGAAAGCATTCCGTTGGGTTTCTGAGCGGTGGATTTCGCCACCATCCACGCCATGCCGGCGAAACGGCATGGCAAAGCCCAGGGCAATACAACAACAGCGTCAATGTGGTCAGTGGAAAGCCACGGCACAAGCCGTGACAGGACCTTCCTTCGGCACAAGAGCCACGAAGAAAACGCAACAATGCACCACAGGTAGCCCTGGGGTCCACTCTCAACCCCAACACCTCCCACAAAACCACAAAGGCCTAGGGAACATTGCTGGGAATCAAATTTCTAGGTGTCTGCCGTTCAGGGTCCCCGACGTTTCCCTTACATCATACCAGCTTGCTCCCATGGGGGAGGCAGGGGGGGAACCAACCCTGCTCAGAGTCCTGCACAAAATACCTGTCCCACGTTTGACATCAGCTGACTGAGGACATCAGCGGCACGTGGCTTGGAAAATTTGGAGGTTGATCAATATTCCATGTAGGGCCCCCGGCCATAACCACGGGTAACTTTGCCCATGTGGGTAACTTAACCATGGGTAACTTTCTGATCAACCCCCCAAATATGTCCTTGTGTCCTTCCCCCAAAGTGGGCATTTCTCCCAAAGGCAAATGGACCGCCATCTATTTATCAACCTACGGTTGGTTCATCCTGCCTGGATGGCCAGTTGCTGATTATCTCATCAGTTTCGGCTAAAGTGTCTGGAGAAGACAAAGAACTTGGCTATCCAGGTGGGAACCTAGGAACTTGGCTATCCAGGAGGGTTCCCATTCAGGAGCCACACCAAAAACCATCTGAGACCAAAGCCACCGGGGGTGCCGCCTCTTCCGCCCGGACGTCTGGGCGCAGCATCCTGGCGTGCAATAGGCGTAACTGGGGCCGTGCGAGAAGTTGGGCGCGCCAGGCTATTTTTGAGAGTGCAAACTTTTCACATGGGTGTCAAACAAAAAAAAAGATCAGACCCGCCATTTGGCGGGGGGTGGGGGGGGGGGGGGGGGGGGGGTGCACTTTTCAGGTTGGTTTCAAGGGAAACCAAAAGGAATGAGAGCACTCTTCGGGTCGTTTTTTAGGGAAACCAAACTCAGACCCGCCATTTGGGGGGTTCCCCCTAGTTCCACGTCCGTTTGGCTATACTGGATCATTGCCAAAACAAGCAGGTCAAAGCTACATCCAGCCTCCAAAAACCACCCATGGGTGTGTCTTCTTTGGGAAAACCTCTTTGGTTGTTGTTTCAATGGGAAACCTAAGGGAAAAACCGAAACCCATGTGTTGGGTTCCCTATCTTTAAGACAAACCCATATCCCAACCCCCCATATCCCAACCCTCGGCTAAGACTCTTTGATTCAGAGCCCTTCAAAAAGAGCTGAAAAAGATAAGCTTGCTGCCTTGCATAGCTCAGCCTTTTGTCTGACCCCAACCTGAAACAATAAAATTTACCAGCTCAACCTTTTGTTTTTGTTCGCCTTGGCGCATCTTCTGGCCAACAGGGATCCTTACATTATACACCTGAACATTGCCTTGTAAATGGTGGTGTCTCTTTATTTCGGTGGAAAAAGCCACATGTTTCAAACGGCCACAAGGTATCTTTTAAGGAGCCCTGGCCAATGAGACTTGCTCTTTCTGGCAACCCCTTGGCTTGCAAGCCCAACCTCCCCCCGAAACCAACCCCCAACCTCAGACCCACAGACCCACAGACCCACCGCTTGAGCGAAAGCCGAAGGCCGAATTTCGAAAGCCGCCTGCCGAAGAGCGGCGCCGGAGGGACACCAGAGGCCGCAACGATGCCTCTGGACACGAGGCGGTTGGGCGAAAAAAGTCCGGCCACCCCCAAATGGGCTACGCTGGTAAATGCAAGCAAGGGTGACGCGTCCATTGTGGGTGAAAAATGACACATCCGTTTGGGCGTGGAAACATACGAAAACGAGTTGCCCTGGTACATGGAAACAAGGACTAAGACCTGCGGTCCATATCCTGGTGGCATAGATTTTTTGAGCCATGCCCACATCTCCCCGAGCACGTTTTCCGCGGGTGGAGAAAAAAACATTTGCCCTCTACAAGAAAGGCTTCCATGGGTTGATTCCCAGTTTAACATGAAGCCCATGCAAAAACTCGCCCCTTCGAACGAAACCCATTTGGCTGACCCCCTTTTTGGGCTTGCACTTCTGATTCTTTTTGGGCAGAAGCAGACCAGCCAAATGTCTCGGAAATTCTGCGGCTTCAGGAGGTGTTTGGTTTCTTTTTGTGCGGACGAAACCGTTTCACAGGGGAAACCCCGGACCCATGGAAATGTTGGTCAGGTGGTTGGGCATCGCCGAATCTCGCGTTCGGTGCTTCCCATTGTTGCGGGAGAACCGTCGTGATGCAGGGGTAAGGAACCCAGGTTGTCTAGAGCTTGAAGCACTGGGATTTAGTGGTTTAGTGGTTTAGTGGTTTAGTGGTTTAGTGGTTTAGTGGTTTAGTGGTTTAGTGGTTTAGTGGTTTAGTGGTTTAGTGGTTTAGTGGTTTAGTGGTTTAGTGATTTAGTGGCGGCTTGGTAGTGGTTTGGCAGTGCTTCAGTGGTGGTTCAGCTGTGGTATTACAACTATTTCACAATTGGTCATTCTTGGTTTCACAATTGTTTACTCATGGTTTCACAGAGCAGCCACACTGTTCAATAGCGGCTGGACTAGTGTCTGACTGTCAAAGAGATAAATGCTTGCAAGTTAGTGTTGCGCTTAAGCAAACATGGTGCCCAAACAGTTGAGAAGATTAGGGAAAAGGTCGCAAGGAGCAAACAAGAACCGAGTGGTTAACGCCTTGATTCCTCTTGGAACACAAGCTGCTCCTAAACTGACCGGGTCCCACAAGAGTGTTAGAAGCTCAGGAACCCCTCCCGACAGTTGTCCTCTGAGGTTAGGGGCTTTTGGCGCCAAATAAGGCAGCGCCAAATAAGGCGGGGTGGACTCCGTAAGAGTTGCAATCCACCCACGTTTCAGCGAAAATCAAGGACATTCCCCCCAAAGATTTAACAAAAAAAAGCTGCGGGTCCGGCCGGTTGGGCGGTGTTTACCAGGGAAATACAGAGGGGCACCAACCCACCAACCCACCAGCCCACCAGCCCACCAGCCCACCCCTGCTGCCCCCACCTGGAGCTGAAGCGCGGGGCAAGGGCGGCACCAAGGCCGGCAACTGGGCCCCGGTCGCAAGTCCAAGAAGACATGTTCACGCCTTCTCATATGGATGAATCTTGGGGATCTGGGCTGCCCGATTTCAGATCCCCCTCCAAAAGTGGACAGCTTTTAGTGGGTTGGATGGCTGGGAGCCAGGAGGAGATGTTTGGGTACGGGTCACAAAATTACATCAGGATATGGACAGCAGGCTTCAGTCCTTGGCTCCATTTAATTACCAGGGTTCCACGGGTTGCCAGATTTTTGACCCACAGCCATTTGGGGGATGTTCGGGGGGAAGAGAAGAATATGGGGCAAATTACTATACTGTAAGGCCTCCTAAATCCTCACAACGGGGTTGTGAAGTACTTTAAAATCGAACGGACGAAATCCTGCACCACCTAAGAAACCCTGGAATGACTCGATTCCCCTGTACATACCAAGAAGGAAGGGTTTCAATCATGGCTTCAAAGTGCTGCAAAATGGATTTCGTCCATCCGCAGGTCATTGTCATCAGAGCAACATGCTTGTGGTGTGGCTCAAAATTAAACAGGAGGGGCAAACCGCAGGTTTTGGTCCATGTTTCCACTCCCCATTGCAACCCATTTTAAAATTCCAGTTTTTTGAGCCAGCCAGATTGCTTGAGCCCCTCATATTTGATTGACCACCTATCAGGCCTTTCCAAGTCGGAGCGAAACATTTGCTGAGGTATCTTTCCCAGTGGAGCCAATCAAGCTTATCCAGTGACCTGGACCCCGAAAAATGCTTGGCTTCCTAAAAAGACCACTCCAAAAGATGAAAGAAGCACAGCCAACGGCGGCGGAAAAGAAGCTCGGCACGGCTCGTGTTGGTTTATGCATGTCTGTTCTCGAAGGATATTTGGCGGGGTTCCATGTTGATCTGCGGAAGGTACGTTGTCTTTCGACAACAGGGTCTGTGTCTTGAGGGTACCGCTTTTTTAAAGGAAAACCAAAAGGAACACCTCCATTTTGGGGGGGTCCCCTAAAAAAGGACACACCCAGCACCAACCCCATTTGTGGCCCTAAGGAGACGAATTCAAACAGCTCGTAAAGTTTCGTGATCAAAACGACATGGTTCCTGCGCCAAACCGGCCAAAGCTTCAGGCACCAATCCAAGCCGGTCAAAACCGGCCAAGATTATTGATAAGACCCTTCAAACCCATATTTGATCCTGCTGGTTCCCTACCCCCCACCGCTCATCCTGTATCAAACAAGGGCAAAAAGTTGGGCGCTCGCCGGAACCCAAGCGATGCACCTGTGGCGCTACAGGAGCTTGTAGCACCTGCCAGGTTGGTCGGCTCGGTCGGTTGGTTGGCGGTCAGTTGCTTGCTGTGCTGGCTTGCTGGCTTGCTGCCTTGCTGGCTTAGTTGTTGCTTGGTTGCTTGGTTGCTTGGCTGCTTGGCTGCTTGGCTGCTTGCTTGCTAGCTAGCCTGCTTGCTTACGTGCTTACTTGCTCGCTTGCTCGCTCGCTTGCTCGCTTGCTTGCTTGCTTGCTCGCTTGCTTGCTTGTTGGACTGGTTAGTTGGCTGCTCGATTGGCTGGCCTGTTGGTTCGGGAAGTGACGCCTCTGAGACAAATCAGAAGTTCGCTTGATTTTGGGATCTATCTAAGAGTTCCCTCGGCTCACGAATGGCAACCTGAACCCCACTTTCAGCTTCCCTCTAATTGGTGGCTTGGATTGGTTGTTTGGCGGCTAATCCCATTTACCAAGCCACCAACTAAGGGGTAATCATCAGAATTAAGGTGTCCCGTAGCCCCTTATCAAAAAACCACACAACGACCCCCGAAAGCAAAGAAGGGAGAAGAAAAAAAAAGAAGAAACAAAAGAAGAAGAAAAAAACAAAGCAGGCCGTCTGGAGGGGTCCGGACCCAATTCACCCCAATTGGTCGCCAAGTTCATGTTTTGTTTGAGGCAGTCACAGCTAGGGAGGAGAAAAGAACGCTGGCTATGGAGGAAACCATGGGAAGGAAACCAGAACGTTTGTTCCTAAGCAAACCCTATGATTCGATTCGAAAAGCTCTGGTTGCATGTCCACAGAAATCCTGGAAATACTGTGAGAAATGTTCCCCGGATTTTGAGTGGGTCAAAAAATACGAAAATCCAACCACTAAACCAACCAAAAAGCTCTAAAAAGCTCAGGATGGCTGGTTGGGCCACCAAGGTTCCCATGATTCCATTTGAGTCACAATCAAAACCCGGTACAAAAATGGTCGACCCAGAACCATGCTTCAAGAACTAAGAAGGCGGATATCCGCCGCTATTTCTGGCTGGGATCGTCCCTTACTAACCTTCACTTACCCCGGTTTTGAGGACGTGGCTCACTTGTTGTTTGGCTGTGGGTGTCAAAAATTGGGTAAACCCCACAATGGGTTGCGGCAAGCCCGAGATGTGCAAACATGGATTAAAACGTCCAATCCCAGGTGGGTCTCGAGAAGCAAATGGGCTCGCAAACTCGCCTGGCCCAGTGCCGCACCGTGGCTCTTGGGGGGCAGCCGGGCGGCCGGCCTAGGACTCGAATCCCGGAGTCGGAAGAGCCCGGGGGAAAAAAATGATTATATATATATATAGATATACATATAAAATATACATACATGTATATATAGATATATACATATTCTATATGTATATTATATATACATATTCTATATGTATATTATATATATACATATATGTTATTTCGGGCTGTCTGTTTTCAGATCCCCTGCTAAAAGTCGGCAACGTGTGGGTCAAATATGAAAGCCCCACCACCTTTCACCAACTAAGAAGCTAAGAAGCCTAAGGGGATGGTTGGGAGCCACCAAGATTTGTGAGCCATGCTCCAAACTCCTATGGCCGACCGGGTCATGGTTCCCTCAACAGGAACAAGAAAGACCTGCACCAGACAGGAAATCATACGAAAACCCATCCCGCCAGTTCCGAAAAGGCAGGCGACCTTCAAGACGCGGCAGCTACTGCCTTGAATCCTCGGGAGCAGAGCTCCCAACAGCTCCGTGGCAAGCTGCAGCTTGTGGCTGTCAGAAGTCCCAGCCGCAGGTCGCAGGGGGAAAAAAGGGCCAGGAGCCTTGAAAGCGAATCCTCTTAAATATAAGCGAACGTGCTTCAAAGCAGACAAAAAGGTCTCATCCGAAATCTGCACGTGCAGCTTCTGAGTAGGAAGCCCTTGCAAAAAGTGTTTGGTTCAGGAACTGGTTATTCAGGTTTCTTGCCACCAAGTGGATGACCAAGGGCTCTTTTGACTATGACACAAATGAAAATGAACCGAAGTCGGGAAAAATCAGTGGGAAAGAAACAACAAGGCAACCTTGGTGTTGTCAGGTTCAATTTGTTCAGTGGGGATGTTGACCGCGAGAATCCACCCGTCATCTTTGTCCCCTGTAACTACTTGATCGCAGAAGGGGATCGCCTTGATATCGTTAAACGAGGAGAACCTAAAAACCGATGTTCCACACTTTCTGAAAAAGGGGTGAGAATACCAGGGCAACGCATGTTTGGTAACCTTGCTTTTGATAGGGGTCAAAAAAGATGTCCCTTTAAGTTGATGAATTGACTGGTGGTTTCCACTAAACCGATCGCCACTTTTCGAGGTTCCCTTTAAAGGGAAATGGAGGAAACCCAGCAACGGGAGGCCCAGCTGTATCTTCGAGACTACGGTGGATCGCGATAAATATTGCAAGCAAATCAGCCATTCTCAACCACACAACCATGGCTAAAGTACGGAAAAATAGAGGGTGTTGTGGATGGACGAAATCCACTTCGCACCACTTTGAAACTATGGGGAACCATAGTTTGTTGGTTTCTAAAGGGGAATCGCATCATTCCAGGGTTTTTAGGTGGTGCGACACAGTAATTTGTGCATCCACCGTATCCTGAAAACTTGAGAGGCCTTCCTGGCGCGCTTTTTTCCAGAAGTTCGAAGCACCCGCGTTGAGGCAATGCACCCACTGTCGGTGGAGAGCAGGCTCTGGATGCTGTAGGATGCACCTGCCAGGCTGAGAAACTGACTTTGGTCGCGGTACCACAAGTTCGCCCCCTGAAATTTTAGTGAAACATTGGTGAACCGCCAGTGAACTTCCAATCAGTCCCAGTTAAGCCCCAGTGAACCCCCAGTAAACCTCAAGTCAACCCCGGCTAAGCCCCAGTCAATCCCCAGCAGACCCCCAGTCAACCCCAAGTCAAGCCCTGTTAAGCCCTAGTTTAAAGTCAAGCCCAGTCAAGCCCAGTTGACCCCCAGGTCACCCCCAGCGAACCCCCCACTCAACCCCCAGTTCGGGGTCAAACTGGGTTGCTTGCGGCCAGTGTTAGAGGACATCACTAGCCCTGGTTACGAAAAATGGGGCTTTCAGTTGCCAGTTCTAACAGTGGTTTGAACAAAGCCTTGTCAGAAGATGAATCTTTCCTTTTACATTTCCTCGTCAAAGCCGCACTTTTCTTATAATGTGATGCCATAATCAAAACGGTGCCGAAAACCCAACCACTAAACCAACAAAAAAAAACTAAACAAAAACTAAAAACAACTAAAAAACCAACAACTAAACCAACCAAAAAGAACTGAAAGCAACTAAAAACAACTAAAGAGCCAACCCCTAAACCAACTAAAAAGGATCTAAAAACAACTAAATGGGGCTTTCAGTTGACAGTTTCTATGCAGTGGTTTGAACAAAACTTTGTCAGGAGATGAATCTTCCTTGTACATGTCCTCGTCAAAGCCATCTTTTTCTTGTGGTTTGTTGACTGGCTACAAGAAAATTACTGGAATTCAGTCGAACTGACCCACGTTGCGGGTCTGGTTCATTCCAGATCCAAATTTGATTGCAGCCCAACGAATTCCTGCCGCCAAGTTACCTGTTGATCCAGGTAATCCACTGACACAACTACTATCTGTTTTCTGCTCCCGTGCTCGAAGTTGACAACCTGTGGGTTAAATACGGAAACCCAGCGCCACCGTTCACCAAAAAAAAAAACACTCAACCTGAGAAGCTAAGGCCATAGCTAAAAAGCTTGCTGGAACCAAACCAACCAACAAAAACCAACCAACTCAATGGAACCAAAAAGCTCCGCCGGGTTGCGGCCGCCGTCCCAACCGTCCCAGGCGTCGCCCGAGGGGTTCGCCCGCGCCTAGCCCGCTGCCCAGCGCGCCGCTCTCCAGGCTGGCGCGACCTCATGGCTGGAGAACGTCTGAGTCCGAGTCCGAGTCTGAGTCCGAGGGGAGGGAAGAAGCAAAAATGAGTCATAAAAAAATCTATGTAGATTTATCTTTGGAATCTCCTTATAAGAATAGAATTATGTTCATCAGGAAGTAGTTCAAGAAATGAGCCGGTTCTTTGGGGGGACTTTTTCTGAATGGAAACGGCACGAAACGGGGGAATGAATGACCTTCTTCCAGGTTTTGGTGGAATGAACCGGTTTTCCATGGGGACTTTCTCAAGGGAAAAGGGGGAATGAAGGACCTTCTTCCAGGTGTTGGGAATGGATGAACCGTTCTTTGGGTGGAATGGACCGGGATTTAGGGAGCCCCCCGAAGAAAGCAAAAACCACAAGGGAGAGTTTGGGGTGGGACGAAGTAAAGTTGCCCAAAGAGCACAAGTAAACGCTAAGGAAAGTATCCCCAAGAAAGGCCCCCAGAAAGGCCCCAATGAGGCCCATTGTCGGCCCGAACAGCCTTTCTTTCCGGGTGTGGAGATGCTTCCGCGCAAAAAGGACCTTCAGCGGCGTCGATCTCGTGCTCTTTTCTCTCCAGGGTTGCTATCATGCGAGGTTCTAAAACTGAGACCCCCAAATGCTCGTCCTCTGGGTAGCGGAGGCCTCACTCCATGAAACTGGCTAAGCCAAGGGACAAAGGTTGGCCAATTTGCTCGCCCATCTGCTTCCGGGCTACCCTTGAGCCCTGGAAATACCAAGAGCCTTAGGGTTTCAACCAGGGTTTCTTAGGTGGTGCGAAACGGATTTCGTCCATCCACAGTAGGGTACTGGCATACCCTGCATGAATATACCAACATATACCAACACATGGGGAAAAAAAAGGTTCTCCCCTCCGGATTCAAGAGGTTTCAAACATCCGGGATCCGAAAACTGGGGCGTTCACAATGATCCTAGAACCCCCCCAATCCTGGGTATCGCTCGAAAACCCTCAACAAGATCGGCCACACTGCGCTCTTGGCTCCCTGCTGGAGGCGTCGGGAGCACGGATCAGCCTGAGACAAGCCCCCCCAATCCAAAGAGGCATGGATGTGCCCCTTTGAAAGCGAGCTTATCTGGTTCAAGATCTAGGAATGCAGACCAAAGAACCATGACCATGGGGCCATTTAAGCCTTGAGCCTGGATCATAGATATATATATATATATATATGTTTATTTATATAGATATAGATATAGATAGATATACATATGTGTATGTAGTATATATATATATATATATGATTTTATCTATAAATGGGTATCTCAGTATCTCTCAAACATGTGCAGCCTCCTCTTTATGTTCCATCCCAAAGGGGGATCTCCCGAACATGCGCAGTCTCCTCTTGGTGTTCCATCCCAAAGGGGGTCCTAATTGTAGAGGCTAAAAATCAAAACAGGACGTCCCTGGAAGCGGGTAACTTTGTCTTGTTGCACCCAATCATCTAAGCCCAAATCCTTTGACTGTTCCTCAGCGAAATCACCCAAACACACGTCCCTTTGCTGGGCTCTTTGGCAATAAATTTCACCATGGTCCTCACCTAAATCAGAACCTTCTTCATGGGTAAGCTCGTCTATCCCGGATCGGTGAGCTCGTAATAAGTTGCCCAGCTGGCTTTGAATTTTCTCATAGTTTCATTGCAAATCCTATTTGAGAGAAGCACAAAATTGGTTGCCTGGATTTGTGTTCTTGGATTGGCATTTGGACATGACTGCTAAATATCACCAAGGGAATGACAGAAAGTGGCAACCGGCCTGCTCCATCTTCCATCATGAGCTCGCCCCAAACATAAGAACGATCAAAGTGTCGAACATTCCACCAAGAGGACGAGGTCCCCTTTTTTTGCCAAATTGCTCGCCCCAGACCGGTAGTTTTGAGCGAACCTCCTCTTGCTATCAAGTTTAAGAGGAAACCACCTCACAAGTGGTTGGTGAACAAAGAGGAGCCAGTTCAAATTCATACCCATCTGCAATCCAAACCCAAGCCCAATTCATACACATCTCGCCCATGTTCATATGCCGCAACCAACGGGAGCGAATTCTCAAGTTGCAAAACAGTTGGAGCCCATGAAACCCTTGGCTGATAATGTTGACCCCGGATTAATAACCCCCTGCTTATTAATATGGGGGTGTCCGATTCCGGTTTTAGTGGGGATTTATCACTTATGGAGGGGAACACTCCCATATTGATCAACCGGGGGGGTTATTAATCCGGGGTCAACATGGCGGATACGTGTCTCGGCTCAAGGAAAGCCTTCTTTAGAGTCAGAATCGCAAGCTGACGAAAAGCGCGACGTCTTCTTAGCTTCTGCTTGCCTACCGATGTTAACTAGGAAAACACTTCCAAGAAAAGGATGCATGGGTAAGATGTTTCATGCTTGGCTGCGAAGCGATGAATGGTACCGATGAACTTGGAAAACACTTAAGAACAGAATGCATGGGAAACAACAGCATGTCCATGGGCGGTCAGAACGAATCAGTGAAAAAATGTACGAACTGAACACACAGATTCTTCTGAGCCATTTGAATATGTTTGCCCCCCGATGAAATCCCATGGCCACTGCAAGCCAAGCAGAAAAAACCGACGGAAAGACGCACTTTCGCCAAGAAGAAAGCCGGAAACTACCAATCAAAGGGTTTGGTTACCGGAAAATATCCGGAAAATTTTCCCAAAACACCCTACATCAGCTGCTTTCCTGCAGGAATTGTCTGTAACTCTAGCCCTTTGCACCAAGCTTTCTGAGCATTTCCTGAGGCGCCCCCCAGCCCCAAACGCGCCGCCTGGGTGGCGACAGAGCTCCTGGACGGCCTCGTGGATGGTGCATGGCGAAGGGCAGCAACTCACACACAAACGCAGGCAAGCAAGCAGGCGGACAAGCAAGCAAGCAAGCAAGCAAGCTAACAAACAAACAAACAAACAAAGAAACTAACAAAGCAGCAAACTAACTAACTAAGTAACTAATTAACTAACCAACTAAATTGCCAGCAGCAGCAACCAACGACCAAAAGAAGAAGAAGAAGAAGAAGAAGCAGCAGCAGCAGCAGCAGGAGGTTTGAACCTTGCCATTTGGTCAACCCTTTGACTGGCAGGATGAAAGCCACCACTCAGGCCAGGAAAACGAACGAACTTTGGCTTGACGGACCAGTTCCCAGGTCAGCTCTCGGGCCAGAAGCAAAGCAGGGCTCCTGCTTTTGTGGTGTTCATGCTTTGTTAAATCCCTGACAAAAGTTAAACTTGAAGTGGGGAAAAATGTATAGTGACGGACTTCAAGTTAGAACATCGACAATTCACCAAACGTGCCTTAGAACGTCACACCTGTGGGTAGTTAAACAAAAAAATCGAGTAGCAGTTAGAACATCCAGGTCAAAACATGCAAAAGTCTCGCCGTATTTCGACTTAGAACATCGCGCGAGCCCCATGTTTGCATCCCTGGCCAGTTGCGGCATTGAGAGTTAGAACATTGGGGGGGATGTATGGACATTGGCGGGAAGCAAAGTTTAACCATATTACATGCAATTCAATAGCTGGAAGCTCCAAAACGAGAAGTCTTCCTGCGGTCCTTAGCCCTCCTCCCTCCGAAGCTTCAAGCCTACAACTCGGGGCCTCATTCCCTAAAACAGGGAAGAACACATGTTTATTGAAGAATGACTTTTACCTTAAGGCGCGGGGGTTTCAGTTGCATCTGTGTTGTTTAGAGGTCAGCTTTCTATTCCTTTCTAGAGCGGCAGCATTCATGGGGAGGCTAAAGGTTGGCTTCCTGTTCCTCTCTCGTGCGGCAGCACTCATTCTATTCTCACGCCCCCCCCCCCCCTCGCAGTAAGCTAGAAACCATTCTTCAAACAGCATGTGTTTTTCCAGTTTCAATTCACTGGGCCCACAGTTAGAACGTCGGCAGATGCACGATTGCATGTTTCAGCCTCAACCCTTGAAAGTTCCCGATTTCCAGGCCCAACACTTCCCAGGTTCCCCCCAAACCCCACTCCCCCGCTAAGATTGCGGTTTAAAGCCGGACAAGCGTGCATCTGCCGATGTTCTAACTGTGGGTCCCGCTAATTGAAATAGGAGGAAAACACATAATTTCGGGAAAAAAGATTTGGCGTAAGGCGTTGGGGTTTCAGTCGCACTGTGTTGTCTAGACCTACAGGTCAGCTTCCTATTCCTTTCTAGTGCAGCAGCACTCATTTTACTCTCACCGGCGGGAGGGGGGGGTGCGAACCAGGGAAGTGTGCCTGGAACTCGGCAACTTTCAGATTGGGGTCTAAAACCATGGGCGGACTGCTCTTGTTTTTGTAGGCATGAAACTTTTGGGTTTGTTCAGGGTTGAGGCTAGAGACTTACAACATCTGGAGGGGGATTGTTTAGGGTTCAACCCGGGCAGCCGTGCATCTGCCGATGTTCTAACTGTGTGCCCCGTTAATTGAAACAAGAAGAAAACACATGCCTTTTATAGAATTGTGTTTGGCTTGAGACGTGGGGATTTTAGTTGCAGCTGTGGTTTCAGCCCGAAACAGCCCCCAACGTCAAAGTTGACGATGTCCCAGGTTCCACCCCACCCCCGGTGAGAGTAAAATGTGTGCTGCCGCTGAAACGAATAGGAAGCTGACCTCTTGGTCTAGACAACACAGCTGCAACTGAACCCCCCACGCCGAAAAGCCAAAACTGATTTTCAGGAAGTATGTGTATTCTTCCAATTTCAATTCACGGGACCCACAGTTAGAACATTGGCAGATGCACGGTTGTCCGGTTTGAACCCGAAATGTCAGCCCTCAACCCTTGAAAGTTCCCGATTTCCAGGCCCAACACTTCCCAGGTTCCCCCCAAACCCCACTCCCCCGCTAAGATTGCGGTTTAAAGCCGGACAAGCGTGCATCTGCCGATGTTCTAACTGTGGGTCCCGCTAATTGAAATAGGAGGAAAACACATAATTTCGGGAAAAAACATTTGGCGTAAGGTGTTGTCTAGACCTACAGGTCAGCTTCCTATTCCTTTCTAGTGCAGCAGCACTCATTTACTCTCACCGGCGGGAAGGGGGGGGAATCTGGGACAACGGCAACTTTGACGTGGGGGCTGTTTAGGGCTAAAACCACAGCTGCAACTAAAATCCCCACGTCTCAAGCCAAACACAATTCTACAAAAGGCATGTGTTTTCTTCTTGTTTCAATTAACGGGGCACACAGTTGGAACATCGGCAGATGCACGGTTGCCCGGGTTGAACCCTAAACAATCCCCCTCCAGATGCTGTAAGTCTCTAGCCTCAACCTTGAACAAACCCAAAAGTTTCAAGCCTATTTCAACAAGAGCAGTCCGCCAGTAGCGTTAGCCCTAAACAAGCCCCAGCCTGAAAGCTGCCGATTTCCAGGCACGGCACTTCCCAGATTACCCCCCCCCCCCTGAGGTGAGAGTAAATTGAGCGCCGACGCACGAGAGAGGAATAGGAAGCTGACGTCTTACGATCAGCGCAGCTGCGACTAAAATGCCCACGCCTCAAGCTAAACACAATTCTTCAACAGGCATGTGTTTTCTACATACATTGCAAACAAAGCCGGCATGTTGCGAGACACCCTGAAACGCAAATCACTGCAACATAAATGCATAGTTGTTCAGCCTTGGTGAGGAAGCAACCCCCTTCAAACGCAGCATGCAACAATGGTTCGCCATTGTTGATGTTCTAACTTGGATGTTCTAAACAAAAATACCCAGACAAATGTCGCACGCTTAAATATGTTCTAACCCGGGTTCAGTTAGAACATGGATTCACCAAATGATGTTCTAACTTGAAGTCTGTCAATATAAATCGTACCAATAAAAAAGGGGAATTCAGCCCATGTGTTTGGGCAACAACCCATGTTCAAGAGAAAAGACACACCCAACTTGCTCTTCAGACTTCAGGATGTCTTTTTCTGGCTGCGGAAAAAACCTGGAGGTACCCCCTTGAGCCCTCTGCTGAGCCGCGCCTGGCGATGCGACGCCCGGCCGGAAGGGCGGGGACGTGTGCCCGCAGCTGCCCAAACTCGCGGCCGCCCAGGGCGGCGAGGTGGCGCCGGTGGCGCCGGCGCGTGCCAGGGGCGGGGAGGTGTGGCCTCGGGAGACGTCTCTAGGCTTCCACTACCCCCGGAAATGGCTGTGGGTCAAAAATCGGTACCCCAATGGAACCAAGGACTAAAACCTGCGGACCCCTGGTTTAATTTTGACCCATACCCAAATTGGTTTAGTCACCATTAGAGAGATCTAAAGGTTTTTGTATTACACCTTGGGAATACACCCACTGGGTATTGACCCCATTTGGGTAATGTTCCCCGTGGAAATCCACTGGGCATCGGCGTTCTCATTGTTCTAGGGTGCCCTCCCCGTTCTGAATCCAGGGATCCGGAGCTTTCCCGAAAACCTCCGGAAACCCAAGGAAAACGGATCCGGTGATCCAAAAGAAGGATGGTCGAAAGGAATGGGGCATCCGCCCCTGGACCAACGGTTTTCCTTTCGGGCTCCGATGGAAAACCACGAAAAACGGGGCCCAGGAAAAGGAGGGGGGGGTAAAAAAAAAGAAGACATCTGAACATTTTGCGGTTACTCGGGTGCTCAACCAACCTAGGAAGTAATAGCCGTGGTTACAAGGATTACAAGGGGATTGGTGTGCGTTTCCCCACGAGGCTCACCATGGCTATGACCAAGTTGGTTGAGAACCCATGGATCCGGGTTCCTAAGGCCCCTATAACCCCGATCTCACAACCACCTAAATGGGTCTGTCTGCTAAGGTTACTCCCTTTTGTGTGGCTTTTGAAAGGAAAACCGAGACCCAGAACAACACGCGTTATTCATTTTTGGGGGGTCCCCTAAAAATAGACACGCCCAGTTGGCCCTCCAGGCTGTTTGGTTTCTTTGCACTCAACCTACAGGTTCCCCTCAAGCCCTCCGCTACTCACGTCGCATAAAAGCCTTGAGCCGCCGCACCCAGACGAGAGCTGGAGCTGGGGCGACTGTTCATGGCCTCGGCTGAGGGGAAGCTGGCTGCAGGTCTCCAACCATCTTTTTGGCAACTTCTTCATGAGGCTTACCCCTAACCATATTTTTCTTTGTTTTTCTTGTTTTGCTTCTTCTTCTTCTTTGTTTCGGGGCGGTCCGCATCCGCATCACGTAGCCTTTGCCCGACCAAGCCTTCGAACCCCGTGGGTGCGAAGTAGGCTTAACCTTGGGGAAGTTTGTGCAAATTGGCGCCCGCAACTCCTTCGGGGGAGTACAAAATGGGTGCGGATAAATTTTGGGTGCTTTTTCCTTACAAAATAACCGCTCTCCAAGTGTGGAACTTCCTTTCCGGGTGGCTCCAGATTGTTGTTGCAGTATCCCCCACCAAGGAGGCCGTTTTGAAGCCTCCCAGGCGTGGCACGTGTGCGCCCGCGGTTGCAAAACCCACATGCGTAGATTCTTTTCACCGTGGACACCTTGTAGGAATAGCACCAAGAAGGATTCTGCACATTTGACTATAACTCCAATAGCTGTTTTAAGGGATCCCCAAGTAAGGACCAGTATCGTGGTGAGCTCGTTGTACCCCCGGATCGGTGAGCTCGCTATAAGATGGGCAGAGGGATCACTTGAAATTGTCAGTGACGCTGCAGGGTCAACCAGACGTGCGTGACAACATGACTGGGTTACCGGTCAAATGCACAAATGATGAAAAGCCAAAAGTGAGAAAGGGCGAATGGCCAAAGGGGCAAGATGGGAAGATGGCAAAAAGGACTCAGAAAACCACTCCCGTTGTCCTCTCTCTGTCAGGAATCACTCCCATCTTCCTCTCTTTCACACCAGGTCAGTCGAGATGCCAATTACTCCATCAGCTCACGCCACACTGGCAGTCAGCGAATCGTATCTGGGCAATTTGCTAAGATTCTCAATCTGAAAGTCAGGAATCCCCAACTAACGCACCTTTACTTGTTGTTGCTTCCGTGCACAGGGTACGTGTCGAATTGGCTCCTTTGGGTTTCCCTTTTGGACCAACCTGAAAAGCGTACCCTCAAGGAACATATGTGTAGGTGTGTATATATATATAACAAAATGCATGTGCCTATGAAGATGACTAAGTACTGTCATGCATACATATTCATGAAAGCATGATGCGTGCTTTTATGTCCATCTGCCGGGGCCCATGTGCCTCAGCCTCTATCGATCTTCGGGCCGATGGAGCGTGGGAAGGGGCGAGCGAAGAGAGTTTACACCAAGAAAAGACCACAACAGTGGAGTCGACACTTGGGGTGGAATTGAATCTGGTCGAAATCCCGATGACTCTACAAGCTGCCTTCGGTTCCAACCCCATCCGCAAATCCCGCGGGATCTTTGACGAAGGGGCTTGCGCCTTGTCGTTCCCATTCCCCCGAGATCAGATTCAAAATCATAAATATGTGTCCTTTCTTCACGTCAACCGTGAGAGCTTGGGAAATGTGTTGCCGCCCGTCCGGTCCCCCCCCCCGGCCTGAAAATTGTTCCGTCCAGCCAAAGCCCCCACAGAAATCGGTGGCCCGAGAAATCGGTCGGGATCCCTGGCCATTTCCGGGGGTCCTTTGAGATGGACCATCTTCAGATGGACCAAAGGATTCCAGGGTGATGTTGACGGACTTTTTCTGAAACGCCCTCCAGATATTCATCAGGTCTTTCTGGAAGGAATCCAACCAATCAAGGGCGCAAGTGAAAAGAGTTCAGGACGCGGCATTGCTGCAACCGAATCGGGTCCGATTCGATTGTTGTCCTCTGGGCTTGTGAGGTTGAATCTGGGTCTGTCTTTGGGACACACAAAAATCGGCATCCCTTTGATCTCCCGTATCTAAAAAAACAAAAAGGTGTCCTCTCGGGAAACCCCATTACCAACCAAAGGGTACCATCTCAAAAACAGAAACACGCATCCATACGCTTCTTTAACGCGTAAAATAAGCAAACCCCACACCCAAAGACCGCCCCGCCCAGTAAGGCCTTGTTCAGACCCGAACCCTTAGGTGTTTTGGTTGGGGGGTTGGTCCCCTATTTTGAGACACACCCATTGGCTTGACAGGGGGAGGTCCTCACCCGCACCCACTTTTTCCACGCATGCGATCTCTAGTCATCCTCATCCAAGTCCATCTGGCGCCTCAGCTCTGGAGTCGGCAGCTAGGAATCCAACTCTTACCCATCCGACCTGTTACTTGCATTCCACCTTGGAACATGAGCATGCATGCTTGTGAGCACTTGCTTGCCATCAGTGTTTAGGTTCCCCATGGGACAAAGAAATGTTTGCGCAAGGAAGGAGAAACGCAAATGACCCCTATGAACCATCCAGGTGGTGGCTTCCTTTCAAAATACCAAAGCCTGGGAACTTCACACTCATTCCCTGCTGAGCACCAGCAAACTTCAGTTCGCGCCAATGTTGGGACATTTTCTGGATGCGACATCCGCGACATCCGCGAGTCTCGCACCACGCAATGATTCGCCATGGGCCGGAAGCCATAGCGCTTGCGAACGTTTGATATTTACCTTGGGGAATCGAATAGGTGAGTATTCCAGGACTCCGTCCACTGCATGTACCGGCATCTTCTTGGCACCCTTTTGCTTCTTGGGGACGTGCAGCTGTCTAGTTGGCTTCTTCCTCTCTCTTGGCACTCGGAAGAAGGGACAATCCGCATTCGACACAAAAAAAAAACGGGGGGTGTAACCCAAGTTCTCACAACTTCGCAACCCTTGGCATGGTTGCCAAAAAAGAAAAAACGTGTGCGTGTGTGTGTGCGGAGTGGCAGAGAACCCTGCCACCAAAACCTTTTTCTGTTGCAGCAGGGGGCACGGCAGCTCATTCTCTAGCCGTGCCAACGAAGCTGTGAGAATGAGCCGGAAGGGAGTTTGGACGCAAACTCCTGTACCTGCAAGTGATTCTGAAAGTCCTTTTGGCCCCTTGGTTGCGGCGCTGTTTGTGCTTCTTGTTCTTTCGGGTAACGTGTTCGCTGCTAGAGGGAAGCCGAGTGCATCGCGAGCAGAACCCAGTCGAGACTCATCAGTTGTACTCGAGACTCATCAGTTGTACTCGAAAGATTAGCACTCTCCATCTGGAGTTCAAGTGTGTACACCCCATTCGTGGGGAATCCTCGGGTGTACCCATTGTGTGACCCCGGGCCGGCTCTGTCGGAAAATTTGACCTCAACGTGCTTATCATAGAACAGCGGAATTTCACATTTAACCAGGAACGAGGTTTCACTAAAGGGAAGAAAGCCGTCAGATCATAGCGACGTCTCACTCGGTCCACCGCTGGTTGCTGGCTTGAACTTGCATGCACTTGCATTTATCGGACTTGTTCCTCTCAAGAGAGTTGCGTTGCGGTGTTGCATTTGCTGTGCCATCATGTCTCGACGTGAAGATCGAGATAGATCTAGGACTCGGCGCAGAAGTGATCGGAGTCCTTCCCCTCAAGCTCGCAAAGCGCGCCGACGTGAACACAATGACAGCCAGGTCTCGGAGAACATGGATTGGAACAACCTGGTTTCATGGCAACACAACACCGGCTACAACGCTGCCAACAACTTTCCGATGATACCTACCAACTTTCAATCGACTCACAATCCCACACAACAACTCCAACACCCAGCGATCAACTACATGATGCCGATCCCTCCAGACCCCACGCCAACCAAGTTCATGCCACCCGTGATGCCGCCGCCGGTCACTACTTCACAACCTGCACCGCCACCTGGACCTCCTGCGCCTCTACCGGTTCGTCCTCAGAAAGCCTGGCTTACACCCTCACCTGACTGGACACCTGGAGATGGCATGTTTGATGTCAATCAGCTCTACAACTTCAGCCTGCCCATGACTGTTGCCAACACTCCGCATGGCAACCTTCGCGACATGTCAGGCATGGATATCAGGGACGTACGCCTGGTTCAGGTTATCCACGGGGGTCTCACCAACTGGCTACTCAGGCCGTTTGCACACGGCAGATTCGTGACGTGGGAAGGCTTTCGCACTCGCACCGAGGCCTTGCTTTGGAGTACCTGTTCCAAACTACTACGAAGATCGCAGTCACTCAACCTGCTCACCCTGGAAAAGGACCTTGCCAACACGCTGGGTCTCAACATCGATGACTTCAATCAGCGCATCAAGGTCCACGACCATTTGGCCGGCTTGGTACTTCAATTTCTTCAGCAGCATCACACCTCTCTCGCACCAGCCACCCAGACAGATGACATGGTCAAAAAGTACAATGATCTAAATCGCGCACACGAACTTCTCCAAGCTCAGTTTTCCGCATCGCTTCGTGCTTCGACCTCTCCCACGATGACAAACCAGAAGGATGATGCAGAGTTGGTTACACCGCCACCGGTCAACCACACGCCATCATCGTCACCTGCCAGCTCCCTTCCTACAGCCAGCGCAGCCGCCCTGGATGGCAAGTCGTTTGATAACGTGGTGCAACCTCGGATCATTCAGTCTCTTCATGGAGTGTCGCCACCGCCGTCCAAACCGGTGGCGTCGCAATTGCTAACTATGCACAGCACGCCGGATGAAGTCGTCAAGTACTACACATGGACCAGTGACCAACCTCGCCCTTATCTCAAGCAATCGCCCACAACCACTACTTTGGCATCGCTGGTTAAGTGGGCCAATCACCCGTCCCGGCTCAACGGCAACAAGTCATTAGATTCTATGGCGACGCAGCTCCTTCAGGCGCGACAACGCATGCCGAAAGGCGACGCACCCACTCTCGGGGCGATGGCGGCTTCGTGGGGACTAGAGCCCGGCTATCTTACCAAACTCACTGAGAAGGCATTGAGTCACCTCATCGTGACCGCTCGCCTACTCTGTGGATGAGAAGGCATCATGAAGACCTTCGTTCTCTTATGAGCCCGGAGCGGCACCAATGTCACGGATGAGTCCAGGTGAAAACTCGTCCGTCAATTTTCTGCGTTGCACCAGTTTGATCTTGTACTTGCTCGTTCTTGCATTGCCTCTTGTGTGATTGTCTGTGATGCTTGTATTCATGTCGCCGCCTTGTGGTAGATTTCATTGGTTGTATCTCACCATGTTGGATGAACTTCGCCGATGCGGAATCTATGATGATGTTGCACAATGGCAGTCGCTGGCCGACCTTCTACATTCGTTGACCATGTTCTCTACGTGCTGGCAGTACTGTTTTCCTGGACTACCACCACCGTCGATTCCAACTGAGGAGTACGAATCAATCACACAATTGCCGTGGCTGGGTCTCATCCTCGAAGTCTTAGTTGTGGTCCGGATAGCCCTTCAGATTCCGAATCACGCTATGTCACACTCTCAGCACACCGTGGCCAACAGGTATGAACTTCACAGATGTCGGTGCACTGCCTATTTATTGATTAGTTTCCTACAACGTCTTATTTCACAAGATCACGGCTATTTCCCGCCGTTCTTTGAAGTCCTTCACTTCTACAAGACTTCTCTCTTGTGTGAAATCATGCACTCTACTTTTGCGGACACGCGACATCTACGTTCATTGCGGGCGCGATTTCCTGACCTCTATGACTTCATACACGATCCAGGTCATCATCAACAGCCGTGCGTCTACATACGACTTTCCCCATGGCACACGCCCTACTATGTTGGGGCGACTGATCAGGATGTTCTACGTCGTGAACACTCACGCAGTCGCAAATTTCTACAACTACTTCGTGGACGGCATGCCTTCTTCGAACCAGCGCTCCACTACTGGAAGAGATCCAATACATACTGGCTCTTCTGTGCTGTTCCGGTGGAAATCAAACTTCCTGTTTCCTCGGTGTGGGTTCAAGAAAGCAAATGGCAATACCTGCTACGCCCGCATTTGAATGCGCCCTGGGTCCACAGAATCTTGCGCAAGGTGGGCTTCCGCGAACATCTCGTGGATTTCCGACGTCACTCGTTGTCTTCTCCCACTTCCCTCGGCTTGCACAAGCGCTTTCGACGACGACTACATCCGGATCTCCAACGGCAACTACGGCCTGACATCCTGGATGACATTCAAGCCCATTACTCTATTCTCTATCAGCTGGGATCGAATACAGGAGCATCGTTCCAAGTCATGCGTGACCTGCTGTCGGCGGCTTTCCCTCCCACTCAGCTGTACTACTTATTGCGGCTCGCAGTCTTTGTCAACGAGCCCTTCCGCTCCAAGGCGCAGAAACTCCTCGCCCAGGTGCTGCGCAAACGACGGCTACAAACACCCACCACTTTGACACAGCTACTCTTACCGCCGCTGCATGTCCGGAATTGGAAAGCTCTACTTGGCACATGGCTACAAAGCTGGATTGCTTCTCATCGGGATCTGTTCCCTTCTCTTTTCATTCCAAAGATCCGGGTGGTGGAAACTCGCAGTGCCACATTGGGCGACAAGATATACAACTACCGCACATGGCAGCGCAGATGGACTCCTGAAACATCCTTTCCGTGTCGCTGTTTGGACATCGATGATCACCATATACACCGTGCACATGGTCACGCTGTAATGGTGGATGAGTTTTCTCGCATCAATGCGGACATTGACATTGAAGTCATGGCCGCCTCGATGAAGGATCAGTATTTCGGTGATGTCGACTTATTGCATCAACGTTTCACCTCGCAACTTCGCAAACTTGCTCGCCGTTGGCATGTCCATGGTTCCAGTCTCCTTTCAGATCTACAGCCGGTTTTGACTCAGTTAATGGACGCTCATCGGACTAACCTCCAAGATCGGGCTTATTGGTCATCGCCTTCGTTGCAGCGCACTGTGGCTTCTTTGTCTTCGTGGGTTGTTATTCCAGCGGATCATCTGCTTTCCCTCCCGCGCACATGTGATTTGTCCGTGCCTGTTTGCCATACTGATGCGGAAGACATTCTGCTCGGGGGATGTCTTCTCGCTTTGCCGTGAATCCGCAGCATCCTTTCGCTCTGAAGTGGTAACCACGGTACCTTCTCTTCTACGTCAACGATATGCATGGGGACTTCGACTTCAAGCACCATTACCGACAGCGCGCATCCTCCCAAAGCCGACCAAGGACTGGCAGAAAGCTCGACCCATCATTTCATTTTTTCGCACATGGGCAGCTCCCTTCCTCACGGTCTTCGGTGCACGCAGATTTGAACATACCAAAGCTGCCTTCCCAGACATTGCGG